ATATATATAGTCACACACATATTACCATAATTGTATTAATGTGATTATTGTTACTGTCTGTTACGATTTCAACGCAATGGTAAGAATAATCGATGACAAGCCAAACTGCGCGAATTATTGGAGTTGTGTAATAATACTGATATTATTCTGTAATAATTGCTCAGAAGAGTGCAGTGTAAAAAGAAAAAAACCGACAGAAGTATTATTGATAGATCGCCACACATCATACGATTCCAATATATCTGTTCTATAAGCGCTTAAGTTTTGTGTTAAACTGGTATTGTTTTTATCATAGGAGCGATACAAGCATACCAAGAAACTTAGCTGGGGCAAAGTAAGACACGGGAAATTACGAGTATATAGCCATCGATAATTATGTACAATATTCAACATCCTAGCCATGCTTCGTCTAACTTTTGTTTCATCTGTGAAAGTGAAATCAATTCGGTTGTTTGATTTCTTTCAGCATAGGTAAATATTACTAAATTCAAATCACAGTCACGGTCTGTAGTAAGTATATATTATATTCGTAAGATTACAAATTATAATGTGTTGAATACATAAAGGAGTCCAAGCTAGGATAGGCAAAGCAGGCTCATTACTCATCGACACGGCAGCTGCTAAAAAAAGCCAGTAGATCAGGTCGAATGTAGAACCGATCGGATAGGCCATGTCTTGCTCTCAGGTTTCTTATTATTATTTTTTTTTTCAAATCAAATCATGCGTTATACTTTGTTTTGTGTGCGTATGCATTTTTCGTTAATTATTCTTATAATCGTTTTACGCGAGTGTTATATTCAATAATCTCATTGCGGAAGCGTGGCACCAACCCATCTAAAATAAGAGACACTCGGTTCTCTCTAGACTTGAGATTTATAGTATTTAGTGGATAGAATATTCCGTTTGAACGCAGCTGAATCGGCTGCGTTTTCGTGTGAAGTTTGTATTTGTCTCAGGGGATTACCAAATTGCAGAAGCCAGGTTGCTGGCCCTCGGGCTAGCCCACAATAGTTGATTATTTTGGTGATTTTTATATAAAAAAATCTGTAAATATTTATTTCTTTAAATAGAATCCACTGACAATAGTTCATTCGCACACAGACACCGGCTGCGTGTGAAACTACACACACACACTCAAACATAAAGTAATGAACTCGAATGAGTACATTTGAGAGCGGTCAACTGAGAAAAACGTATATATGTGCAGTACTATTATTGAGAAATAAATGTGACACACTGAAGAATTTCAGAAAAACGATTTTAGCGTATCTTTTTTTTCACTAAATAGTAGTGCTAAAATGACGAGCAGTAGTTGTAAGTGGTTGGTTAAATATTAAAATATGTAAATAAATATTAAATTTTATAAAATTCCGACTGTTCTCTGTAAATTAAACGACAAATATTACATTTAATTTTGTGGCTTCTTCACAAAAAACTAACTCTAAAATTTTTATTAATTAGAATTTTTCCTGTCGGAATCGATGTTGCTCACAGAAATAGAACCGACAGCACCCGGCGACTTTGTAATTACTTATTTCAACAACATTTAAAAAAGCCATTCTAAGTCCGCCCATTCTAAGTTTCATCCGTTTTTCACTAAGGAGAGGAACAAAATTTTCTCACACACGCATAGTAAATACACTTTTGGTCAAGTTTTTTTTATTAGGCTTTTATGTTTTTTTTTATTGTTTCTAAGCACTAAATGACGAGCACTAGGTTGAACGCGTGAACCAGCTTTGGTTAGATATGCATCTTTCTCCAAGCTCTACAGGTCAATATGTATGCCTTTTATCAGTGGAACAAATATTAAACATTTCATCAAATAAATTATAGGTAAATATGAGAAAAACAAATCTCTTGAACATTTTTAAACAAGTACACTCGGATGAAAGCTGAACAAAATAACATATACATACAAATCTAAATGCATTATCTGTCCTGCTGCTGCTGCTGCATGCAGGTAGTGCTTTAATAACATTATGACAAATCTGTCGTTTGTATGAAATCATTAGCCGCGCTAAGCTTGAGCTTTGCTATACACTGGATCAATCATACGCATGAATGGCTCCATTCATTTGCAAATCATGATCCATTGCACACCTCACGAGTATTATAATGGTGATAATAAACGTATGCTACTCTTTACATAGTCATATTCTGTTGTTCAATTAAATCCGCGTAGAACCCAAGCCAGAAAAACAAATTCGTTATGAACACACGCCACAACTGCTTAGTATTTTTCCTTGTCACGTCTCTGCCGCTGAAAGTAATGTCGACCCTAGTAAATCTATTTGCGTATTTGAAGCAAAAAAATGGGGAAGTTAATGTCTAAAGTCTCCTTTTTATGGAGTGTTTTGGAGTCTGTACAATAATCCTATTTAACTTGATTGGTCTTCATATTAATAATAGTGCATATCGCATGTCGTACATGTAGTCTTACGCAATAGCACACTATCCTAGAGCGGCCGATGCCTCGTCAAGAAGTAGAGAAACGTCGTGTTTTTGTCTTTTTTTAAAAGAGTGTCGCAGCAACCTGCGTGCGTCGTAAAATAATGCTTTATCATAGATGGTAGTACTCATGACCACTTTCCTTTTTACGTGTTATTTTTCCTTTATATATCGCTATTATATCACCTCGTTTCGTTTATTGATGCCACCAGGTTTGGCCAGTCCCACTTTACCAGCAGACCTATCCGATAGTACCTCAATCCACTAGCTAAAGTACCAAAAGCATTGGAGTACGTTACACTATCGAACTGGTTGAGCTAGAACTGACCTAGGCCACGGGCCAAGCCAAGCCTGAACGAAATAAAGATGCATATGATACAAACGCATTTGTTGCTGCTAATATAATAGTTATCGCTGATATCGTTAAATATGATGGTGGCATTATTATTCTCGGCCCATTCTTTAACGTTGCTGATCAAAATGCCTCATCGTTTTCCGCTTTCAACTCATCACTTTGAACGGAAGGCGCGTTCGGCGAGGAACGCGTATACGATCTCTGGGGGGGTCGCCTTACCCCGGGGGGTTGTTGCGTCGTTGGTGCGACGGTGACGCCATACAGTTCCCGTTGATGAGCTCTCTTCGCTCAAAGCGGTCGGTCATTTCCGCTTCTTCTCTGCTGTCGGTGGCGGGCCGCATTTCGGACAATACCAACGGCCCTTCGGTTTCGTATTGAGCCCCACACAGGCGAAGTGAAACCATTCAATGGGACACTCGGGATTATCACAGCCAATCATTTCGCCGTATGAAACCTGATGACATAGACAATAAGTGGGTTCGTTCGGGTCGACAGGCATGTCCATTACATCGCCTCCGTTAGTCATGCTTTGCAGTGATGGAAGAAGCAATGGATCCGGGCTGTAATGTTTAAAAGAGAGGGAGAGCCAGAAAAAGAGATCGTAGTATACACATTTTTAGACAATAATTTATAGCAAGCACAACTTACAGCCTGGTAGTTATCTTATAAATCTTTCCTAAAGTCCTTTAATTATGGTATTTTATGGGTATGATAGATCTTTTTGAAGAGATGAACCTTAGACAATTTATATTAACTACTCATTTAATCGAGCCTCATTTTTTAGTAAATATATAATGTGTAAATCATTTAAATAAATATACCTACAAAGAATGCTTCCATATTTTTAGCAATATATAGATAAAAGTTATTAGGTACATTCTACATACAACAAAAATATTAAACACAAGACAGTATATAGCACGGCTCAGATTGCTGGCAAGCAAAAGCATTTTTATACGTGGACGAAATAAAGTTTAATCGATTTTAACGTGGTTTTGCAGAGTTATGTTTTCTTAACTGTGATGCTTAAAAGGAAAATCTAACTTATAGGCAGTACATACTCAACGAGATCTTGGGGAGGTGGGTTTTTAAATTTCTTTCGCTGGCGTCCAGGCTGACCTCCTGGAGCGCTCGGATCCACTCTCTTCCGACTATCCCGTTTTCGCTTTTCCCGAACCCCTTGAGCACTGGCTCCAGCCGCCTTTCCGGTCTTACTTAAAAGTTTCTCCTTTAGCTCGTTCTCAAACCGAACAAGCTCAGTATCCAATCGACGGATGTGCTTATCCACTGTTTCATACGTTGTCATCGCAAGCTGAACCTGAAGATAAGTTGTGACATGATTAGTAACAAAAATAGGCTTAAAACGGGGAAACACTAAAAGAACAGGCTAAACTAAATGTCTAACGAAAACTATAGCGAAATTTCGTAGCGAAAAAAAGGACATGGACCGTCATTTGCAAGACATTTGTCATTGTAGATCCAGACAGGTGATGTCGAAATACGTTTGAGGTTTTCAAATCAACAACACGGTCTAACATTTATCAATTAACTAGGAAAAAAAATATATATATCGTAACGGTAGGTACGAGCACGATAAAAAAGCTGGAACTATTTCTTCTTACCTTTGTATCGGCTAACTCCTTAACCTTGGCGTACATTTTCCCTATTTTATCCGTGGCCTCTCTGCGTTTTGATGGCGAGAGGTTAGCAGTATTGTCAATGTAGTTATATGACTCCTGTAAGTGAGCCGATGAACAAGCATTGTGACTTAACGTCTATATCCGTTTTGATTTATGAATTTGATGCTTTTATCGTTCACTACAGAAATGTAAACCGGATACCAGTTCTTTGTTGCTGGGAAAAGATGATGAACAGTTTATTCGTATATTCATGTAATAGACAATTAAAGGTAGGGTAGGCATTTACCTTATCAATATCTTTGAGAAGGTCTTGAACCTTGCTATCAAGGTCGCGCATCAAGTTGAAACTTTTCTGTAACTCTTCTGGTAGTGACTCCAAGCCTGTAAATCAAGCGAAAAAAATGGTAACTCTATTGAACACATGCATTTTTCGATTTTCCATGAGTGATGATGACAATGATTATTAAATTATATATTATATTTGCTATGTGTTTGAGTAAACTGGAGAGCCTGATATAACGCGCTGTATTTATGTGTCCACATGTGGGCATTGCGCACAAATTGCGCAAATTATTTCGAATAGTGAGACATTGTTTATAATAAGAAGATAAACGCTAATATTTTTAAGTAAATAATTTGCTACAGCAGAAACCTGCTCTAAATTGGCGAAAATTTAACGGATCCGTACACGAACCTTTTGATCGTCTTTAAGAAAAACAACTTCGTTCGATGAGAACCACTCTAAGTAATTTTGGAGTTCATTATCTTTCTATTTCATAACATCGCATATGTCAACGAATTGACATGTCTCTACCTTAGTACATAACTGTTTTAATTTAAGCTAAATGGAACAAGAGACGCTCATTGTTTATTTATATCGTTATAATAAAATCTTATAACAGTTTATAGCTTTTTATTTTACTGTAATGATTAATGCCATTTGAAAAATGCAAACTGTACGCTGAGTTGGAAGATTATTATTTGAGTAATTCGGAGCACAACAAACAATAAAAACTATGATCGAGCATTACGGTAGGACAAATACAGGTTGATTTTGGCACTATTGATTCGACGACAATTCTTTCTGCTCATCCACAAAGTTTCTGTCAATTCCAGTCTAGACTACTTAGTAACTATATTAAAACTTACTATCCAGGTAGGTTTCTAAATACATCACAGAGCACATCTTGTTGCTATTCTTGAAGCTCGGTGGGATCTGCGATTATCCAAATATATCCTGTATTTCGAATAACTTTGAAGACTATATTTGGTAATGAGACCATAGATTTGTGACGCTAACGGCTAGGAACCGCATCACCTGAGCAGCGTGAGTCACGTTCAGTTAACAGCCCCCACGTGAACTTTTTAAGCAATCGCCTCACGAGAACATTTTAAGTTGCTCGGAAAGATTTTCACCCGCACAGTAAAAGAAACCGACGATGATGTCGCTCTTGACAATCATCACAATGTAGCCGTCATAGACTACACGGAGCTCCCAGTCAGGCCGTCACTTGATGCCCTGATGACCATTGATGGTCTCGATGGTTGAGTTGGCGCTCCGGTTGGTTGCAACGTTGGAAAAACGTGGCGGGCAAAACCCAGACACCACCGGAATTTGTGTTAGGAAGACGCGCGCTGTTTTAAATAGCGGTTACTGCAAGTGCTCACAATGGAAGCGCAGAAAATTCCATATAGTCAGACGGCTCTCTGAGCTTTTACGCGCTTTTGGACACAGAGTTGACGGAAGCTGCCGCCATTCTAGCCCGCAGATGTTGACAAATGTTCCCTATGGAGGTGGTAACGACGACGTAATACAACGTACTTAGAAAGCCGATAACATTTCAGCTTACATTATTGGAGTGTTATTCTAATTAATAGTAACTTATTTACATACCATAGGATAGTGCGCAGTTGTCAAAAAAGAATGTCTAATAAACTCATGCGTAAAGCTGCTGGAACACAAAGGCAGATAATAATTGCATAACACAAGGTATATAGAACGCAGAATGAATTGAAAACATACTTGAGGTAAATTCAAGATAATTTGTTATATACCCTCATCCACTTCTTGGAATATTTTTAAACGTCACACATTGATTGAAAATAAAATTTCGGATACGGATAGCGAAGATACATTGAATGCAGTGACTACACTTAAAGTATCGAAAATTCCAGATATCTGGTAGATCACTGTCGTCTCTGCGTCACCATTACTAGAATGAACTATGGATTTTCAAACTATGGATCGTATAAAAGGAACGAATTAGATCAAAAGTTCTTTGAATTTAATCACTTCAAGATTGTTATCGATATCCCTTGCCAGGCAACGGATTACATCTTCCAATTACCGATATAAAAAAATTACCAAAAACACCAATAGCTCGCAAAAAACCAAGACCGAACTCGATGATATATTAAAAATGATGAAAAACCGTTGACACTAATAGCAGCCACTCTAGCACTCCGATTCTTCTAATAAATATTAGAAAATCCAAAAGTCCATACGGTGTTCTATAGCACCCTCTGTAGAATTAGAGTGTGAAAATAACTTTCGTGCAATTTATTTATATTTTTTGTTTTGCAAGTACATAATCAAAAAGTGATTTTCATTTAAAAATAAAATCCAGAAAAATAAAAATCCAGAATAATTTGTCACCGAAATGTTCAAGCTTTGATTGAAATAATAAATGTTTGATCTGAGTTTACTCAAATAAATATTTGTAAACAATTTTGGAAACAAAATTTTGTTCTGTTCCTTTTCTTTTTATGCTAAAATAAAGATCACTCTTAACATGAATGAAAGTAAATTGCATGAAAAGTTACCTCCATTAGAAACTATTAAATCCCGTTGAATCTTCCATAGATTTGCATAACATCCTAACTCCAGTCGGTTGTTAATATATTTGCATGCTGAGAATAGAAACCCACCTTCTTGTTGAGCGTCCATAATCCGTTCGAGCAAGTCGACCATTGGAAGGTACCAGTGTTGACCAGAATGACTCGCCATGGCATTATTCGATTGCAGGTCTTCGTTGCCCGTAGCTTCCAGGTGTATAGGCATATGCTGTGTTAGCTTGTGCCTAACTGAGGCTTTTTAAAAAAAATATTTTGAATTTTCATTTTTCCGCGTTTTATTGATCGACCCAGCTTACAGAATACGGCACCTAAATCAGGACTTTTTTACGTTTTGTTTCTAAAACTGTATCTACGTAAAAATGTATAGTTCAGGAACCCTTTTTGTATTTGCTAATGTGTCATTTCTGACAGTCTCACTTACTAAATATACAATATATATAGAAATAAGAAACGATACTAGTAGATATAGACTCATGTAAGTGTCGTTTAAATACGCTGTATACAAACACAATTCCAGCGATGAAATTTGGGGCAAATAGCTAGCCATGATTCAAATCAATTTTATAAATTTATGGTTAAAATATTTTATTATTGGTATTAAATTTAAACTAATCTTTTCTAAGAAGCACACTTCTAGGAAATTATATTCTAATTATATTTTGATATAGAATTTGTTTAATCTTATTAATTATAATGATAAGAATTTAACAAAAGGAGATCAATGAATTAATAAAAATTAATAATTTTAATTTTATTTTACAAAAATATTTTAATTTTAATAAGTGTTAGAAGGATAAATTGTCGATTTGAAATAAATATTTATAATAATAATAATAAAACAGCCTACAAAATAGTCAGCTTGCTTGTTAAAAATAAAGGTAAATAAGATTTTATATTGATAAAGGTTTCTAGTATTACATTTATTTCCTATTTTTAAAATATCGAAGGTTAATCGTAAGCTATATAAAATATTTTATGTAGTGCTTGCAAAAAATTAGAACTATTAGATTAAAAGATTTATTAGAAAAATAAGGTATTTCTAAGATAAAATTTTTAGAATAGAATCAGTCTTATAAAAAGATATTGCACGGGCTAAAAATGGCCAAAAGGTACGAAAAGCCAAAAAAGTCTCAAAAAAATCAACCACTTCAGTTTCAAGACGATTTAATTGACATTTGAAACTTTTCTCTAATATTTGTATAAAAGATTTAGGTATAACGAATATAGCTTGTTGAGTTATTTTAATTAATTTTTAAGCCCTTGAAATCTAAGTTCTGTTGAAATTCTTCGAGTTTGTCCTCCGAAAATATTACTCGAATTTGTCAGAAGCCGCATGGAAATTGCTAATAATCTAGAATGTTAATTTAGCACAAAAAATATTTTTCAAATTTTCGTAGGGCTTGTTCGGCACAAACAGATTAAATAATGCTCATTTCTGCTCAAATATTGAATACGACGCGTAATTTTCCGTCATGGCGAGTTTGATGTTTTGTTTCAGAAGGGACTGGTTTTCGTCTAGGACTAAAAGTGGCGGTAGACGCGTGCTCGTCAAAATAAAGAGCCCGTAAAAATTTGGCCCAATTTAGGAGTCATATCTTGTAACCAAGGTGTTGTGGCGAATCGCTCACAACACCTTGGTTAACAATAACAGCGGAAAACGCTGGAAAATATTGCTATAGGATGAAAACTCAATGCAGATCAGAAAAATCGGTTCGACGTTACTTCGCTAAGTGTGAATCAAGGTTAAAGGAAGCTATTAAATGTGTGTTTGCCAGTGTATTAAGTGGAATGTTGCTAAAAATGTGTGCGCCAATTCAGTCCGTCACATAAAAACTTTTCTATTGGGGAATTGGCCGCAAACAGTATTTGATACTTAATTTACCCCAGAATTTACTTATTCCTAGCTTCGGGTTTGCTTCGGGGTAATGTAACGTATACTTGGAATTGTATTTGAAGTTTTTGAATGGAACGTTCGTGGAGTAAACGCAAATGTGGGATGTTTTCTGCTTTCTTCTGATGTGTATTAAAAATACGAGATGGCTTATGTTGCGATATGAGAACAAAGTACAAGAAACCATACGGTATAAGAATCATTTGAGTAGCGCAGAGTTACTCACGGAGCAAAGACTAGCTTCGGTTCTTTGAGTGCCCGTCACAGTCAAGCCTTTTAAGAAAGGTCTAGCTTACGATTAGGTCGGGTTATCTCAAAATGTCTGCTATTGAATTCATTAGGAGAAGAAGTTTCACGAAGCTTCAACACGTTCCACAACCAACAATAGCACTTAGACGTTAGTGTAGGTCGCCCAACCTGAAGCCACTATGAGAGTCATTTCTTTTCTTTAGAGTCTTCAGCAAACCTAGTTTCATGTCATTCTTCCACTTATCTCCTTTTATGTTCACAAAATTGAAACTCACTAATGATCAGGTTTTAGATGTGAAATAGTTTAACACCACTCTTAAAGTGTATCGCTATATAATATCAAAGGAGAAGTGTCAGTAAAAACGCCGAGATGTGAGTCCGGCGTCGGAGAAAACGAAAGTAAAAATGAGAGCACACCAAGCATAAGCGATGCGCGTGTTACAGATGGCGAAAACAAAAACAAATGCTGATTTCCCGTTAAGGCCGGCGACCAATGGTATCGAGTATTGGAGTATGTCGTAATAGAATTTGCCTCTTGCCAAAGAGCAAAACAGTCTGAGCATATGATGATGACTGTTGGTGTCCCCTCCGACTTCGCAGCTGATGAGCTCGTTGGGCATCGCGTCCGGCATGTAGAATGCCGTCTGATATAAAACGTAACCGAGTATACATCTTGAAAGAACGAACAAGGCAGAATTGTGCTTACTACGTAAAAAAACATATGTGGCGCCATGTAGCAGTCAACTAATCTGTTCTTCACTAGCAAATCACATGTTGCGCATGATGTTAGATTAGAGCATGGGCATCTAGTGATTGAGAAAAGGCCTTCTAAATGACTGCTTTAATTTTGTACTTTAGCTATTGCCCTGCTAGCCAATTTCTAGCATGAAACAGAGGGTGACTACTCCTGGTTTCTAACCTAGATCATCACCTAGGTTAAAGACTAAAACCTTCTAACGAGTTCGAGCCAGTTTCGTTACGCTCTATTTTTTGTTCGATCCATTACAGGCTAGAATTAAGTTTTTTGCGTAGAATTGTGTAAATGTCTAGAACATTTGTTAGGCATACTGTATTAAATACAGCTATTCTTGCTAAAATTTTGTGGGCATTATAATTAAAAACATCCAATTAAAATTCCGTAAACCTCGCGAAATGTAGAGAACATATCTTTTGCACGTCTAAGCTCCAGGTTTCTCTGCGCAAAAGATCTGTTTCGCAAATTACTTGTATGACATACTCTAGGCCAAATGGAAAATGTTCCCTAGCGGCACTGCAATGCTTATTCTGTTTGAAAGCATTCACAAATATGCTAAACATGTTAGACTTTTTTAAACAAATGCCAGCAATTTTTGGAGTGGAATTGCTATGCGCCTGAAAACTGGCCGCTTTAACCTTATAAATGCTAGAAACATTGAAAAAAATGAATCTAACACTGGGGTTTACTGGCCTTTAATTCTAGAAGAAAATGTCAGGAAGATACCGTTGTATGCGTTCACTTTAAATATCGAAAAAACTATCCAGTCGCTTACTACTTCAGTAGGGCCTCTAGCCTTGTTAAAGTTACGCTTACTTAGAGGTAACGTGAAGTGGGGACGAGGTTCACTTAACGATTCAACGCCGGCGCATCTTTTTATGGGGCATATACGGATCGGAACTCTCGCTAACAACATAGATGTTAACGCATCACGCCGATTTCAAAATATGTACATAACTTTAGCCGTTAGTAAATGCCTATAGGTGTTACGACAGGTAATTTCATAATAACATGTACACTTAATAGAGACTAGAAAGGATTCTTTATTCGTTATAGTTTTTAATTATGTTACTTTATGTATAAAGTGGCCGTTAGATTCAGAGTTGATTTACTTTACTACGCTATTCGATATATGTACACTGCATCTGAAGCGACCAAGCTTTAAAACGATGGCAGTAGAAGCCTGCAGGTTCTATACAAATTTATTCTTGACTTCAGCAATCAAGATACCGCAGAATTTCCATACTCTTCAAAAGTGATCAAACTTTCCGATCAAAAGCGGTTGAAAGGCTTTCACATTGGTGATAAGCGTCTTAATTATTTTAAACTATGTAGTTACGGATCTCATTCTAGACCTGATATTTCTCCGAAAAGAATTATGGCGAACTTATACTGTCTTGGATCGTTATTGTCGTATTGTCTTAGGTCTGTGAAATATCTGTTCGGTTTTAGTCTCAGTATCCAAATCTCATGCAACAAGCCTCGACCACGACATCCGTAACGCAGATGTTGCAATGTGTTCCTTAATAGTATCAACATATTGCCTTACTTTTCATCCTGTCAGCTGTTTTTTAGACTTTAAAATATACGTGCACATTTATGAAATGTACTCGTTGCCCGCCATTTGCTTTTTGACGAAAAGCAAACCAGAAACTCTCCGCATGTTTTCGAATGAATTAACGGATTTACTAGGAGCAGTACGTTGACAATCATCATCCAGATGTGAAAATCCCCGCTTTAGCAAGTGTCTTCTTTTATCCGTTTTCTACCTATGCATCAGCATCTCCTCAAGTTTCAGCACGCCGCTACACAGAAACTGTCTTTAATTCCTGGTAGTCGCTTAGGACTAAAAGTGCTATTGCCTGCCACTTAACGAATTATTCACCCGGGTGCCTGCGCCTCCGTTGGCGGTCCCCGAAAAAAAAGGCAACCTTGTTTTACCTGCTTTTACAGACCTCAAGGGACAACTGGTTAAGCTTTGTATCGGTCCATACATTCTGTCCAGTATCTCCTTCGTCCATTATATTGCATGATCTATTCGTCGCTGCAGCAACCACACGAGCCACCTGGAAGATCGTCGCCCGCAACGTAACGAACCCTTTCAGCGAAATCCGATGCCAGCGGGCGAACTAGGCAAGGTTCAAGGACCCTCTGAACGGGAGAGTCGTACCAACCATGGAACGGTAAGTACTGCGAATAGTTCACACTTGAGTTAATATCGATCGAACGAAAGAAGCGCATCATTAGACGATAACACGGTTCGCAAAGAAAAACTATATCGGATGTAATAGAAAGAGAGAGAGAGAGAGAAAAAATATTTAAGGTATGCTTCCGGAATACATAAACTAACTGTACTGTATATAGTGAATGTCGAGCTAAGGAATTAAGCCGCGTCTACCATCCTAGCGGAAGTTGGTAAACTCAAGCGTTGTGTTAGAGGGCTGAGACAGGTAGATATCAGTGTGCGAGGGACTTATCACTTCGTCATTATTGTGCATGTGAGTCTACAAATATTCTTCTACTCATTAAGGTTTTTCCCATCTAGATCTATACAAAATTGCAGCGAACGCGGTGTACGACGATTCTGAACGAGTATGCATAACAGGGCAACAAATCTAAGCTTAATTTCTAATCATTCGGAAGTGAGCGTATTGTACGCAGCTGTATGTTAAAGGAGTAGCAGTGACCTCCAAGTAGGAGGAGGAAACGTAAGGCGATAGTTGATTTTGAGCAAATCCTTGGAGATCCGGCTTTGCAGAGAAGTTATGCCTCATAAAAGATTAACGCGTTAATTATGAAGTCATAAGCGTGTATGGACTGATATTTAGCCACTCGTTTGTATACGAATCCTACATTAAAAAAGGCAGTTGGCTAGACTTCTGCACGAAAAGCAAAGTATAATCGCTAAGTTTTAGATCTGCGAAGTTGTATATAATATATTGCGAATGCGTTACGCGAATCCGCCTTCGGTTCAAACTTGGTAGGCAAGGTTCAACGACGTTCAGATATTTCTCGTTATCAAATATTCCTCAGTGCACTCTACCATATGCGATGAGGGCTGTGGCCTGCAGGGGAATATTGTAATAAATAGATTATTTTCTAACAAGCATCCTATATATTGTAAAAAGGAAAAACAGGTCTTCGATTCGTATTGGCTTTGGTTTAACATAATTTCACAGGGATAAGAGTGAAGCTTTCATGTTCCCCATTGCCGTGGTGGCCAATTGTCATTGTGTTCTCATAGACTAAAGGTGAACATAATGTAATTCAATTTCTTTGCATATCAGACAAACATTGTGCTGAAATGCGCGTAAACTAAAAATTGTAATTGTATTATATTGAACGATGGGACAATATTGACGCACACCCACGTAGTATTTTATTTCCGATGCTATTTTGCCCTACGAGCCAGAATTATCCAAAATAACTTACTTAAGCTACAATTTTTACCTCAGCTAGCGTTCTATACGACTACTGAGCTATAAAACTTACTATGAGCTACCTTTTCGCCGTCAAGGCACTTTCTGGTTTCTGTATCTTACTATTAGTGCTAAGGATGACGCATGTGAGTAGGTATTTTCGTTGAGCTTCATGTACCATACGTCATTGATCAGAAAATTGATAAGGGTTCTCACAGTGTCGCTATACTTATAGCCATACGAGTTCAGGTTCGATACCCAATTGAGACACAATAATTAACCGGTCTCGGTAATTTAAGATTATCCCAATTATTGTTATTTGTTATTATAGCCATTAACGCACTGTTCAGTTGCTTTTGACCAGTGTGAATATCATTATATTATGATTGCAAAACAAAGCCTCCAGCCGGTGCCGAGAGGTTTTCGTCTCGTGCAAACAATGTCAACTTTAAATAATTATTTTATTTTTTCGTCATGTTAGAATGAGGTTAATGCTTGTACTGCTTGCCGTGCTGGGTCTTCTCGTTGTTGCGATTAGTGCAACAGTGGCTCAGCCCGATGTGACCGGAGACGACCCGGAACTCGAGGAATTTGACTACGAGTGAGTATAGAGGACATGTTAATGTCATAGAGTTCCAGATCGAGATGGCAGCCAACAGAGTTCAACTGACACATAGATTTGTATTATGCTGATTAGATAAAAACAACTATTGCATCATAATAGAACGTAAGGCTTTGGTGACTTCTGTTTTCGGTTGCTGCATGTTTGGCCTTGAGTACATGAGAGCATCTAGGTACGCTTTGCTAATTCCCACTTGCAACTCTATTTCGATTTTTTTTTTCAAAAAAATTACAGAGGTGAAGCTACTCTGTTCGTTATAGCTCCTTTAGAAGTTATTGTGTGGTATATATGATGCACAGATAAGTACTTTATCAAGTGACTACCATAAACTGATTTATACTACAGTATCCTGAAATATTCCTCTCTATGTACACCTAAATTATTTTCGACTTAATTAATAGCATTTCTGAAAAGAGGACGCCTTACATCTAACATTAATTTTGACCGGTTTACATATAACCCATTGATAGAGAGAAATCATTAAACGTGTGACGGTTTGAAATTCCAGAATGTCCGATTCTGATCCCGAAGACCGCACGGAGTTACGCGATGGATGGAAAGTCTGGGTGTCCCCGTTTCATCTTACCGGATTCAAAGTAATTGGACGCATTTTGGCGTTCCTAATATTATCCTTTACAGCACTACAGAGTATTTACTGTTGTATTCTCGTCATTACCATAATTTGATTGAAGTAAACATCTCGGTATCAAATTTTAGGACCTACCTCTTCTAAACGTATAATGATAAGTACTGAAACTAAAACAGTTCTTTTACCTAGAGTAACGTGTCTTAACAAAATTTAGGGAAATGGGTCCCTGGACGTTGGGGTCTATGTAGGATACATTGTTTTTGTTGAACCAGATTAAAACTGCAGATTAAAACTAGCAAACTTGCAGAATATTCAATAAAACACCATGCAATTTGCAATTAGGATTTCTGAATTTTTCTCAATGAAAATAATAGCACAGGTCGGGAAAACAAGTACAAATAAGTAACAGGTCTCCATCCTATCGTAACCTAACTGACAATTTACAATCCTACTTGGCACAGAGATCTAAGTGTCCTCAATCAAAACCTAGTAAATCGCTATTAGCCACCCTTCTAAACGCAAGCAGGTTACAATAATCAGAACTTTTTACTTTCTATTAAAATGGTTGTTCTCTACAGTCCAATACTGCCCTATCTTCCCCTGCAAGTCATAACCTTTCTAACACGAGGTTTTTTCGAAATCGCGAACGGATCGAGAATAATCGATCGAGTAACTTATGTAGCAAATACGCGAATCAGCTAATGCTAGGGCTAATGAAAAGTTTTTTGGCATTCCTCATCATACCAGGCTTTACCCAGACATATCGATCCCATGACTGCGTTCTCCAGTCGAGTCATGCCAGCACGAACTCGTTAAACCTGTGTTGGGTCTTAAAATATACATAATCCATAAACAACTAGACTATACGATCTGTCATTTTCCTCTTTGTATCGAATGCTGAAAAGTATTTTAAGCTAAACTTAGATATGAAACGTTATATGTATTATCATACAATTTTTTCTCGGAGCGCGATTCGATATAATTTTTCATGACTTATTATTACTAACAAATATTTATTGGAAAATATAGATAGATACCGAAGATTCTTTGCAATACGTCCTTCCCCTTGGTCGAGTTTTTTTTCAGTTATCGACGGTGACTACCACCATGGATCGACACATGACGAAGATGAGGCAGCGCGATAAGGATCGTGCAACAGCCGGCATGGACCAGGAAACCATCGCGAGACTCGAGCCCCTAAATTGTCAGGATTCCGGACCTTACAGGTACCACTACCTACCTGTCCACGCCCTCAGAAAGGAAACGTCATAGCCGCTGTGGTATGCTATGCAAATACCTAGCTGAAACAGGCGTAGACATTACTTTGATTATCATAGCTATGTCGGTATATATCTCCACTTTACAAGTGTAAATCGGAAAAACAACTTTCTATTCGGAAGAGTTTCATTCGAACAATGGCATGCTAGATACTTACTAGAAACAGAATTTTTTCAAGGTATCACTTCTCCTAAATGCATGAGGCCAATAAGCCTCTGGTCTAATACAACTTTCTGCCTTTAATGTGACAATACTATGATGATGCCGCTGCTGGTCGGTTACCTTCAGCAGTTTATCTAATATTACGCCGAATAATTCTAGGCACTTAGCATCGACCACACGATCCTATAGCAGCATTTGTTATAATTGTAGTATAGAATTCGTGGTTGGTGTTCGGAAAGCGTATGAAGTAACAAAAACCGAAAATGTACGCCATTAATCAGCACCAGCATATCGTTCACATCTAGTACTATGTAGTAATGACTAAAATAACAAGCCCAAGCAAAGTCTAATATAGATCTTCATAGGACCTTTGACGGTTCGTGTAACAATCTTTTCTATGGTTGTTGGGGCCGCGCTGGTGAGACCTATGGACGGCTTTTACCACCCGATTACGCTGACGAGATGGGAAAACCGCGTTGGGGCAAAAAAGGTAATTATACGATATCTATATTAACTAAAAATATATACAAATGAAATCAGAGATTAACAGAATGCTGGTCAACCAATGTTAGCCGTCACAGTAATATTTTTTTTGTATTCCATAGGTCTAAATCCAGCAAAGGATATTAGCTTTGGCGTCAGTAGTCAACCGTAGAGCTTAGTCGCAAGAACACAATAGATGATAACAAACAATAGCTAACAAACACGTTTATAGGTCACAAACTACCAAACGTTCGTGAGTTGTCGCGCGTGATGCAGGGAAACCAGGTTCAGTCATCTCAAACGAGTTCCGCGACCTACACTGATATGACCACTCATTTCGGACAGTTTCTCGCCCACGAGGTTGATTTTCGTAAGAAAGAACAACATTAGAGAATGATATAATATTTGTTGGAATGCTTGCAAAACAGCATATCTTCTTAAAATGCACGTAGTATTGTGTAAATTTGGCTAACATTTACTTCTTTATCACACCACAACCTTTAGTAGTGCTGCAGTTGTTCGTGTTGCTCTATTAAATGATGTTATTATTCCTCCAGGTATCTTCAGCGGCTCCATACTTCGACAAGGAGATACGGAATGGAAAGGTCGTCCGAATCAGTAAGTTTAATTTGTTTTGCATGGGCTGAATAGGGTCGATGATCCCGAAAGAAACGAGAAAAAACACACACAGAACGACTATCTTTTCTTAATAAGCTGCCAGCCAAAAAAACTGATTGAAAAATTAACATCCTCCGGGATATTTCTCGTTTTATTTTTTTGCCACGTACGTTAATAACTTAATATGCGTGCATAGAATAAGTAAATGGCAATAGCATGGAAAGCTCCTTTTAACTCTGGTTAACTTTAATCCGTTTTCGATTCGGCTTCCTGATAGCTTCACGAATACTGTATATATGCCCTGTACTGATCATGCCTGGATGAATATACGAGACTCAGTTATAAAATGATGACGCAGTGAAATTCGAACTCTTGCAGTCTTCAACTGACTTCACCTTAGCGGTAGCGTACGCTCAGCTTTATTCATAACCTCACCTTGATGTTATATAGCTTAATCAATTCGAAAAAATAATTCCTGAGATATATGCCCTTTATCAAACAGTGATATTGATTATAATCACATTCTGACTGCATATCTTTCCACAATTTAGCTCCTGTCTGCTGTCACAAGGTAAATAAAGACAGTGAATGTCACCCAATCGAGATTGGCCATGGAGACCCATTTTACGAGGATGGACATTGTATTGAACTTGTACGCTCGCGGCCGTACAACGCGTCCGAAACTGCCTGCCTCAAAAACAACGCCGGTAGGTAAAAGCTCTGCGTGCTTGCTCACCTGGATAACAGGAGAACATTAGGTCAACACAAACACAATTCAAGAGAGAGGAGAATTACTGATTGCTTTTATCTTCTACGCAAATCGACTAGTTAATGTTATATTATAGTTATTATTGGTATATTTGTAGATCACTGAAGGCTACGTGACAGAAACAATGAAATTTACTCATATGGGAATCGAGGGATCGAAATCAAAAACAACATCCGGCCTCCCTATATTGTTTTTTTTTTTTTTTCAGTAAAATCAAACATTCGTGAACAAGTGAATGTTGTGACGTCATTTATTGATGGTTCAGTAATCTATGGTTCGTCGACTAAAAAAGCTGAAAGCCTCGTTGATGACGACGGTTCCATGAAAATGGACAGGAACTCTAGGTAAGCCTGTAATCATGTGATGCCATTGCTACGAAAGAGAAGCGCCAAGGCTTGAAAGTTTATTTGCCGGATGCAATAAATTCAAATATAAAACAGTATCTCTAAAAGTTATGTATATTCATTTTGATGACAGATATATCCGTGGAGGTCTTATGCCTCGCACCGATGAAGAAGGATCCTGCAGCAGCTATTATCCCGGGTGAGATTCTAGGCAGGTTTCGCGGTTTGCTAGAGGATGATTCAATATGTTTATTCATTTACTTACTGCCATAGTCACAGCATCAGAGGACATCGCCAACATTGTGTTTATCTTAGTGAAAGTAAAGTGTGTACTATGCCTTTATTAAACATGGGCTCACCGACTGAAGTCAGTCTAACATAGATAGATGCTCTTGCCCAAATGTCGGTCCCAGAAGGCCAACGCTCTATAGTTCCGTGTCTCTGGAAGCAAATACCGATTTCGGTGTAACTTATAGGATCAAATTCAAATCTTTTGTGCTAATATGTGCTTTCATCATTGTAGTTGCGACGGACGTTGCTTTAAGGCCGGTGACATTCGTGCTTCTTTAACTCCAATGCTTGGTGCATTGCAAACGATATATCTGCGCGAACATAACCGAATCGCTTCCCATTTCGTGCAGAGGAACTGGACGAAGTGGCAGGTCTACAATGTGTCCCGAAAAATTGTTGGGGCAATGATTCAGGTAATGTCTATGGACAATCATACGTAGGTCAAGTTTCTTGAAAAAATAAGAAAACACTGGGATTGATTTACCCCATGATGTTTTGCTATTGGTTGACACTTACGATGCCTTTAGATGTAATAATCTAAATCTGGTTAATGAATAGTATATTTCCAATAGTTCATTAGGACGGGTTCCGTTTACTTGCACCACCTGCATTCGGGTACTTTGATTAAAAGCACAAACTGAACAACAATTAAACTGATCCTCTTTGTTTCGTTCATCCTATTACAGGTAATTACATTCAAAGAGTATCTGCCGCTGATGTTGGGCCAAGAAACAATGAGCCGTTATAACTTAACTATTCCTTCGCCCCAGTACAGATATCACCATCATCTAAACCCGTCGATTATAAATACCTGGGCCACAGCTGCTTGCCGGTACGAATCTTGTCGCTGTTGTAAGTTTTACGAAGATTGATATAGCAACTGGTTGAGCTATATCGTCTAAAATGTACTTAATAATAATAATAATAATAATAATAATAGATTTCCTTAGCAAGTTTCCAATCGCAAAAAAACCGCGTCGATTTTGCATGTGCCCAACAAAATTACAACTGAAGACCTTCTAGCTACCGAATTAGTATTTGACGCTACTGTTTAGTCGACAAGGACGACCTATACAAAAAAATTATATTAAAAAAATGTGTATGTATACACATATATATCTTCGAAGTGCTTCTCTCTATAGAAATTTTTCACATATTATTGACGTTTAACGGAAAGAGTTTTTGAATTGCTTCTTGCAATAAACACGGACCTAACATAAATACATGTGAACTGTTCCAATTCTTGCAGGGTGTCCCATTCGAACGTTGCCGATAAGATGAAACGCGAGGGTAAAACGCTTGACAGGTACGTTTGGTACTCTAAACGGGAATACCGTTTAGCTTGGAAAGGTTGTCTTTGTATTCGAGAAATGACCTTCTCGTAGACTTAGCAAGTAAAACATAAATAAAAAATGCGGTAAAAAGAATCGAATTGACAGGAAATTCTTCAAGCCAACCCTTTGTCATAATAGGAGAATTGCTTCAAACATAAAAAGTTTATTTCTATCCTATAAATGATTAAGGTATAGTTCCTAACTGATATTTTTAGATGCCCTAGTTTGGCCTATGATATTAATAATATGGACGACTATTGTAAACCTGAAACCGACCCTGTGCGTTCCTTCCTGGTTGGTGCCTGCGAACAGCGTATGCAGGAGTTGAACACGGTTTACACCCGAGAGGTAAGTGTTCATATAAGCCATTCATTAGGGATAAACGTTTCAGTTGTCCTAGAAGTAAAGCATACTATCTATGAGGCAATGTAGCAAAAACAATCCTGGCTCAGAAAGGCTGAAATTAGAATAACTTCGATATACCTGCATTGAAGAAGCTTGCAATATGATTGCTAGGTACTGTATTTGAAGTGATGACTATAACTTGCTAATCTTTTTGATAGGTAAACGCACGCATCGCGCGCTTGCTAGCTCCTGCTACAAAGGTAGCTAATGATTTATTTATAGCTATTTCAAACGGATTTCCTAGGTCACCATTAAGTTTAATTTGGGTATTATTTAGGTTACACGCTACCTGTTCTCGACACCGATGAAACCCGGGAAGGATCTTCGTTCGATTGACTACCATCGTGGCCGTGATCACGGGATCCCTTCGTACAACCAGTGGAGGCAGCTATGCGGCTTGCGACCTTACGGCTCGTTCGAGGCAATGAAAGCTGCCTGTTCAAACCGTTACGGAGACCTCATTAATAAATTAAAACACCTATACAAGTCAGTATTAGTTTCGTACTATAGTTAATACAGAAAAAGTATCATTGGACAGAAAATGATAATAGTATTCTGTAGTTTTACCATCTCGTTAATATCTCTAGCGGCAATGAGTCGACTGCACCCGCAGCCTGAGTAAAAATAAGCTTAGTGAAGGGTATGGTCTGAAAGCGTGTTTCGAAGTTCGGGAGGAACCTATGCAACTTCATCCGTGGATCACAGAACAAAAATCGTTGTCCTATGCTATGTAGCTAACGTATCAAGAAAATTATCACTTGTGTTTCTTGACGGCGGTATAGCAACGAGATCGACGATTTAGACTTTGGTGTGGGCGCTATCCTCGAACCGGTGTTCCCTGGCTCCACATTTGGGCCTACCGTCACTTGCCTGTTTGGTCATCAGTTCAATCGACTTAAGTTCGGCGATCGGTTTTGGTTCGAGAATCCTAAAGTGCCAACAGCGTTTACTAAGGGTATGCCATTTATTCGTGTTAAATGAACCGTCAATTTTTTTGGTTTAAGAAGACCGTCTGCAAATTCTATCTAGCATGTTTTCTCACGATGTTTTCTTGCAGCTGGCTGTGTTACCCTGACATCATGAGTAGCTCAAGAGCTAAATAATGAGTCTTAGAATGCGTTGAAGTCTGCAACACTCTGAGCAGATTCTTTGATGACATTGATGTGAATAGCATGTATAACAGAGACCTTTCCAAAGACCAGGACATTATTTTCTTTCATTTAATCCGCTTATGAAAAAAAAAGCATGAGTTGTTTCATTTTATTGCTTCAGGACAGTTATCAAGAATCTACAGGATCACACTAGCAGGCTTAATCTGCGCAAACACAGATATTCTGCGAATCCAACGAAATGTATTTCTTATTCCTGGGTAAGAACACATAGATTTCATTATATTATTCTATATATCTAGTCTCATGTAGGTTATCGATACGAACAAGACTATACAAGGAGCTCTATTTAGAAAATATGAAGTCCTTTCAGAACGTACGATACCCTAGGGTAGAATCAGATGCCATTGGTGGAATCACATATAGTACTGAATTCAGCTTCTAAAATACCTCTATAAACGGCAACTAATTATTATTGTTATTATTGCTGTTTTTCAGATCGACCAATCCTGTTGTGAGCTGTTCACAGCTGTTAGCGGAACAAGATCTTCAACTGAATTCCTATAATTACTAATGGTAAAATTCGGTATAAAATAAGCAACTGATTAAATACGATTGCTTGTCTTGTCTGCTAACTGTCAATAACCAAAAAATAGTAACTCAGGATAGTGATTTACACATTATGCGACATATTAGCCTTAGTGTATACAATAAATATAGGTTTGTTAGCCAGCCACTTATGTCACACTTTGTTAAAGAATAGTAAAAGTAATTTTACTGTTTGTTCGACACTAGTTAAAAGACTTCTCTAATTAAACCATAATCTCTAATTTAACCATAATTCTCTAATTAAACAGCTATCACCAGATTACAAGTTTATTTAGAATGCTTAGCCGCAATGTAACCTGCTGCTAGTAACCTTTCCTGAAACAGGCATTCCATATTCAGACTACATTATACACGTTCTACTTATTTTTTTTTTTGGCAAAGGTTCGAGCTCTTTGTCAAAACAAGATGCCACAGATACGTTTATTTCCCCGCTGTCGTAGGTCCACTTAATTTGACACTAATAAATTCATTTTTTAAAAAACTTAACTAGCTTTCTTCAATCAATCTACTAGAGATTTGTCACTGTTTCTGATAGAAATTGCTTCTTCCAATACAGACAGCAAACTTTGTCCACTAAATGACCGGCTTGCGTGCACTTCATTCGTATTTGTTTTTGTAATGTTTATCCTCAACAGAGGGCTTCATAACACTTCTGTAGGATGCTGATTGGCCTTTGCCGCTGGCGTATGCTTTTGAAGCGGATTAAGAATGTATTGGCCGCACGCATATGTCTACGCGTTTATGACGGTTCTTAATAAGGTAACAAAAAGGTTTATGTGAGATGCGAAGAGAGAAATATTAAAATAATCAACGAGTTCTAAGCCCGGCACCTACCGAGCTCATAAATTGCGGAAGCATAAAACAACACGCCTTTAGAGATTTCTAATTCTTTTAATAATAGAACCCAGGCCGCTAAAGCGAAAAAGGCCACGTCGCCACTTGCTTGTCGTTATCACAAAGGGCAACATAATGAGATGCAGTCATCTACAATAGCAACTGGCTTTGTTCCGCTATTCGGACATTAGAAAGCTCGGTAATCAGCAATACATACACAATTTCAACTCAGCCCCTATCTATCAGAGCTTCACGTTTAAGAATTGTGTTATGACACCTATAACTTATGAAGTACCATCCTAAAAGGGAAATTACTCCGAGGAGTGAAGATAGCATTTGCCTCGTAGAAACCAATATGAAATCGGAAATCGTTGGCAGCACATAGTATTTTGAATACACGCAATTTACACCGCTGAAAATCGGCAATTTAGCACATTCGCATATGTGATGCAATAGTTTTAAAGGGTTCTATTCGAAGAAAATTGTAATACAAAATGTTCAGATGGGGCCTCTAAGTCAAAGAGACTCGTTCGCTTCATGGTAATATCTGTTTAGCTTTAATCATAATTTTAGCTTTATTTTGATCATATACATTCAATTTGACATCAAAATTCATCTTGTTAAAGCCCTAATTGCTTCATTAACACTCATGACATCCTTAGGCATCCCATAGCATATGAGGTCCTAGGCACGCGTTTGTATTCAAACTTCATAATAATAAAAACAAGTACTTTATGCGGCGTTTTTGCATCGACATGCGAAAAATTTTTCCCGAACTAAAGACAAAGTTGAGTGCAAAGTTACTGTAATCTTGTGCGAACGAGTTCATTGTAGCGTTTTTCTGTAAGGCATGTGTATAGAAGCTTAATACATTATACTTTTATCACACAAAATAGATACCTCGCGAAGTGGTCCTCGTCAGTAACAGATCGCAGTTATCATGGAAGTTTATTTGAATTTGAAATGAAATTTCGCCATATTCCTATGCATTGCAGAATGCGTTACCTACCTGGCCTACCTACAATGTTCATATTTTGTTGATAACAGATTAAGCGTCTGTTTAATATTATTTTTTTTATTCATTATGTAGTAAGTATATGGTTGCAGTTGAATGAACTTAACTTGGTTGGAAATAGTGTCTCATTAACAATGTATATTACGTACTCCGCAAAGTCTAGAGTACTGCAACCGGGTCGAACTATGTTGTGAGCACGCAATAGTAATCGCTTTGCGAACACCCCCCTCTTTACTGCCTCGGGCTTAAAACTACAACTTGTAACACAAACAGTTGTCGTTGTATAAGACATCACTAACACATGAAGGTACGGTTGATAATCGATCTCTTTTTGCGATCGATTCTGGGGTTTCTCTGTGCCTGGTTGTATGTGGACGTTGGGTTTTCTTCACAAGACACATTGCAAATGGTCAAGTCGTGTGGGTCCTTTTGAAATGTTCTAAAAGCTATTGACCACTGCCCTGTTGTTGCTCTTCGCATCACATCATCGCACAGCGTATAATCACAGATTTCGTTGGTTTTGAGTGAAAATAATAAATTGCAATTTTTCTATTCTATTATGACTTTTATCATGGCATCGGTTACAGGACACATTCGCACGCTAGCGGTCTGTCCGACGCTGGTCATTGTAGTTAAGTCATATGTCAATACAGTCCTTATTATATCATTTACGCATTGTCGAGATCGAGTCCGGCGACGTGTGTATAGTATTGCTGGAGAGATTCTTTCGCTGCGCTCGAGTCGGGTCGGATATTTTTATTGTTGTCCTTGCAGCGGATTCCAAGATTAAACAGTCCTTCTATAACCAGCGTTGGTGGGAACGGTAATCGATTATCAACCACCTGTAAACAGTTGAAAATTGTCAGGAAAACGTTGCGGCAACTCCTCAACTGAATACAATATCGTCATATATGTATTTTCTTGTTCAATTCAACTAATAGAAATTACCCTGAGCGGAAGGAAACAAGTGCAGAAATACGTTATTACTGTTTCTAATGAAATTAGTTACTGTTTGAAGAACAGTGAAATTAATTCATACTACACAAATGAGCACCTGTTGGGCGTCTTCGTCGTCGACATAGTCAGTAATATGTGTATGTTTTCTCATTGGGTCAAACACTGTCAAGCCTGTCAAGATTTCGAGTACAATCACGCCAAACGAGTACATGTCGGACTTGACTGTGACGTCTCCGCGCAGAATATCGAGCGCCATATAGTGCGGAGTGCCTGGGCAGGTATGGGTGAATGATGTATGCGAACCCTTTTTCTCACGTGAGAGACCGAAGTCGCCTGTAATAAACAGCAAAATAACGTGTCGCCAAATCTTCTGTACGATATTCGCCCGAACAGCGAAAGAAGCGAAAAAAGTTTTTTTCCAATGGGAAGCTGTCCTCTATAGGCTTGTAAGACAAATAAACCTCGTTTGCCTGAAACTTCATGTTGCAATAAGAACGTAATATATTTTCGCGTAGGAAAAACGACCCTTAGAATATGCAGCGTCGTAGATAGCGGTATCGTCTGCTAGCATTTGTGTCCAATGGCCGAACGTTTTCCACTTCGCGAATAAATCTATACCAGATAGATTATTTGCTGTCTAGTCAAGGCCATCTTGGACAGGTTAAACCAAAGACTGAATTTGTCATACCTAACAAAGCATTCATATCATCGTCGAGAAGTATGTTTGCCGGTTTTACATCCCGATGAATTATTGCCGGTTTGAGCGAATGCATGTGCTCGAGGGCGCTGGCAACATCGCGCAGAATTCGCAGCCGAAGCACCCACGGCAGTACTTCGTTTCGAAGTTTGCGTTCCAAATTACCATTCTTCATGTATCTACAATGAAGGTCACACCGTTTAGACCAATGAGACAATTTCTCTGTCTTTTCTCATACATATAATAATGCCGTAGTCAGCATGCGTTAAATCGCTTGACATATACAGATTCAAGTTTGACCGCGCTTTTTAAAATCGGATATAAAAAAGAAAGGGCGTACACGATTAATAGATAGTATTTCCAAATTTGACATACAATATACTTCACCACTACTCGAACAGGTCGTAAATACAATTCTGTCTAATTATCCGTAACTATCTGATATTTTACAATGCGGAGAATAATGATCTAGATATGATTAATGATAATTATATTACTGATCATTAGATAACAAATAATAACATTGTAAGAAATAATCGTCACCTAAGCATTCACCTGGTTATAATACACCGTTTGGTACCTGTATCTACCACTCCGTACAGTGATAGCAAATTGGGGTGATTGAGTTTTGCCAGTGTCCGTATTTCGCGAAAGAAGAGCTCACCCTCAGCTGGATTCTTAAATTTTTTTACGGCCATCTCCTGGCCATCGATCATCACCCGGTATACAGATCCAAAATTCCCTTCGCCGATTTTGTTGGCGCTGTTTATCGAGAAGTTGTTTGTAGCCTGCGCCATACTTTCAAAACATATCTGATACATGCCATCGAGATAGGGTTCCAGTTTAGCAGAGGGAATATGCATGTCATCCGTGAGTACGCTTGATAATGAGGTCTGACAAATTTCGTTCTCCCTAATACGCAGCCCTTCAGCAAGCTGTGATGCAACGTTATGTTGCTCAATACGCCTGAGCATATTGTACAAATCGCGAATCGTGGGACGATTTCGGCCTGTCGTCGACCACGTCTTCAGAATTTCATCCGTCGGACTCACAGTTGTTTTGTTGTCTCCAGATAGAAGTTGAATGTGTTTTTCGTCAAATAGCCTATTTGCCTTGTTATTAGCATCTTCAGGCTTGTCCGGGTGCGTAATTTCTGCCGCAAGAGCTTGCCAACCGCGATTCGAATCGAGTTCCTGAATGACGATTCGCCGAGTTCTTGCCTCTAAGTGACGTAGTTCAATGTCCATCTGATCTTCTTGTCGATATCCGTCTCCACTGCTTCTACCCGAGACCATCGTAGTCAAGCCTAATGCCCCGCTAAGTTTTCGTATTTTTTCTTCGAGTACTTCAATTGACGTTTCTTCCATCGAGCGGTATGTAGCGTGCGTTGCCGGACTTGATGTTCGACGGGGGGATGCTGAAGATACTCGTAAGTTAGGCAGTGGCTGTTCTGAAATGCTTGGGACCGAAGTGGGTGTGACTTTGTTTTTGGGATCTGCAGACGTTGTCTCATCGCCACTACTCGTTACTACGTTATTGTTGATACCAAGGGTCGATGTCGAGAAACCGTCGTCAAAAAACGAGCCTCTTCCTTCAAATACATCAGATTCTAGTAGCTGAGCCACGGATCGAGTCGAATTGGTCGATTTTCCCTTGTCGCCTAAGTGACGAGAAATGAAGCGCTTTACGAAGCTCATGAGGTCGTCAGGCTGCTCACAATTACAAGCCAGCTAATGGCAGCAAAGCCGACCTGCAACAAAACGATGCACAGCTATTTTATACATTAAACGGGATCTTTGCAGTTTTGGTATATTTTTCCTATAAAACTTAGAAAACGAAACTGAGGAACAAGTAAAAAAAAACCGCATTAAACGGACGCCCGTTTGAAAGCGTTTTAGATGTTGTTACAACTTTTGCTACGAAGGTTGTTTGAAGGTATTTGCTAACAATTTTATGTTTGCCACAGCAGTCGCGGCCTATTCGAGTATAGTGGCAGTTAAATTTGTTATTTGTGTATAGTCCCTTTACCTTGAAGACCATTATATGTCTATTGAATCAGTTAGGCGTGAACAAAAGTTATTCACATTCTACTTAAAAACCGTAGTACGAGCTAGCGTTAAATGGAAACGAAGAAATCGAACTAAAGAAACAAAGGCTTTTCCCTGTGACGTGTCCGTCGATTACAGCACGCTTGGAAATTTTCGTTTACATAACAGAGTTTGCCAAATGATTTTTCGAAATTGAAACATTATATGCAGGACAGTAATTAAATCTAAAGTGAGCCTGTAAGAGCTAGGCTATAGATGTGAGAGAACCAAATAGATTTAGCACGCTTTAAAATGCGACTTGAAAATTTCCACACAAGAGACAAACCGTACAAACTTCAGACTTCAGTAAAAATTGTCATTACTGTATAGACTGGCCGCCAGTTGGATTGTAGAGCTTTTATCCGACTATATTTCGGATATTTACAGAGTTTTGAAGCTTATTACGAAATGATCTTAAACGGATTAACCCACTGGATAAAAGGCTTTGAACCCAAGGGTATATATGATCATGAAGTATATATGATCGTTATGGTCCTTCTGTACAAAGCATCTATACTAATTTATCGTTTTGATCACAAAAACTTATCTGAGAGATCGATTATTTAAATAAGTGGTCGTTTTTGTTCATACGTTACTTACGTGTCAGACTTAGCTAATGCCATTAGACTTTTCTAGTTTAATCGGGACTGAATGCAAGAAACCTACAATTTTTAATATCATATATTTTTCCGTTTTCTATTTTTGTCTAACAGTATTAGGTGACTACAAGAAAATCTAACAGACTTCTATTTTTTAATTGAACAACTTTTTCTGGCAGACAAAGAAAGGTACCTGGTAAATATCCCAGTCCTCTAGAAACTTGTGGGTGAAAACCGGTTGAATTTTCTTGTAGAAATAAATTTAAAAAAAGCCATTTTTTAGTCTTGAAAACCAACGTTCAGTAGTCAAACTTTTGTGCCTTGAAGGTCACACCGTTACATAAATTTGTGGAAGACATTAGGCAAAAAAGCCTTGAGCGAAAGCGCAATAGGTGGCTGGCGCAAACTTTATTGGAGAGTTGAAGATCAGCGAAAAGGTGACCAGATGTTGGGACGCGAGGAACAACGACGCATTGCCGTAATTGGAACGGCCTTTCATGAAAGCAGAACTTCGATTTTAAGGGCCAAAATTGGCATTCCATGTAGCGCGTTACAAAGCTATAACCCAAATGCTGAAAATGCGGAGACTGTGTAAGAAAATAGGTCATTGGCACGGAAATCAAAAGTATGCAGTCTGGTTACTTGATGACAACGGCAGACGTCATCGCCATGCATTCGTTATTCTCCGGAATATCAAAATTAGCCTCAATCTGTTCGTTCTGACCTAAACCCGTGTGATTACGAGGTTTTCTTTGCCCTAGAGGGCGCAATAGCTAGTGGACAAGCATGTTCCACGATCGATTTACTTCGAAAAGTCGTAGATAGATAAATTACATATGGGAATGCGAACAGGATGTATATGGTTATCCAAAAGCTGCCATGCGTTTGGACACGTCCAGAAGACGAACAGAAAAGGTACCTTTAATGCGAATTAAAAAATTATCGTCCTAACTCAAAATTTATTCGTTTTTAAAGTTCACCGGATTCACTTCTAATGATGGTCTTATGATGGTTTTCATAATAACTTCGTCCGAGTCCCCTAGTAGAAGTTACCTGCACTAGTTGCGAACTCTCTTCAAATCAACAATATCACACAAGCAAGCATCGAAACTACTTTACACGATTTTAGGAAATTGCCAAGCGGCCGCCTTCAACACAATTCGAATTTGGGCCCTACTTCTGAACATCAACAAGTTGCTAACGCGCCCCTGTGAATATATTACATTTCATAGGGTCAATTATACACTACAACATAATTAGGTATAAACTCACCTGATTTGCTGAACACACTGACAAGCGCTGTCGTAATTTCGTCGAGCTAAGACTACAATAGATATATATAATGTACCTGCTTAGCATTCGTGGCCACCTATGCTACGTTCGCATTAGCTATTGCACCATGACGAGAAAATCGTATCTAAAAGTGGCTTTTCACAATAGACGTATTCATCAATTCGCAATGAAACAGTAGGTAGAGCAGTGATAAATATAAAGTTAATTGAACAAGTAATAGCAACCTTTCCACTTAGAGCATGTGGAAACTTCGAATGAGCGGTATGTACGATGTTTGTTAGCAGAGCGAGAGTCACTAATACTGGCCTATAGGCTCCCCGAACAGAATCACTCTGCGGCTCTGAATCGCCAAGCGAATGGACGCATTCCTGTGCAATGCGGTTAGCAACGCTGTTGAAAAGTGCGAGTGACAATAATGTAACCTTGATTTTGTTTTTATTTACGTGAATTATTTATTACGTCGATCCGTTCTATATTCCTATATACCCATTAAATAATGTATTATATAAGAGGGTAGTGTAAGACGACATTTTTTCTTCCGACGAAAAGCGGCCTTATGTAAACAGAATATTCATTATTTAAAACATGAACTACACAAGCACGTAAGAAATAGTACGTAAGGAAAATAAATATCGTACTTTTTTATTCACAAATATAGAAACGTTCGTTTATTAGATAACGAATGCTCCTCTAAACAAATTAGATAGTTCTACTTTTTATCATGGCTGCAGCGTATACTGTTATTACAAAACACATTGTATTTTACAAAATGTATTGTAGAACGATATGAACCACTAGAAAGACTGTATAGAAAGGCAACTGGATACGTTCACAAGAAAACGAGGCGGAATCAGAACCAGAAAATATATTTCCTTTATTAGAGAATTTGTAACTCAAAATGTACATAGAAAAAGGACGATCGTCGGAACTCATTGGACTCAATTCGAAAGGAGCTACGAAATCAATATAAGAACCATTGAGTTATCTCTTTAAGTTATATAAAAGATTTGTATAAGATTTGCTCTGAATTATCCGAACTGGCAGTTTTTCCATCATTTTCCTTAGTAAGTTATTAAACTACCCAGGTCACCCCACAAGAGCTTCAATTAAATAAAGAGTTTATAAGGGGAACTCCCGAACAGTAGGCCGATAACATATGTGAGATTCCAAAGTATATAATTACGCCTAACAACTGCCAAATCGTAAACGTCATATAATGTTTCTATTGTGTATTTCATGTCAATCTACTATATCTTTAAAGTTGAAATCAGCAGTGCAAACAGAGCAAACTTTACATCTAAAGACCATAACTACAATAAGTATAATCACAAATGCTGCAACAGCAGAATACATGGTCGCACCAAAAAATCTACTACAGGCAGTTAGTAAGTTAGCGTACTTCAAGTTCCGGCGACGGCGTAGCGGGCAGTGTATTTACCTGGTAAACTCGAAAAAGACATACTGGTCTGGGCTTGACTCCGACCGAGAACATTCATTGGTTCGTGGTAAAAACCAGACGTCTGTCTGATGGAACGGCTAACGGCGTTCCCGGACATAAGACTCGAAACATAGAGGCACTAGGTACTTCAATTCCCCTCATGGTACTCACACCCAGATAAAATGTTTGATTTTTATGTAAACAATACGCCTGGATAGTCGTTTTATTAATTTAAGTTCCTTATCTGTTCTATGAAAATGGCAGCATAGTCGTTATAAAGGATTTTTATGGCAGCCCCTCACGCTTTAAATCTCTACCTAAGATGTCAAAATTTGAAATCAAATTTGCATCTAGATGCTTTTTGACCCACCACTAAATCTATGAAATCTTATCCCCGACGTGTGATTAACCTTGGACAAAAACATCTTGTTCATTGCATCGACCTCCACCGATGTTGAAAGACGGGAGCATCGTCAGCATTTTCGTTCTTAATAACTAGTACAGCAAAAATGATCCAGAAGAGCAGATCGAAACCTCAGGCTTCTATATATGAAGCTATTTTTGCCACTAGTATAGGTTGTACCATGTTGTGCCCGCATATCCGCATATTTATAAATTTCTCGTAACGCGCAACTCATATATATAAGCGAAGAAACGGAAAACCGAAACATTTGTTAGATGATAGACGTGCTCACTTTATTGCGTTATCTCTCGCTCGCTCTCTCTCTCTCTCTCTATATATATATACATATATATTAACTTAATTATATATATACATATATATAAATATATATATGTATATATATAATTAAGTTAGTAAATTAGGTTAGTGAACGAGTTAGTGTCTGCACATATTAAATTTTGAGCGAGACGGGATCAACTGATGCTTTTCGGCGCTTTTTCGCTTTGTATTTTTCCTGATTTGTTTGCCATCAGCGCGTTCACGTGTTGAAGATCCCCCTGGAAGCCAATATTATCGACAAGTGCGTGTTTTTCGTTTGCACAAAATCCTTGCGCCAATGAAAATGCCTTACCACACGAGTCGTCCTGGCAGATTTCACTACAAAAACACTGAAACAAACCTGGCTGCCAACAACATTTATGTGATGAAGCCGATCAGTAAATCGACACGAACCCGTGAATCAGTTCAGGGAAACGTAATTTAGCCACCGATAAGTCCGGTCAGACCAATTATCGGGGGAGCTCATTCGGCATCTGTATAGAGGACTCTCATCAAACTGCTACACCAAGTAAACTTATACAATTTTCAAACACCTTATAGTTGCCTCAATCCTATTACCTTTCTCCCATAACTACAGCCCATGAAGTAATCGAGACAGGGCATTAACTCGGCCAGATATTCATGCGACTCTCGATATCTTTCAAAAGACGGATCTGCAAGCGCTGATTTACGTAAAATGCCAGAAAGTGAACCCATGCTTTGATTACTATAGCCACGCAAAATTTATCATGCGATACCTTATACAGCACCTAACCGTAACATCCCAGAAGATCAGATTGTTCGTAAAAAAAATTTGATAAATGGATCAGAGAGCTAAATGCCTGCACCGTGCCGTTGAGTGTAGAACGCTTTCAGCAACAAGAACAGCGAAGCAATAGGTCGACGAACAGGAACTTCTATTCCAAACATATAACGTATGTTAAAGTAACTTACATCATTAATGGATAGTTAAGCTGAGTGTATTTATGCAATGGCAAGCATCTCTTATTTTGGCTAGCTTCTAAGCCGCCTAAAAAAAAATTGTCTAATTTGGAGAACTGGTACACGATAGGCACATGACTGTGCGCATTTTCTGAGACATATACCAGACATATAATGCCACCGATAAATCACTTAGATTTAAAGATCGAGCTATATTCGCAATTCCCCATACAAGACAACATAATTTAATCCATACAGCTGCGGCGATGATTAATTGCTTTAATTTTGTAAAGTTGTCATCAATGATTTTGTATGCTTGGTCATACTTTGAAAAGTGTAGGGCTTTAAAATTGTTTTGCGCCTAGAATTCAGGTGAGCTGCTCACCGCTAGATTAAGTTCTCCCATTAAAACCCTTTATGCGGTCTCGTATTGTTAAACAGATAAGGAACTATTGCTTGCGTGTCTTTCGAGTTTCTCCTCGACGCGTCATCGGTGTTAGCATGGTCAATAGGCTGCTATGTTTATAAGCGGCTTCAGAGGAACCTGACTTACTTTTGCTAAGTAAATTGTTACAGCGTTGGAGCGAAACATGTAATCGCTGATAAAATTTTACGTGTCTTTGTTGCTTGGTGATTCACATGCTGAAACCGATAGATGTAGTTTCCGATTCCATATCTGTTCGATAGATTTTTTTTCATAAATAAATTTCTTAAACATCTCCGAATTATTGATTCTTTCCGATGTAATAATTTCTGAAAACAAATGTAGTCTGATCACTTTGCAAAAAATTTATTTGCGCTCAAAATATTCTAAAATTTTAAAGGACCCTAAAAAAGCTACCATATATAAACAATTCGAGCTCTAATTACAGGCTTCCGTTTAAGCAACGTCTAAATGACGTTTAAGTTTGTTTGTGCACTGCAAATTGCTTCGACGCACTTTTTTCGATACGCTCGCAGAATCCGTACCGGTGAACATACAACGAATAGGTGAGCATCAAATAAGTTCTGCATAAAAAATATTTTCCCATTCGCACAGCTCAAGCAATGCGTACAGCCATCTGCAAGACGACGAAGGACGGATAAAGCAAAAAAGACAATTGGAGGTAACAAACCGTCTTTGCATCGTCCGATTATGTGTTTTGGTTCTTTTGTCTACCTCTTCTATACAAGGCTAACGTGGAAGTTTTATTGAAATGTTGGAAACTTTACGATTGGAACAACAACGTGTCTAGTGTGCTTCGATGCCATATTATATGCGACTTGGCTAACACTCTCTGCTGCTAAAGAGTGCCACGATTTCTCATACAATTGTCGCATGGCCGCTCTAAACAGCGAAATAGTCTCCAGCTCATGGATCACCAGAGGCGCATCATAATTGATCTTCAAGCTGATCCGAAGCTTGATCCGAAGGCCGATAGTATTTACACAAATCGATATGGAAGTAATGAAAGATAGAGTCCCACTATAGTCTTATCGTACACAAAGTGCGCCAATGACGCCTAATCTTAATCTGATAATAATTTATAGGGCATCACGTAGGTACAAATTATTTACAGTGGCATCCAGCGAGATAAGGTGTACTATCATGATTGCAAGTTTTGACAGTATTTTCGTCTCAATAATGAAACAGTGGCAACTTATTTCCTCACCACATTTACGGGATGCGAAGTAAAATGGACTAGCTTCGAAATCGTACGTAGACATGAGGTCCATTTTATGCCTCGGAAAGGGCATCAGCCTCGGCAATGCTCAATACCGGAATGCACCGGATATAAAACTGGATAGGTTTAGAGAAAACAATAGTCGATCTTTTATATATATATATTTTATTTTTTGGGCTTTACGCCCATTACAGCTGTTGAAATTTCCGTTCGACGGCAAACCAGATATCTACCTCCGAGTTTGAATATACACCGCGGAATTTTTTTGATTTAGCAAACGAAGACGTTAGCGTTATACAACTATATGAACTGCATTTTTCTTGCATGTATATGTTTAAACGGAGGCTTGTGGCCCCTGGCGTTTTTAAAAAGAGATTTAATCGCCCAAGCCACCGTGCTAAAGAAGGCAAGACTCCAAAGCCTACACAGTCAAAGATTCCGAAGCACAGCCACTGTTACTTGACTAATAACAATACTTTTAGCAGCTATCCGGCAAAACTTAAAAGGCGTATAAGTCGAGCCATGCAGTTGTCCTAAAACTTTAAGGCGCTTTTACTGGAAACAGTCGTCATGCATATCTGTCCTATCTAGTCATTATGAAACCAACCCAGTACTAGTCTTGTAAATAATATGTATTCTTAGAATATGAACACTAGTGTTAAGTTGTTGTGGAGTAGCTCTTACATATTAAACACGTATAGGACGTTTCTACACTCTAAAATCCTAAAAGGATATTTTAGGCGCAAGGCTAGTGGATTATGGTGACAATTCAAAGCTACTTCAAGCATACATAAAGACTTCAAGCAAAAATATGTATATAGCTGCCTCATTCTTCGGACACATCTCAGCGTAGCGAAAATGTCGAAGGGCACGAGCGAAACCCACGTCATTTTTGAGACACGAATAAAACCAAAACATTAATTAGATAATCTGTTTTTAAATTGTATTAACATATGAATAAATAAATATTTTGAGCTTGTGAAACATGATCAATTTTCCATAGCCATACGCTGCCATAGCAGATCATTATGTTCAATACAAGATATATCATCACTGTCTGGTTAAATACATTTAATATTTTATTAAATATTTCTAGGTTTATATAATTAGAAGTATTGTTCAAATGAGAAGCATGCAAACTTTTATTCTATCTAGTTACTGAAAGAGATACGCAAGGCGGGTTCACTACAGCATACGTAAGTGGCGCTTATATTACCGCAGAATACCAACTTTGTTTTCCTTTTAGATCCTTAAGTCCTCTTAGATTTTCAAAGCAAAATCTTTCAAAGGAGAAAGAGGTTATGTTTACCTAACGCCTTCACCTAGCTGTTTGTAAAGCTTTTCCAACCCCAAAGATGTCTTGAAATAGTCATTATGACTCACCCTACGAGACGAATCATTTAAGCTAATGCGTTTCTCGTTGACATAACAATGTTAGTGGACCACATGCTTATTGTGTGTGTAGAGAATTGAAGTCAAATTTATTCCACTTCTACTACGTTTCTTCAAAATTACAATGATCGTTTGTGTATTTTTCGTATTGTGTTTTTTGGCCAGAGACTAATCAGTCAGTTGTCAGCGTACATCTATGCAGATCAGGTATGTGTGTATCCAACTGCTGCAGAAGCATTTGCAGAACTACTGAAACTCATTTTTTCTACGATAGAACTTCGAGATAAGGTTGAAAAACAACTTTATGCAGCCTTTACTTTGAAAATAGATAAGGGACGGTAGCTTTATTGGAGATGCCTCGGTAAACCTAGTAGCCTGTAGCAAAGCAAAAGCTCTTCAGAATCTTTCAGTTCATAAATTTATCTATGAAATACCACCAAAGATATATCTACCAAAACTGCCCAATTTAAATCAACGCCTCAAAGACTGAGGAGATGATTACAAAAAGATAACGAATTAGGCGGAGCAGGTGATTGAAATGGGAGAATTGTTGGTGTATATTTATTCTGGTATATATTATGTTAGGTATAATAACAACGAACCAGATTAATCAATAGCGAAAGAAGGTACGAGGCGAAGTCTACAGGTCGGTTTTGTATCCTACTGAAACTCTGTCTGTTCGTTTATTTGTCCGATCCAAATCGACCCAAATCGAAGTGGTTGGATTGGTGATTTTTGACGGTAACCGGGGTTTTATCTGGGATAGGGCTGCGCGTAAGGTCGAGCCAACTAATTGAATACCTTTTCTCTAAGGGAGTTTGCTTTTCCATCTTATAGAGCGTAATATTACGTTGGGCAAACTAGTTGTTGTTTTTTGCGACGTAACTTTTTTCGCGATAATATATTAAACTTGTGTGTAAGAAGGGTAAACTGGGTACTTTGATAAGATTTGCGAAGCAAAATTTTCGCGTGACGGAATAGTAGCCGAATGTCTACAGTGGTCTATTTAGGCTAAATTGTTGTTGACATTAATCGAAAGCTCTTGCTGAATAGAATGAAGATGCAATACATGTTTCTATACCCAAATCTTAATTTAAAATGCCCCTTGAAGGACGAAACTTGGTATAAGGCCATATGTAACACGGTCGTTCGTGGTACCCGAATCGAAAACTCTCCCCGAATTGAATAAAAATGCTAAATATGCAGTTGCACCTAAATAAAATATTTTGGCCTAAAAATTATCAAAAATCCATTAAAAGGACGAAAATACGCTTCAAGCTACCTTTAAGTGCTTTTCAAAGAAACTTCCGATAAAGATTAATCAAAGTTATAGCGGCCGATGCGTACGTATTAGTTGAACATCTTCTTTTGAAATTCTTTCCTAGTGAAAGTACCAAAATATCGAAAACGCTAATTCTGTGTAATAATAATGTGTATTTTCGCTCAGATGCCATTAAGATGATCTTCTTTGTACGGATGTCTATGAAGGGGTATTCCTAGGTACAAATCCAAAGCTCCTGACAAGCTAAAAGAACTAAAACGCAATACATGTTTATATACTTAATTTTCAGTTTTCAGGTCGAGTTTCCAATGCCGTTTGAAGAGTCAAAACCTAATATAGTGTTCTGTGCAAAATAATTTTTTCTGAAATAAATCGATAGATGAAATGAACAAAAAGAATACTTCTTTCAATTATGATATTTTTAAATGATAATTGTGAAAACCCAATTGGCCGTATCGGTTTTCTTGTGTACCAATGGGATGAAAATGTTTAGATTTCTTCGAACCAGTTTCTAATAAATGGGAGTGGGCAAATATAAACTTTATTTTCATAAAAAAAAATTCTTTTTAATTCGTTTTCAATAAAGATTCCACAGTGTGAGCTTTAGTACCAAAAAAGCGAAAAAGTTAAAAAATATCATTCAGTTTTGGTGACACAGAAATAGAATTGATCTTCTATTTATATGACATATCAAATGTTTTTCTTAACGCGAGTCAATCAGCCAACCGTAAAAACGCCTCTTTATTACACTTTAAAATCTACTTAAAGCCAACATATACCGAGTCAAGCTAACCTTCGAGTTGCTGAGCTCCTTGCTAAACATTACAACAGGTTGTTTAAATTGCTGAAGAACGTCAGTAGATTAACTGGAATAGGGAAATTGCAATGTAACCCCGTCTAATCGTTCACACGTAGCAACGGGCCCGCCGTTTAATTTCGGCATGCTAACATTTGTGCAGACAAGCTGTTCCGGCAGAATGGTGAGGATTTTTGTATTGAGACGCTGTAAATAAGCAGAATGCATTCATCCAGTCCGACTTTTCTGCACCACTTCTCGTTTTTCGTGCAATCTAACAGAAGTGTTAATGTGACTATTGCGAATACGAAGGGTCAGTCTGTCACTTTTCACGCTTGACGCTCGGCTGCCGAATTCCTGCCAGCCACCTAATGAGTGGCTGTCTGTCGGTGAATTCGGCGACTGCTATCGTCAACCGCAGACGCCCAAGTCACAGCGAATATCGTTCCGCTGAATAAAACGCAGAGGAAACATCGACATGGACATCGGTGGCACGTTTCAAACTACGTGCAGGTTTGACAGACGTCACGCTAGGACTACGCGCCCCACTAAGTCATTTTCATAACCCTTCCCAACCAGAGTCGCAATAGTAGATCGTTCCGAGATTTACCGGCCGACCGAACAACGGAGGCGGCGATCGCTGCGGCGCCTTGATTTGAAACTGTCCCAGGAAGCGTTGTATGGTAGCAGTAGCAACAGCAAGCGCCGTAGTTCGGCACACGAACGATTGGACCGATGGCAATCAACAATAGTGCAACAAAGGTCCTGCATACTATCGAAATCTTGTCTGCTGTGGAAATCGCAGCACTAACGGCTGACACAGTGGCCGAACCATCAGATCGGCCAATCACCAGCTACTGGAAAAATATCAGCAGTTCATAAAGTGTCCACTGCTCTATTTTTACATCGATGCTACACAGCGAAGATGACGATGATGACAGCAGTTCGTTCATCCAGCCTGTCTGTAAGTGTGTAGTAATTGCGGCATAAGTCGGCGCGACCTCCAACGACGTGAGCACTGTTTCTGTTGGATACAACGACAACAACCGTAGCGTTTACGCCAAATGCGCTCAGCTGCTCAGGCTGCTAGCCGTCGGACGGCGTTCGCGGTCCTGACCAGCGACAGCAGCGGCAACAACAACAACAACAACGACAGTACCAATCTACCCAGCTCCCAAACGGAGCGACGGCAGATAGGCTGTAGCCTGTCTGTCACAGGGAAACGACGACAGGACAAGGGCCTTGCTCTTTGTTGGACAAAACCACTACGAACGGAAAAATTGTAAATCGTAGAAGATCGTGCACATGTCCACTCAAATTATCTTTTATCATTACCACAATCACGAACAGTCGCAGAAGCAGCAGCAGTCTGAGGCGCAGAACAACTTCCACACAGTTTGTAGTGTATGTGTCTTCTGTCTGGGTGTAGAACTGAGTGTGTAGTGTCGGAACAACTGCATTTTGCTACAAGTAGATGTTATTATGCTATCAGTTGTATTATATACGATTCATTATTACATCTATTTCTCATTCATTATCATACTAGACTTAATTGCTGCTGCTGCTGCTGCTATAAATATTCACCAGCACACAGTCTCGCTGCGTCGCATGTAAAGTCGACCGCGTCGCAAGCCACTTCATTCCCGTAGTCGGTGTAGTTGCCCATGTAGTCAGTGTGCTTGTGATGTGTGGCTGTTATCAGTAGTCGAGTGTAGTCTGAGATAGGCCGAGCAGAGCAGTGGTATCCACTGTTGCCATTGTAGTCGGCCAGCGGTTCGAGTGATAATCTAAAAAGGGACTGTATAAGCACGAATATACAGCAGAGATAGGTACCATAGAAATCCGGACGTAACTGCGGACAGACCTCGAGATAGAAGACGACCGATAACGGCGCGGGTATCGTCCATGTGTTTGACTGCTTGCGGAAATTTCGCATCGAGCTGCTAAGGCGGATGCAACCGGTGTTGCGGCGTTGTGGACCGGTGCATTGGGCACACCGTAAAAGCTCTTCAGGGGACGGCTTCTATGGGACGTGCTGCGGCGTGATTTGGGGAGTTGATAGCAGTGGTAGGTAACCTCCTTTCCTTTTGAAGGTTGTCATGTCCAAATTCGAATTCGTTGTCATCGAATTCGTTTGTTTGCACCAGGTGCTGAGAGGCTGGCAATTTCTGGCATTTACAGTAAAAAAAGCACGCCTTTTTTTTTCTGCTGCTGATGTATCGAGCATGTGTGTTAGATTGACATATACCGACACGCTAAGATTTCGGTATTCATAACTGATGTTGATTGACTTCATATCTGCAGACAACACAGTCGTTTGCCTTCTACTGAGGAAGCTGCCGATATGTGATCGGCGGGATGGTTTAGTCTAGCGAGTCTCAAAACCGCGAAAGCAACGGACGGCTGTAGCAGGAACGAGACTGTAAGTCGTTGAAATTTGTAGGGTCGCCGGTTGCTGCTATGCTAGTTACAGCGGTGGTTATCGGCGCTAGTTTGTACATAGCTAAGAGTGTACAGCCCGTTGACAGCTAGAGAGTATCATGGCAGGCTGTTTTTATCGGGCAGCCGTAACGAGGCAAACAGCGGGAACAAATACGTGTAGATTTTACTACTAGTAAAAGAAAAGAGCTAGATAGGTAATGAAGTTGTGAGTATGCATGCGCACAAAGACCGGAACACGTCCTTGTCTAAACCGGCTGAGAAAATGGGGGCATATTGGCATACTCGAATATCGGATATAACAGAAGGAACAGTTGAAAAAATTTCTGTTGCATGTCCAGTATGGAAGCCGTTAGAAATTGCTTCAGATCGTTGGCTACGGCCACGAAACGGTGCATCTATGCCTAGACTCGAACCTCGACCACCACGTGACCTTAACTTTAGCAGTCAAAAAGGTTACAGACTGGGCTATCGCGACGACACAGTAGGAGTTCTTGCTGTAGAAGGGTGACTCATGTCGTCGTCATCGTCGCCTCTTTCTTTTGCTAGCTTGTTTTCTATTGACTAGAATTGATCTAGAAAGTTTTCTGCATGATCAGTAAGTACCACAAGTGTACCTAGAGTGGTGTAGACGTTCGAAGTTCTGCGCTGCTGTGTCTACATGTGTAGACGGTAGTGGAGAGGTGGGCCAACTATATACAAAGCACCAACAACTACTATAGGAATTAGTTGGTGCCCTGTTTGAAGGTGTGGTGCGCCGAGTATATCGTCGGGCAATATATAACCTGGCGACTGGTGACCGCTCAACAGTGAATCGTCATGAGTGAACCCCGGAGTGAACCCCGTGGAGCCGGCGGGAATGATCTGACCGGCGTATGCATGGGTGGTCGACATCGCATTAGTCGAAGAAAGCGTAGAACGTTGACGGTGTCATGCGTCGAATATCCATTTCTGTCTTCCTGAACAGAATTAGCAACATAATTAATAGCAATATAACAACCAGCTTAACCACGGCGGTAATACTACAACGAAATACAATAATGAATAGCGCGACTTTGGCGGGCAATAGCAGCAACAGGACGGGCCACCTCAACGAATATCGTCAGCAGGACTAGTACAACAACTTCTGTGTCGAGCGTGTCAGTTGCGGCCTTCGCAATTGCAGCCGTAACAGCACCTGCAACAGCAACAGAAACGTGTCTCACTACAGCTGATCATTTGGAACGCGCGTTGAGCACACGGCATCTGCCGCCGAAGTAGCAGATTCGATCCGTCCGTCTTCACAGCCGTCGCGTCGCTTTTCATTGTACGAGTCGATCCAAAAATTCCAAATGCTACAGCATACTATATATACTGAAATAATGACAACGCATTGCAAAATCCTTTGAATTTCAATGTTATTTAGCATAGACAGTTGTGTGTGAGTGGGTGTGCTCATGAGTCGGTAAATGAGTTACTTACAGCTGTGAATGTTATCAATCAGGCATACTTTATCAGCTTGTGATACATCTCGCGGCTGTGTGTATACTTTCATACGCTTTTTGGTATGGGCCTGCGTGTGTCACTGGGAATCACCCTCTAGAGCAAGTAGATCGTGAGGTTTCCTAAATGCATACATAGAACGATGATAAGATAATCGAAAGGCAACAAGGGACACGCTACTGCAAGCTTAAATAAATCTTAATGTTTTCAACTTAGCTGAAAGCCAGCAATGGCAAAGGGAAATAGAAAGGGCTTTTTACTGCAAAATTTAGTTCAGGATAGTAGAGTATTTCAATGGGTTGTGACCATTTGGCGTGCATTCTAAATAACCTGATACGTGTTCTACTTCGTTCGCTTTAGATGAGCGGTGAAGGCTGCCCTCACTTCGATGAGCAACGGGATGCGCTGCTTGAAGCATTCCGGGTCCTTTGTGCCGTCTACGTGTCGCCATGTACACGGGAAGCGCTCGCCAAAAAGGTAGGTTAAGGAACGATTATCAAGATGCGAACTCTTAGGGATATAAGCTATTGATTGAAACGATTGAAGAGTTTTCCTTCGAGGATTTACGTTGGGCAGTCTGATGTAATATTTGTCCTTGTTCAATTAAGATTCAGTTGTTACCTTCAAGAAATAGATAAACTGACCGATGTGACCACTAACAGGAGCGAAAAAAGTGGATTGTAGTTAGGGAAATAGGTAGTATGTACTCATGCTCAAGTGCACATTAAATTTTTAACAATAACACTCCTGTTGCAAACCTCATCTTATCTTTTTCCTAATCTTAAGACAAACTCAATTGAATTTCATGATGTAGGATTTTGTAAGGTTCTGATTCGAATTTATTAGAGCCCGGTCCTGTACTGCACAAAAAACAGATGCAGACAGATGCCCAGAGAAAAAATGTTTAACAAGAATGTTATGCCCCAATTAGCCGCTTCTCAATGGGCCCCCTGACTCTGTTCAGTATAAAACAATACATCTGGTCACACATGTTGTGTAGTATATGTCATTGACGGGGCTTGAAACAACAAATTCTGGCGTCAAAGCAAGCCTTTATTAGAAATACGCCCATTATTGCGAGCGGCTAAGTAGACAGCTGTGTTAATTGGCTGATTAGCTAAGCGGCTCATTAATTTGGCAACCGAATATCAGACGAGACAAAATACTTACATGGCACTCGTTATTGAGCCGACTAGTACCACACACTACCATTTGTTCCAGTGTTTTCAGAAATTGAAAATTAACCATAACCATGTGAGAGATAACCTCGATGTCAGCCACATCATCCAAATAGCTTTATTGTTATTACTATTCTGTATTAATGTTACCTACGGTCAAATTTCTTCGATAAGTCTTCGATTGTACAGAAGCCGCAAGTCATTCAGCTTGAAATTAAAGAACTTATGATGTATGTCACAGCTTTGAAGTTCGTTTGTATAAATTCAAATTATTAGGAGTGTTATCCTATACGAGTTGAGCTAATATAGCGTTTCATTTAGCTGTCATTACTAATCTTTGTCACTCACTTCTTTACGAACACACCAGCAAATACTGATGGTACGTGTCCGAGACCATGTGTTACTAACTGACAGGCGTTAATTTAAATTCACGAATATATGAGATGACATTGTTTTATTTTGCATGGATATATAGGCAGCTTTGACTCTATACTAGTCCAAAGATAATTGGTAAAAAGAGCAAAACTTAAGGCAACCCTATTGGTCATTTTGCTGAAGAAGTCTGAGGTATTTTTGTTTGGACAAACTCTATGTATGAATTGTAATTTGTATGAACTGAGGACGTGTTAATTCATACATTGGCTTCAATAGTGGTAGGACTTATGTACAGATGTTGTTTATATATAATTTGTATATGTCAGATTGCAATAATAAATTTGAATTCTCTTGAACGAAAGCTGCTTAATTCAATGCGATTGTTTTCCTTTTAGGCGGAAACGTGTCGATGCTTCTCCTGTAAAGGCTCGCGCGCCAGCGTACGACTTCATGCGTGTCTCCATTGTGTATTCGTCGGCTGTTTCGTCGAAAAACATGTTCACGAGCACAGCCGGACCAGCGGCCATCTTCTAGGTAAGCAAAAACGATTTCTGAGACAGAATTTGAAAAAAATGACAGTTTGCTGAGGATCCTTGTCGATCAGTCTTAACTCAATCACTTACATATTAGTTGTTGACCTTGAAGAATTTCTCAATCCACTATTTCGGGACCTTAATATTAGATAAGTTACCAAGTATGCTTTTGATATGATATTATTGAAATGTACTGCTAAATTCCGCTCGAACAATGCTCAACATATACATGTATAGTGCTAGCATGCTATTATAATTGTACTGCTAGAAAAAAAATTAACTAATCAAAACAAATTATGTACCTCCATCGCGTGTATCGAGTAGCGTGACTCGAACTTTTAGATATTACTTTTTAAATCAGCCAAATTGATTAAAAAATCTCAAATATATAAAATCGTTCGTAAAAATCCTTTTGCTAGCATATTTTGGCCGCTGCTATAGAAATCGCAAATTCTATTACTATGTTTCTCCAGAACAGTAAGCGTCATTAACACTGTATTGGTAAACGCTTACGAATCGAGATAAACCTATTGCTAAAATCGAGCCTTGATAAATATAGGTGGCCAACGACAATCCTTTTGGCATCTAGCTGCGTATAGGTGTGGCCGGCGCCAGCGGTCACTATCCAAGTAATCGCGGATTTCCCGTAATAACAGACTGTGAAACATAGAATCAGGCCATTTATTTTTACTGAGAAGAGAAGTTTTAGTATTAATTCCGTATGTAATTAATTTTTGAAATATAAAACTTAAGTTAAAAAAAATTAAAATGTTTGTTTTTCTTCTATCGAAGCTATCGAACTGGAAGTACTCTAATATCTCGACAGAGTTCAGCAGATTATTAATTTATCGGCTTCTTATAAATGTTTGTGTTTTCAGCGTGTGACATTTCTCATGGAATTTTATACTGCTTCGCTTGCAAAGACTACCTATATGATTTATCGTTAGACATCGTTGCGCGGCAGGCCCGGCGACGACTGGCTCGCTTGCTAGGTTTACGGGAGCTGTTAACATGTGGCGCGTGGGACCCCGACTCCGATGGCCTTGAGCTTTTGCGCCGTCACCCGAAACGAATCAAAATCGCAAGCAACTCACCGGTCGGCCTGCGTGGCCTATTCAATCTCGGAAACACGTGCTTCATGAATTGTATCGTCCAGTGTCTTACGCATACGCCGTTATTGCGTGACTACTTTCTGGCCGATCGGCACAAATGCTCACTGCCTCATTCGCAGACATGTCTTGTCTGCGAGATGGGCGACGTCTTCCAGGAGTTCTATTCAGGCAAATCCACGCCACACGTCCCGTATCGCCTGTTACATCTCGTGTGGACGCACGCTCGCCATCTAGCCGGTTATGAACAACAGGACGCTCACGAGTTCTTCATGGCCATCCTCGACGTTTTGCATCGTCACGCGTCCAGGTCGCATTTACAGCATCAGACAGAAGAGTCGCCAGGGTCACATGCGGGTGACTGTCGATGTATTATCGATCAGATTTTTACCGGTAGCACACAGTCGGACATCGTATGTCAGGAATGTCGAGGCGTTTCGACAACGGTAGAACCGTTCTGGGATATAGCACTCGATCTCGGGCCAAGTCACGCCGCTGAGCACGGCTCTGAACCGAAGAGTCTCACTGATTGTTTGGACAGCTTCACACGACCCGAACATATGGGTGATTCTGTTGAGTGCTCGTCATGTCATTCGTATCAAGAGTCCACAAAACAACTTACGATGAAAAAGTTACCCATCGTTGTCAGCTTTCACCTAAAGGTAAATTCTACTTTTACTGTACCTTATAGTATCTAGAACGAAACATCCTGTATGTACAGTAGTTTAAGTACAAAAGGTATGCTTAGTCTGTGTTCGGCTTGTTGTAAGGGCACGACTTCGTTGGAAACTCGTTTTGTGAAAGTAAGGTACTCAGTGAAAATGTTTCCTCCATTTTGTTTGTTTTGTCTGTTTATATCAAATTTGTTTTTTGTTTTAATTAAATTGTAAGTCGTAATACTGATAAGATGCAGGCGCTCATATCATACAAAGATGTAAATTATGATCTTATCCAGATCCGATATCGCAACACAGCAAGGAGTGCCGTATAAAAAAGTCTCTCATCAACCTATATAAAACCCAATATCCGCCTGGATAAAGTCTATTAAGCAAAAACCAATATGACTCTACTATAATTTTTTCCTACTCTTTTTCTCACAGAGGTTTCGGCGAGAACAGTCTACGAAAAAAGTTTCGACAAGGATAAAGTTCCCGCAATATTTAGATATGGCACCCTACATGGCAGGACGAAATGGTAAACCCGAACCAGCTGCTCATACTGGTCAGCAGCAGCAGCAGCAGCAACAACAACAAAACCAGCAACCAAATTCGGCCGGTTCTTTGCTCAACAAATACTGCCTGTTTGCTGTGGTCATTCATAAGGTATGTCAATGGATAAACGAAAAGCAGCAAATATTCAAGGAAAGTTGCCCGACCGGTGTGCGTATCTTGTCTAGAAGTTCGATTGTAGTGAAACTTAAAGCATCTGTTCGAAGTAGATATATATCTTTCGACTGAAACAAACCAGAAGCTCTTAACTCCCTGTCTTCGTCAACGTTCATCATTTCCGAAATCCCCCCCCTTGCGTGTAGCGAAGAAGAAAAAAGCTAGCGTATAGCTGACACCAGACGTAAGATTGATGACTTAGAATAGAATAAAATCCATGCAGAGATGGATACGTTCTTTTTAAATATTCACTATAGTGAGTTCAACTGGACATCGATACTCTGTGGAAAGCAACTAAAGAGTAACTTCTCAATTGTAACTTATATATAAGGTAATCATTTGTGAAATGAAAAATACCAATAATATATGTGTATTTATTCTGCTTACAGGGAACAATCGAAACCGGTCACTATACGGCGTACATTCGACAGCACCGTGACGCATGGTTTAGCTGTGACGATCATGACATTAAGAAGGTTTCTCTTCAAGAGGTGCTAGATTCCGAGGGCTATCTTCTATTCTACCATAAACAGATTCTCGAATATAACAATTAAGCTCTAGAAATTAGAATTAACCTCTATTTACCATCACTGAAATAATCGAGTATTTGTCAGTGAGCGGGTACTCGCTAGACCAATTTGGGTAATTATAGCGCCTATAGAAAACAATAGGCAGAACGACGGATGGAGAGATAGCTGATTAAGCAGTATCTTGTTATTTAGTGGACGTTTCTTTATTTTTGGGAGGAATGGTTAGGTTTTGATTGTAAGATCTATGGCAGCCCGAACAAGATGCATTATGTGATCGTGTAAACTCTGTGACTACTGCTAGATATGTTGGCAGTAAACTCCTTTTTGATTACTAGTATGAACTCAGTTCAACACCCTTAGGATGTCTGTTTCGACTCGAATCGACCCCAATAACCCAGCGGCATTAATTTCGACCCAAGCGGATGGGAAAAACAAATGTGGCGGGTACACTTTGTTTGTATTTATTATTGTTATTACGTCGAATATTAGTAATTTAACATTATCTCTAAGCATCAGAATTTTACAGAGCGTAATTAGTGGACTAGAAGGAAACATCGATAACAAAGAGAACTATCAGATATCTATATGTGAGGAAACTAAGCAAAACGATAAACAGTTTGATTGACTTTGATTTCTCATGCTTAGGAGAAAAACAATAATACGTTTCAACACACAAACAAAGTCAGAATTATCTAATTTCCGTACTAATATTGTTAAACAGATGAGTGAAATGCTTTTGTACAGTCGACCGAATAGCTTAACAACTCACTAATGGAGAAGCAACCTAAGTACGACATTGCTGCTTCAAGTGTAATCCTTGTCAGTTGTTGTTAGAATAACTAGAGGCTACACGCAATTGGATAACTCGTTTTAATAAATTATATCTTAGTTTGATACACGGAACGGTCAACACGTTAGGTTGTGAGTTCCAATTGATTATGCTTTAATACACAAAAATATGTGCTTAAAAATAGACCCAGAATTCTTTAAGAAATTCTGGTTGGCTAGGGAAGTGTTGGTTTTTAAAAAGTAACTTCAGCGCAACACAGAAACTTAACATCTAAGATGTAGACAGATGCATTTAGATGTATTTCTTAATTGTTTGTTGATGATGGTTCGATTATATGCGCCTTGAAACTAAAATGTACTTGACCGCTAGCAGCGTGATTCATAACACAGGAAGATCTGTGTGTTCGGTTCTACGAACCGTAACTTATTGCAAGAAAGCGGCGATACTTGTACGGGAGAAAATAAGAAGGATGAAAGACTTTTCTAGCAATTCACTTTAGAGAACGTGCTACTATTATCATTCTATAAATAATTATATTGAAAAACTAGTATGTTGCTCAGATTTTCTACGTTGATTATCGTTGCAGTTACAAAATACAAATGGGGACTGAAAATGGTATATACGTACCAACAAGGGGCAAGAGGGATATTTTGAGGTTTAGCGACGTAACGGCCAACCTTCGATCATTGCGCACAAATGCGTGAACTAGCCGTCTGGTGGAGTTTCACGCCTGTAACATAATACTACAAATAAATAGTTAATTAATTCTACTTAAGACTATTACGAAGAATAGCGATGCGATGAGATCATGATAATTAGCAATTATTATTATTCTTACTATTACATTCATATTGTGTAATTATAAAAATGTACAAATTCGTATGATACGCCATCCTCATCCGCGAGAACGGCGTATGTCTGTGGATATGGGCACGAGTGGGGGATGTATGCTTAAAAAAAGAATAAAGAAGGGCATAGCATACATTCTGTATGCCTCCGATGCATTCAGTGACTCGTCTAAAACAAGTAAAAAATAAAAAGATTGTATTGAAAATTATTATATGTGTGTTCAGTTTGTCTAGGATGGGTTAAATTTGTATTCGAACGTTCATATAGAAGCCAAACATAACAAACCCCAGATAAACGAAACCAGAAAACGGGTTTTAGTAATCTAATTATCTGGTTGAAATCCAATGTACCCCCGAACCCTATTCAAACTGGGTTTAGTATGAGAAAGATAATAAATAGGTTAAAGTCGATATGTTTCATTTTCATTCTTTTCTAAATTGCGTAAATTACAATCCTATTAGGAAAAGTACATCAACCTCCTAGGACAAGTGTGCGAAGTCTAGGGCATCAAACTGACATTTTTCAAAGTGAAACGAACTTGACCCTATAGCCCTAAATCCTACAGTTAATTCGACAATTCTATAACTCTTGCTAAAAGGACTTGATCAAAACAGTCATTCAAGATAGAACAAGCTTCATTAAACGATTAACAATTTTCCCATAACATGACTTGGACTGGATCGTCCGGACATTCTATTTTAGGTACATAAAACGTCAATGCTTATAGAAAGTGCAGATTTTCAAAGAAGGAAAAACTTTCAAAATATCTATTACATTATATTATATATATTACAAATATTATTACGGGAAATGATGCCGTACAGTAAGAATGAGTTTTGAATATATGGCAAATAGCGGTCTTTACGTTGACAAAAATCTCGTGTGATGATCTGACATTAAGGATTCACTAATTTAAATAGGACACTGGGTCTCGACTGAGGTTGAAACCTGAATCTTCATGATTTACAGTCCGGCACCCTACCAATCTCGCAACCGCGGCCTGTCTGGTCCCAGTACCCTGTTTGCAAATGGCATACATGAACATTTTTAGATTAAATTTTCTAGGAACTGACCATTGCAGCTAGTTGGACGTTAAAATAATTAATAATCACTAATAATCAAGTTCGAAGCAGGAAGGTGCCCTTCGACTGCTCTGTACCTAATAGATGTATAACAGTGGCCGGTCCTCGAACTCTTTCGAAGCTCTACATACTGGGCAAGCATAGTTGTATACTGTACACGGTTTTGTTTAGCAGAACACGCCTGTGCTCCATCAATGCAAACTAACTTCTAAACTACCCGCCCTACATTTTTTTTTGAGAAATTTAAAGTTTTTCTCTGTTGATAATCCATTAAAGTCTGCGCGATGTCGCGCACGTCGTCATTATGATCGTTTGGTACTACTTTCGTCCTCTCCATCTCTTTTTCTCTCTCCGTTTTCTTAACGCAGAAATTGTAGTAACAGCTTTCACTAAAACATGCGTTCATTCTGGCAACACCGTGCCCCTTCGCTATCGGGTGCTGTTCCTGCGAGTTTGTCTTAGCACAACAGCTGGGCGCGGTGATCACAGTAGGTGAGTTGTGCGTCGAATATGATAAGCAAAAATTTTTTTACAGCTCATTTCGTACTTAGACGAATATCAGCAACAGATCAGCTTTTCCTGTAGTTTTAAACAGCAGAGTTTTGAAGGTGTGGCACTAATTGTCTCTTGTTAAAGTACATTCAAAATTGGGCATTAAATAGAACGAAGAGAATGAGTCGATAAAAGCATTTTATTTGACACTTGGATATCTGTTCCATAGTCGACTTGTTGTGTAGCTACCGACCCCAACTTAATAGTAAGGGCGTTGTTAACTATGATAATATGAAAAACGATGAAGCTCTGTGTAGTTATTAGGGACTGTGCGGCGAGATGGCAAAAACAGCGATTCCGTGGTGTGTTGATGTGGCTGGTAAAGATATTAAAGCTTACATTATTATAGGCTACTTTATTTTACGTTAATAGTAACTTGCAATGAGAAACAGTGTGGGCTAACTTTATGAGTAATATGGGCAAGTTGAAGGCCATGTTAATTTAATTCGCTCTATTACATATAATACTCAGAGAAGTATTCGATGTACGTAGTATATATTTTATGATCTGCCTTTAACTTTATCAGATAGTTCGGCCTCCTACCAGGAGAACTAAAGTCGATTGGTCGAATGATTTTAACTTGTGTTATATGCGTCACGGAAGTGATCTCTAACATAACCAAAGCGGAGTTTTTTATGCTATATTCCATACACATCTGCTGATGTACCGTTCGTTAGCGTTTTGGCCTGCATGTGTCCCGAGGGATTATGAACATTGAGAATTAGGTTTTCATTCAAGTGCAAAATGGCATCAGCTCAAAGTTTGGCCTCAAGAAAATGTACCACAGCACTATATTGCTAGGAAAGCAAAACTGCAATCATCATAATTCGTAAATGATTTTACTATCATTCTGTTGTAAAATAGTAGTGTATATTTCGCCTTAGTATAAGCCATTTGTTTTACTGTGGCCCACGTTTCCTTGGGTGTGGTGAAGCAGTGTGCGTTGACTGATAATATGCCAATTTCATCAGAGGAAGATACGTCATCGACAAAACGTTTTGTACAGGCGCAAAGACGGCGCAACAATATGGCTCTGACACATACGTGGGAAAAACAGCGGAGCATTCATTATGAAGTAAGAGCAACAGTCATTAGTGGATGTCGAAAATTACTATAGGTTTCTTTGATCTGACTGGAGAAATGACGACGAATAACAGCTGTAACAGCAACAGAATTTCAAATGGAACAAGGTTGTTACCGACAACAGAATTATGCGAAGCATGTCTAGCTGAGACAACATTTAAAATCGTTGCAGTATAACATTTGCTATTTATTCTTGTGTAATTGTAATTATTTATATTGTGCATGAACACGCTCTTGACTTCGGTCGCACCTATATAGGCAGGGACATAAAACGCATCTTTTGTTATATAATTTCTTTCTTCATACGTGTAGTTTCGGCGAGAGTGTGTCATACAATCAAACAAAAGAAAAAAAAATACGACCCAAAGAGTTATCATATGAAGTGAAGGTTTGCGTAAGTAGCCAGATGTTTTTTTGGCAGATTTGCGCTAGCGCTGTGGTATATGTATATCAGGCGATGTCTTCAAAATCCAAAAGCCGTCTTGAACCTTCGTTTATAATAAAAGTACAATTTTTATATAACAATACTGTAAATAAATATATTGGTGTCATGTGTGCTATAACTGCAGTCGACCCGTATATGGTATTTGGCAATAAATAGAGGTCAAAAACACTAATACCAAGTTACATATTTAGGCGCCTTGAAGAAATGTCAAATCTGGCGGAAGTATTTAAATGACGTTAACACTTTTATTGGTTCATTTTATATTTATTTCATATTTAAAATTAATTTTTAATAAAACGGAAAAACGAAGCGCTAAATCATATGCATTTCCTGTGAAGGTTATGTGGCTTACGCTAGTAAACCCTGCTTGAGCAAAAAACTAAAAATAACATTGAGTGTAACAAGTTTTAGCCCTTAAACATTCGACCGCATATTCGGTTAAAATCCAGTACCCATGAGTTGAATATAATAGCCTGCGCTATCATGCTCTAAAGATAATAAGATAAAGTCAATTAATTACGACCGCGATGACGTAGTCACGGTACACATGCTTCATGCACAATTTTATGCAATTCGATGCATTTGGTCTTCTCTCACAGGTGGAGCTTAAGGTTATTCATATTTTATACATTCTGCGCGATACCACAGCGAGAGTATAAACATGACTGATTCGTTTACTACACCACCGTTTCGGCCCATCGATGACTTCTTGGGAGCCGGGGCACGATTTCAGATCCCAAATGTACAAGATCTAGACAAGTGGGCCAACAGGTAGGTGAACAGGAACTTTGACTGGAATAAGCACAAAGGGATTGACTTATATAAAAATAGACTGTTGATTGATTATCAGATGAGACTGCTTGGTTATAAAATTGCGTGAGTCCGTAGACGCCCTAATATCGTAACATAGCCTAACGGTATACAGACGTAATAGGTTGGACGCTGAAGATAACGTTTATTCGATTTAAGAATAATGATCATTTATACAATTTTAGTAATATATACAATGGAGTTAATCTTGTTTAAATAAGAATTGCTATTCGCACTTGCTGAATACATTAACCAAGATTATTTTTTTCAGAGTACTCAACAATCTTATTTACTATCAGACCAACTATTTTGCGGTAATTGGAATCGTTTTTCTCCTGGTTGGCTTCTTCTACCCTGGTCAGGTTAGTGCAGTCGATCGAAAACGTAATGCTATAAGCCGTAATAGTCTTAAACTGGAAAACTGTCAAGAGCTGTACTTGTTTCACGGCACGTAATCTCTAAAACTCTATATCCCGGCTGTCTCCTAATGTCTAGTTCGGCCTCTTATCAACACGCCGACCAACCAACAATAATGAGTACATATACCATTTATCACCCAACTAAATTTTTTAAACCAAAATTTTTATCGCACGTATCTGAAGTTGTAGATACTATATATGTATTTCGGTAAGTGTTGTACCACTATAGATATAGCATCAATAAGTAATTGTTTGGCTTTTTTTGTAGCTCCTCGTTGGTATGATCGCTACGCTGGCGACTTTGGCGTTACAGGACTATTTAGACAGGCATCAGGCAGCTTTTGCCAGACTGAAGCGCCAACGCCCGGGCATTTGTCTTGTGATAATGCTCAGTGGTGGTTACATGGTGGTCGCACTAGTGGGGTCCGTTCTAGTGTTTCTGTTCGGTATTGCCTTGCCAGTTTTAATCGTATTCATCCATGCGTCTTTGCGACTACGCAGTCTCAAGTCTAAGGTTAGAGAAACTTTTCCCGTATTTGAAGCTGCCATTATCGGACCTAGCTAAAAGAATCTTTATTCCTAAGCAGTATCGCAGTTGTTTTCCATAACGTTTCGGCTATAGGAAACCCGAGTGGTGACAATGTTGGGTTTTAGTGTGCCCAATTCAATCTGTTCACAAGAAATATCATGTAGCATAACAATAAACGGTGGCATAAATAATAATGCATCGATAGCGGCACATTATTCTATCTATCCGTGTTTTGTTGATTCGACTGATTCCTTCGAAGTTTTTATAGTAAAAAGGGTCCACATCGTTAACCGTTTATTTTTTTGCTATTTATAATGTTCTCTTAGAATCTCAGAATCCCTTAGAAGAAGGAGACGCCTGCTTTTATGAATAATAATAACACTTCATAAAAACAGGCAAAATTTTAACAAAAAATAATGCATTTTCCACGTTATGGCATATCTACTACCTAAGAATAACAACTTTTTCACGACTCCTCGCAGGTCTTTAATCAGGTGGAAAGACTAGGCGCAGTTCGGACTCCGATGGGCTTTGTACTTGAGCTGCTGGGCGAGACGTTTGACCATCTGGGCGTCGTTAACTAAAACGGCAGCAGAATCGACAAGAGCATTTTGCTTGAATTTATACAGCCCGCAGGACATTTTTAGAGATTTATCTATATATATATGGGTGCTGCTAACTTCACCAATTTTTGGCGAGTTCCCGAGTGCAATCATCTGATCTGTCCTGTTGCCTATGTATGTAATGTTTATCTGACAATGAGGCCGCTTGTTGAACATTAACAATGTTAATTTTTAGCAAATTATCTATTACGATATGAGCGGATGACTCAAAGCAGTCATGTTGTTATTGATCAGAGAACTGACAAATTTACGGCGTTATGGAGCAACACTCTAAGAAAGTATCTAGAGTAAAATTTCTTATAAAAAAGGTTTAAGAAATAATGTTTCGTGTAAGGCTAAATTTTCAGTTCCTTAATTTTTTAAGTTTAACATACACGCTGATAGTGGTAATCTGCCGTTGATAAATTGTGTTTGTATTTAGCTCTTGGGTTTATTTATCGTTTAAAAGTGATGCAAACGCGCAGATCCACTTAGTTAGATAGGATCCATACTATATAATGCACACTACCTAGTTACAACTGAATACAATTATATATTTAGTACAATAATAAATTCCTAGACGTGATCTAGCAGTTGGAAATCAACCAATGCTTCGTGGGTTTTGCGCGCCACTCACTGCATTCCATAAATAGTTTTTTTTGCTGGCCAATCATGAGCTCCTAATAATAGTTCTGACCCTACGATGCATGCAACGAATATTATTAAAAAAAAAAACAAAGAAAAAATATGAAACTGTACAAAACAACGAAATCGCATGATGATTTGTTTCGAAGAATACATCGTTATGTCTCAATTTTTCTCCTTCAGTGGTATCGCACTTTACGTGCCGGCCCACCTCTAGTTCTCGGTATTCGCCTGACAGACGATTTACTTTGTCCGAAATGTAATAGCATGGTTTTCAGAATACGACTTCGTTGTCCTATTTTGTGTCGTAACTTCACGGAGCAGACGTTGATCACACACTAGTGAAGGATTCAGATAATCCTTGTGACTTGGTATTGCGAGCCATTTTTGGATTTTTCTGCTAATGATTTGTGTAACTTGATGTGATCTTCTGATTCCCGAAAGCGCGGCGCGCACAATTCACTTTGAGCAAGGTCCTCCATCGAATAAACATCAGATCCCCAACACTTAAAAGCTAAAAGAATAAAAAAACTACAGTAATATATGTATACAACCAAATCGTCAGGTAGACTTTGTTTTTTATTTAGTGGTATATGAAGATACACATATATCTAAATATGATTTGTAATGCATCTTCCTTTATCCGCATTATTTAATTCTGGGCAATCGGGTTTTGTGTCATGCTATTACACATTGTTCACGTGAGCACACCTGCCCTAATTATCATGCCCACAGGCTCATCCACCGATATAAACGCTATGGAACATGTAAATACTATAACATAATAAGTCGAAGCACGTTTTATGAAGAAAGACGAACGTCTGTAGATAAGCTAAAAAATAAAAGCACAATTCTCTAGGTAGTTTTATTTGTTAAAAAAACAGTTATTAATATAAAACACCGACTGATTAGATTACATGAAAGATACGAAAAAGTAGAAATTAAGTGCATATCTAACGGCCTCACATCAAAACGTACTGTTTCAATACTATAATGCTTTGCTTTGTAAGTAAGAGATGAAGTACCGGTTGAAGTAAATTTGGACTTTGAATTGTTATTTGGCAAAAAAACAATAAGAAAAAGCATGGTACTATAGAACCAAAATTCCTATGAGTTTTTTTTCAATCTTTGGCAGGAAAGTATTACATTGATAGAGCAAATAATCAAAATTCTTTGATTCAATAAAAACAAATCATTTTGTTTTTAACACGTCTTTAACATGATATCATAAAGAAATAACACAAAAATAAGGCGAAAGAACACAAGTCGACAATAACAGAAGAAAAAGTCATCACTGTTATTGGAAATATGATATTGCATTATCTAGTGTTTGTGAAAAACATCTTTAATGAATATATTTTCGCTGTTAATAGATCATTATCGTTAACTAACATTACTCACTTGGCAAATCGGTTCTGAGAACCAAATGATCTTTAGTACCCGTAGAGACGTCAATACGTTTGTTTGTTCTGCTGAAAACGATGGCTCATACACCGAACGTAGATACACTATTTACAGCATTATTATTACTGAGCTCGTTATATATAATCCTGTATATATATTTTCCAAACGCACCTCATTAGTCTATACGATGGTTTAAAGTTTTACTTTCTCCCTAACCCTTATTCAGTATTCCGTTTATTCGTTTTGAGGATTCATAGGAACAGGCGTCTCTAAACATCAAGATTGGTCTGCGGTGACTGAGTGCGAAAATCGAATTATCCTGCATTTGGCCATGTTTGAACTCCTTCTATATTTCACCATATGATATAAAATAAATGTAATTACCGTCGAAATCCACAATACGCACTTTAACGCACGGCCAGGACTTCCCGTATGATTTTTGAAGGAGCTGCATTTACTCTGTGGACTTAAGATTTTCCCACAGAAAAGTTACATCGAGTTTAATATTCGTGGAATCGATATTCCGACAAGTGTGGCCGTAGCGGTATAGTAATGGCTGGGTAGCCTCATGTATTTTACCTTGATGATCGATTATCACCGACAAACAGTGCGCACAACAAAGATATGGCAAGGATACATTTTATAATGCGATAAATAGTCACGTCTTTGTTTTGCTTATTTGAAAGTTACTGCTAGGACGCTTAAGCAAGCATTTTGGCACTGTAGGAAGACGCTTCTGTAGCATACTTTCTATTTGGAAATAAATACATCAAGCTATTATTATAAAGTTAAGCTCTGCGGCAGTCTTTTTCGCACCAGACGTATCTTGACCTATGAAGTTCAGCTACTATTTCAGATCAATAAAGTTAAATTGAAATGTTTTTCATATTTGTATTCTACAAATGCATATGCGATAATACCAGGGAAGAAATCGCATTGTCGAATGATATTTTTCTCGAATAAATAATTTATTCTCGTCAGCTAGGATTTGCTGAAAGTAAATAGATCTCACGATAGATTGAACTGAAGATTACTTTCGAAGTGACATATTCTACTTTATACGCATGCATATGTGTATATGTATAAATGTATATATATAATGCACAATTACGAATCCTACTGGATAAATTACGGTACGACGCTGTAAACATTACACGCACTGGACTCAACAATAGCGTGGTATATGATAAAGTAACAGTTTTGCGCTCGATTAGGAACTTTTGTAGATTCATTAATCAGCCTAATCATATGTTTACGATCCAACAGTTGAAAGTGGTGAAGCTTTGATAATACATTTGAAATAAATAATTTGATTAAAAACTTTGCCAATCTAACGAACGTGTTAATATAAGCACTTGGTTTGGATGTATATCGAGGAGTGTGTCTACGGAATATCCGGGCCACGTTAGGCCGGAACAGTTAGGATTTAATGTGGACCAAGTTTCCCACCAGTGCCAAAGGGAGATATCAATAGATTGGCAACCTATCCAATATCTCCTTCTGCGTAATAGCATGGCACTGACATACGATCTAATGGTTAATTCATTTTACAAACAATCTTAGAAAATAACGCGTAAATAATCTTGTCTAAACGCACATTCATGCTACTCTATGTTATAGATAGTTTATGTGGTTAACTTCTCTTGCTTGGTATGCTTTCTATACTGGTGAGATAAAATTAATGTTTTTTGTTATTCGCACGCGACACGAATGTAAGTAAGTGTTAGAGGCACTGCGTAGCTGACTTCGAACAAGAACCAAGTCCTAGATACTCATGTTTTTTAACATTACTGTAAACGGTTAATTTAGAATTGTTTTTTAGCACGTTAGGCAAAGGAAATCTAGAAAACAGCTTGATTGCGCATTGGTACTCACAAACAATATGAACATAAATGTTTACTTATGGTAGACGTCTTTCTAAGTTCCTTTGCAGTTAAATAAAAAAATCACACATTTGTTTGTATATAATGCTAATGGCTTAGGCTGGTTTGCAAGAACTGCTTATTCACGCAGTGTCTAAAAAACAGCGGTATATCTCAGGAAGAAAGCCATTTAGCTGTGATAACACGTTGAATTAGGCAAAAATCTAGATAGGCTTTTGTGTTGTAGATGACTTGCTTAACAAAGCCAAGGTTCGAACCATAAGGTAGCATGCATTGTTCGAAACATCATATACAATTCAAATACGATGAATATAATGCGTGGAATTAGTATTTCCACATCACTACACATTGATGCTCTTTGTCGAACAACATCGCCTGCAGTTTTGCGGAAAAGGTTTTGAAAGGGTGGTAGAGAAAGCTCGTTGTTGTTGTGGGATGTTATCAACTACAATCACGAATGATAAGCGATCATTTCCTAGCTTTTAAGTGAAGTAATGACTGAATGCAGATCATTGCATGTGTAAAACCGGAACAGCGATTTGTACTATTCGTTTTAAATCATTAAATATTTTTTTAAAGCCACAGACCGGTTAATAATTCAGTAAGTTTCAAGGCTAATAAAGGTTTGAAGTAGACCACGCTGAAGATCACCGATCAGCATGAGCAGAACACATACGAAGAATCAACGTAAAACATTTGTGAAAGAGAATATAACGTTTCCGCTATATGTTGGTTGATACTTATTACACATTTCGTTATCGGTGGTGAATCAAAATAACTGTTTTACCCTTGCAGTAAAAAAATTACAATCCAGCAGCACTTGAAAGCCCTGTGGATCCACTTCACAATCACGATCATAACCGTAATACAGTACAAGTATATATATATATATATATATATATATATATATATATAGATGTCCTACTTCCATGCTTCGGCGTTTCCTTTACAGAACTTCTTTTCTTCTAAGCCTTGATATTTTCTATTTCATTTTCTTGACTGCTTCTTCCATCTGGTTGGCTTGTTTAGTCACAATTCGCCTGTAACGTACCGCGCGTAGCACATTCTGTCATATGGTGACATTGTGATCAGTTTTGTAGTGTTTCTGAAGATGAGCGACCCGCTCTGCCGTGAAGGGACACATATCGCACGAATAGGTCTTTAGAACGCTCTGGTGCGTATACCGGATGTGACGTCCGAGGTCGGAAGAATGAGATGTCTGGTAGTCACAGTAATTACAGCCTTCGGTAGTATCAGCAGCGTCAGTAGGTGCGGTAACGGTCGAATAAACCAATCCGCAAAGATAGACGGAAGTGCATGATAGAAAAGAAAGCACGCATTATGTGAATGATTGACCTGCCTATTGAAGTTGAGATATTATTTTGAGAGAAAATGTCAGACTCGTTGCAGGGACACATAGTAAGAATAAAGTTGCGATTTTCATCGTGACGGATTGACATGGAATTTCTACGCATAAAGAACACAAACTAAATATTACAACAGTAGCTCAAAGACCTATTTCTATCGTTATCATCAAGCTTTAATATATATATATATATATATATATATGCTGGAATCTTACCGAAAGGCTTGCACTGTTCAGATGCATGGACTTGTGCGTGGTAGACAAATGCAGCATGATTATGGGCTACGAAGTCGCACTTCGCGCATCGTAGTAAGTTGCTTGAAGCACTGGTGAAATCTGAAAGAGTTATAACAGGGAAATCAAGATTAAAGCAGATTCGGAACTGGATTTTTTTAAACAAATGGCTAGCGGGTAAACGGTTCTTATGTTGCACTGTACATTTTGCTGAAAATTAATCTTGCCTAGCATTGTCAATGGCCTCTGATTACTTTGCTCACTGCAATAATGGAAAACACTAACAGTAAAAAAAACCCAGCGCTAATCCAAAGAAGTGTAAACGGTTCTACTAAGCTCGATTATAAAGAAAGAGCCATTTTGTAATCGCATGCTTGGACTTCAAGCAAAAAGTTTTTAGTATATTGTACTCTAGCGAATTACGGTAGCGATTATTTCAGGAGCTGTTTAAAAGTGTCACTGAACTTGGATGAATTCTACACGTAAAATCGCTATATCTATAGCACAAAAAAATCATTCTGGAACCTCTAGGACCACAAGATATCGGTAAAATTCATAAAAATAATTCACTCAACCAAATCGATAGCAATATTATACACAACTTTTGCTAACAAGTTCTTACTTGATCAATCTATATATCAACCTGACATGGCAGAACGTAGATGTCAACTAAATATTGAGACCCAAACTGTAACAACGAAAACATTGTATTGACTGGATACTTTTTCCAAAATCAATCAAAAGCTTATGCTAGTCTGCGACCTTGTCAATATGGGTCATCTTTTTTGCTGAACGAAGCAGAGCTAATAGACAGCATAGATACTTTTTGTAAACGTTACTTTTCAGCCGAACAAATGTTAGATCAAGCAACCACCAGCTTATAAATCAATGTATCGACGACTGCATCACCCACGCAGTTTGTTCGTTTTAAAATTAATCGATCTAACAATGACTATTTTCAATGTGGCATAAATTAACAAGTGATTAAAGCGTTTATTTAGGATGATTCCGGAAAGAATGCCCTTCTACATCAGTCTGATCCGACGGCTGCTAACCACACTGTTACGAGAGTCGGAGAGCAACAAAGGCCATTTTGCTATTCATGGAACTGCGCGCAGGAACGGGAAAGCAGTTCGGGTTCATCTGAAAGAAAACTTAAAATTAACAGGCTATTCTTGTTACCGCACGTTTATATTGCATATAAGTTAATACATGTGGGCCCGCCACGCGCTGACTATAAAATCATCAAAGTCACTAGGCAACTGAGAGGGTTGCTACGGGGCACTTTATATATAACGATTTCTTTTATATATAGAGATTTTATATATATAAAAAAAACAGCAAATTATACGCTGTAATACACATTATAAGGTGATACATGATAAGTTAAACACACGAATATTTTTTTACCTTGGAAAGCAAATAGGGTATACAACATATTCGATTGACAATGACAACGTAACGTAATGGAAAATAAAAACAAAACATAATATTTATAAATGAAACATAAATCTCTGCCTTTATTAAAAATAAATATTAAGATTAGATATTTTTAAAATGTATATATATATATATATATATATATATATATATATATATATATATTTATATAAAATCTATTTCTCTGCTTCTGACCTGTCGATGTGAGCGAATTGTATTATTAAAATTATCATATAATCATTTTTGAACGTGAAATACGTTTGCAGCTAATTGGAAATTGTAATGTCCTTTTTAGGAGGAATTTGTAAAATTAGTATAAGGTTAAAAGACAATCAAAACCACTCATTAGAATTAGTTCACCGAACCCATCAATGGTTACACAGCTTTTTGCACGCCCAATGCGTTTTCCATTCCTTAAGCTATGTATAGATAATCGATGCCGTGATATTGCGTGTCATGTGCTTCTATCTAATGTTTTACCGATCTATGATAATTTTTCGATATAATGGGAGATACAATTATTTTCCCATATACGCTCGTTCCTCTTTCTCTTTCAAATATAAATGACTTGTTATTCATATGAATATCTGCATGGCGGCATTTATGCATATTAGTAATTGTAAAAGATTTATTTATTAATTTCTTGTCCCGTCGTCCTTTCAACCTATTGTTCAATTAGTTACTCACTTTAAGTATAGTCTTTCTCTGCAGACTCTCGTGCCATATTTACTAATCGTATTTACTGTGTCGCATCGCCGACATAATAGCATAGATTTCAATGAGCTGTTCAACGAAATACACTTTGATTATATAAGGCGCAAATATTTCGCTATCAGTTTTATCGATTCGTCAACGCACTCAGCGCGAAAAGATCGATGACTTGATATATGCTCAAGTCCAACGGTCTCCAGTCAGAATGGCGGTTCTAGAAAAAAATCTATATATGATATTTCAAGGTGACGTGCACCGTCAATGATTCAGGGCGATCTTCGGCGTGTCTTTGCAGTTTCTGGCAAGAAACCTAATTACTGACTGTGGTAGGCTGCTCTCCACATAAACAGGATACGAAGCAGCCCAATGATAGTGCCTGCAGAAAAAAGTGAGACAAAAAGGGAAAAAGAGGCAGTTCTTGCGACAAATGACCACGTGAAACGAATACGTGAATGCACACAGACGTGAAAACGTGTCAGTTAGTCAGATCACCTTTGGATGTTTCATATGTGATTCACTCAGATTTCTTTCAGTTATTGCTAGTGAGCTTTTGTGGCTATTAAATGATTTGTCAATGTCGTTAAATAACATTTACAATACAAAGTTATCCATTAGTGTTTAAAAGTAAAAACACAAAGTCCGGACATAGAGTACAGATTGAAATACTCGTAGAAATAAATAGTTTCTCCTAATCAAGTTAGCGTCGAGAGTAAGCAAAACCCTTACGGATATTTTTCCTCGCTGCAGTGGCCCGTTTGGTCGCGCGCTCTATCTCCCTTTTTCTCTCAAACCCTTTTTTAAAAAGTAGCGTCTACTCGACAAGGTATGCTACGAAGTAGGAATGCAGCCTCACCAATGAATTGTCTGATGCTTCGTAGTATGGTGTGCTGCGTGATTTGCCTGTTAAAGTTGAGGGCACGCCAAATAGTTTAGATGTGAAACACGCTTTGTATCAGGCTGGAATGGGCCAGCCGTCCAAAGGTAGCTTTAACGGCTGTGCCGGACGTTGAACTCAAAACGTTTAGTGAATTCGATTTCGTCGATATTGTCATCATGTTTACATCTTAGCTTAGTTTCTTGTACAATGTTTATGTGGTCAAGCGAACTGTTCTAAGCTCACGGAACACCAGAATTAATAACCTGGAACGATATTATATTACATCAGCACTTCGTGATGTCCGTAGGGTATACAGGTACACTTACATTATGGGAAGGCAATCAACCGGATAATCATTGGAAGCCACAAGCACTCTCAACCGTAAAAATCAATCCTATATATCAATCCAATATAATCCTATAAAGAACAAAATTAAGAATTTAATCCTCTATGTCCCATTTTGGTATCCATTTATCTGTATTTCAAAATCGGGCACCTATATATAAACACGTATTTCGAATTCACAGAAAAGATAAAATACGACAAAAGAGGAATGGAAAGTATGCCGCAAATAAGTGAACACGCTATTTACTGTTGTCTCGTCGCCATGTATCGACAAATGACACACTCAAGGACGGAGCGTCTGGCCAGTTATTGCCTAGCAATGCAAATTCGCAAGCGCTGTTCGCCGAAGGCTTGCAACCGCATTCTCCTTTTGACGCTTGCGTTAAAAATGGGGTTTTCTACAAAATATCATGGTATCAGTAAATGAGCGATTCCCACAAAACGTCGGCACAAGAGATAATTACTTCAGGGAAATAACAGAACTTAACGAAATGTAAGGAGAAACGTTTCCTTCGTTGATAGCTGGGCACTACTCGATCACAAACACATATGAAATGTTGGAGAAAAATTGAATAGCGCAAAGTGGAAGCGAGATAAATGTCGAACAAAAAATAATATGAAATTAGTAACAAAATCCTTAGTCTCAGCTGCGTGATTTTACGGTTGCTGTTTTATTGCTAAGGGTGTTAAACACAAAAATGGTTCACCGCGACGCAGCGGAGGCGCCATCTCCGCCTTGGATACCGCAGTGTAGTACACATGATGTTTTACATATGTTTACATTATCTGCTTGTGTGCACAGACATATACATATATATGAGTGAATAAATTTACGAAAAATATACGTCACTACCGTATCGAATCTCATGACTTGAATGTTAGCAGAGTTAAAATACATTAAAGTAGCATAGCAAATTTCTGCTGTATATAACGATGCACTCAGAGATTTACTGATAAATGCTTATGAAAGTCCGTTAGGCATCAAATGCGCAATGTTGATTATATATTATAGATTTTTAACTCGTATTTTTTCAACTCGGCGACATACGTGAGCTACAAAGAAAAATTATTCATTTTCAATCTGTGTCTTTGGAGCTATTATAGTATGTCACGGGTAAATTAACTATTTAGTACCCGGTAAAAGATTGTTATCTGAATTTCCCCAAACTGCCTGACTTGAGTGCGCTTTTAAAGAAGAAATGTGGCACAGTTGTGCCCATTAGGGTAGTAAGCGAAACGTTCTAGCATTACAACTATTTTAAATACTATATCTTGATCTAGTAGGTTAGGTTTGCCTGGAACGACGCACGTCTTAACCAAACCCTGCAAGTCCTAACCTGGAATTTGCACGTACTGTTCTGTTAGAAACTGCTGAATGCAAATTCGACACTCATACTACTGCTAATTTGTCCATTATTGGCGAATATTATTCAGTTGAGCATACCAACGAAAATATTTGTTTGTATTACACGAAATTCTGAGCCTGCCAATTAGCCGTTTCCAGTTATCTCAACAATTACTCTGTGAAGTCATTAAGGATCGCCCGCCCTTTTCGCTTCCGCACGGAATGAAATGTTGTATATACAGTACTGCCTTCGATACAGTATATTAGTTATAAACATTTAGTAGAACTCATTGAATTCGTTCACTTCTGGGTGACTATCATATTTAGCAACGCTTACCAAGGTATATTTCCTCGCTAGTTTTTTGCTAGACAACAAATGAGAAGCTGTCCACAGATCTATACATTGACTGGTCATGTATCGTGGGTTGGGTATGCCACAATACTCCTATGCTTCTAATTGAATAAACTTTTAGGCTTCGAAAGCTTCACCTAGCATATATAAGGATAAGTAACCATCAAGGGTAAAGCCATCGTGTTATTGATCATTATGATACATAGTTACTTACTCGATATTTAGTTTTTTGTGAACCTATTTGGCAAGGGCATTTTTTTCAGAGACAAAGAGACACCGTGCTATGAATGATATCACTTTATCATTGCTATTGCTGTGATGGCAATGTGCCGTTCCACTTTGCGATATTTAGCTGATCGGACCGCGTCTTCATCTCCTCTCTGTCATAGATGACGTTAGCAGGTACTGGCCTAAAGTTATCGTTTGCTTCACCTCTCAGTATGGAGGAACGCCCTAAAAACCTCCATTTATCGGCTCATAAGGTTATGGCTAAACAGTGACGGAACCAATTGCTTCGAGCCATCGCTGAAACGTATAGTCGCTCTCCGCACGAAAGAAATACGTGTGTGCTTTAAACTGCAACTTGAGCACAAACTGTTTTTCGATCGCATCTTCGACATTCGGCGTGCTCACGTTGTAACCAAGCAGCGGCAAGCACGCTAAAGGCGTCGTGTCTTGATACGATTTATAGAAGAACAGGCTGAAATCGCTAAACACGATCCAAAGTTTCTGCCAGCCTGTTGAGTGTTTGAACTTGCGCAACAAATAACCAGACATATGGTGGCTTAGTCCGGCTCTCTCGTAGTCTTCGCGACTGACGCTGATTTGGCGTAACCAACAGACGTGAAGCGTTGTGTTGCATCGAGGGTATTGATTGCTTTTGCTGAGCTGAGCGATCACTGCGGGATTTAGTATCTGATGACTGCTAGCGATACTGCTGCGGTTGCTCGCGGCGCCAACGGAGCTCAAGCCATCGTCGGAGGACGCACATGATTGAAGCGTACTGTAGGCATTAATGTCGTCCTCGGGTGAAGAGCAAGCGTCGACCGCTCGTTGAATTGCCACGATCCATCGTTCACGCTCCGCTTCACTGGGCGCAGCTACCATGAGGGCACGGTGGGGTGCATAAATTGTGAAGCAATGCTCCATACCGACGCGAGGTTCACTTACCTCGACCATGACACCTTTCAGTTGAATTTGACCATGGGCTCGAAACCTGAGACCAGGATCGTCATTGATTTTGTTAGCATACACGAGACAATCACTGAATAGGAAAAACATACGCTGCTGATATCCCTTCTTCGATAACTTCATTAGGGATCCCTCACGGAGAAACTGCTTTTCCAAAATTGAATCAACGCCACTAAGATCGCGTTCCAGCTCCATGAGTTTGACTTGGTTCTTGGCCTGATGGACCTGGGCGGCCATTCCGGCGATGATTGGCTTTAGTTTTTCGATGACCTCTTCGCAGAACGCACGATCAGGATGATCACTCGAGTAAAATTTTGTAAGTTTAGTGCATGCCCTCGAATAGTGCAAAAGCCGATGCAACGGACGCGTAAACAGCAGTGCCAAGGGCACGTAGCAGACTTTGTTTGTCTCAAAACTCTCGATCGTACAGCGAAAGCTCGTATTTTGATTAAACGCCTTTTCATAGGCCTCGAGCAGGGCAGGAAGCTCACTAGCATAAGCTTTATAATGCGCCAGCACCGAACTATACTCGAGAAGAAGGCTTCCAACACCCTCGAAAGAGTTCGTGCCAGTCACGGGACGGCCTTCCATCGCTGCGATCCGATGCTCTAGATCTCGCAGCAGTCGACCGTGCAGCTTATTAATAGGATCCAGTAATTGGAACAAACGCCCAATAAATTCTGTTGTCAGTTCCTCGGATTCGTCTGCGCTGGAAATGCTTTTGTGGCCTTTATCATCGTCAAAATGATCCCTAAACCAGAACGTAATAATCTCGAGGTCGCGCCTATACGTTCGTTCGGTCATGAGCAATTCCTTTGATACGTAGTAGCTTGTCTCCTGTTTTTGTAATGAAGCTCGACGATCGAAGCTATTTAGACGGTTATCCATGGGGGTGGAGTGCAGCTCAAGAAAGAGATTTCTGCAGAGCTCACTATCGACAAATACTCCGTTTCGGTTTTGATCAGTTATAATTCGTACGCTATTAGCATTAGCGTCTTTAATTATTGAGGATCGTTTTTCAATGTTCCCCCGGTGCACAATGTGGTCATTTCTTAGGTCGGTTTTGTTCAACTCGGTAGCCGAATTTCTCGATGAAATCGATCTCCGTTCGCCAGGCGGATCACTGAATCTCTTTTCCTCGACTATAGGCGACGATGTTGAGGCCGGAGGCGGAGCAATTAATGATCTTCGTACGCATTTTGGAGGTGCAGGCAAAAGAGTGTGACGCAGACTCACCGAACGGGTAAATGGTCGACGAGCCAAATCACCGCTCTCTCTTACCTGTTCGATGATCTGCTTTTGAGTACGGCCTGAATATCGGAACGATGAACCCCGTGAAAAAATGCGTGTTTTGTGCCTCGACGGAGACTTCGGTAGCTCACTTAGTCGGAAAAAACAGTGGTTCTCAATGCAACGTTTCCAAAAGCTTTTTGCAGCATTCCTTGAAGCAAAAGTGAATTCTTCCACCTTCTTATAATATCCATAGCCTTCGCTCGGATGAAACTTAATAAGGAAACGCTTTCGTTTGAAGCTCAGTTTTCGGATACTGTTCCATGAAAATGTGTTTATTCGAGTCGTACTCTGCAAGACTAAGAGACCCATATGTGCAACGGCTAAGTTGAGCGGAATGTCTTGGGTGTCCTTGGCGGCAACCATTTTTACACCATAAAGGTCACATTTGCGAACATGATCAAGTAGGTTTAGCTCGGCGTCCAAAGGAGACTGACCGAAATGCCTTCGATGGTGGCTCATTACTGCCTCTTCAAATTTTCGAGTTTGGGTTGGTAGAAACTTCGTCCGTGACAGGTACTCGCCATCGGCGCACTCCGACACCATAAAATCACCAAATGTGGCCTGAACAATGTATGAGCAAAGTAGAGCAGCGACGTCCTCTGGGACAGGCAGGTCGCCTGAAGCCAGATCCTTCTTAATTTGCAACGCGAACAGATATCGCGTATGCTCTTCCTCAAGCTGGGCCGGGTCAGGTACATAGAACTTCACTGCAAACTCCATCATTGGTTGGGGTCGATTTCCCAGTCCGAGCTGATCGCCCATTCGTTTCCCATAATCTAGCCAATAGCGTGTACCCTGCGTGTCCTGATACTCCAGGCCGAAGTACTCCCGCTCGAGGATGTTGAGCACATGACAAACTTTGTCGAATAGCACTTGTCCATCGGCCCGAGCAGCGACTTGGAACGTCTCGACGTGATCGTCAAGAAACTTTACATCTACGGCTTGCAGTTCCTTTGAAACGACTGGCTGGGCGGCGCCGTTCGCGAGTTCGGCGTCTTGCTGTTGTTGTTGCTGCTGCAGGGATTGTTGTCCAGGCGCACGGTTTGCCGTTCTGTGATTGGCGGTCTTATCTACGGCCATTTCGCCGATACGGTTTAGATCATCTACACCTGCAGTACCCAGATCGCACGCGATTCGACCTTACCGGTGCTCCGTAGAGTCAGCTGTGAGCTTCATCCTCGTTCTTGTCTTTGACGATGGCCCACCCCAGTTTGGACGCGCATCGGTTTTACACTACAGATATTACACTCAAATATCTCACTTAGGCACAACGTAGTCACACAAAGAGAATTCGACATACATAGGTCTAAGTAACAGCGAGAACATCCGGTATGACTATACTTAAGAATTGGCAAACGGAGGTTGCTCCAGCCTTTCGTACAAGCCAAGTAAAAGACTACCAATGTTAACTGCAATATAAATCCTTATCATACTCTGTATGGCTAGCCAACTCGCACTATGCATGACGAAACATTTTCTATGTTAATTGGCCACTCTAGTCATCACCAAAAGAAGCACATTAACACTTTACAAAACTTTTTTATGTATCCACTCGATGCATAGTGCTGTCATAGAACGCTGGCTGACTGCGTCTACCAGCCAGTTCGTGGACAGCGGCCGCCCTATAGAGGACACATTAAGTGTATTGAAATCACCAATTGCTTAATGAAACACCACGCAAACGCAAGTTGAAATAAGCTTTATATGGGCCTCAAGATACTGTGGGCACAAAGATATAATTATACTACCCAATGCCAATTTTGTCAGACCCAGCTGGTTCTGAGGCGTGGTGACAGAATAGTTGCTTCCCAACCGATAAGAGCCCATGGATTTTTTCGCAGAGTTACTATTTAAAAAAGATTTAGGTTGTTAGTCATACAAACTACAATAATAAACAAGGTTTAATATCAACAGTAAGCAATGAAATGTGTTTTATTCTATCGATTACGGTTTGCAGCGGCTCATTGTAAGAGAACCTAAGCATCCAATCTCACTCACGATTAAAAAAAGTAAAGATCTGCCAGTTGCGTTAACCGTGAATAGAGCGATGTACTCGAATTTCTTAGTTGATTATACTTCTGAGGGATTGCAGCGGCTGAGAAAATGAAAAAAAAATCGCAGTTTTAATAACTATACCCGTGTTTTGGCTCGAAAACATATATTTATTCAAGGCTTTCCTGAACCCTCGATTGCTCGTTGGACTTAACCGAAAAGCGCAAAACGTTGCACTAGCTTATCATTGAAAAATCCTGGTCCTGCTTTCCGATTCATAGAGATTAGGCTGTTCCGGAAGACTATTGCCAGGAAAGTCGTATACTCGCGGTAGTGCAATGGTAACGCGTTTCCCTATAAAACTTAGAGACACGTGAGGTATTTTAGTTTAAAAACTTGATCTAACCAGACACACGTTAAAAAAAACTGATGACATTTATATAAGATCGCCGTGTCCCTTAAAAGACTATTGCCGCCTAAGAACTCAACTGATCTGTTGATCGAAGCTTCTCCTCAGGGCGGCGTAATGGGGCAAGGGTGGTACCTCCTCAGCATAGCTCAGCACGACTCAGCTGCTTGAGCCATTGCTGGTTTCCCCATTGTTTTTCCTCTATATCTTGACGCAGCTGGTGGCTCTTGTTAATGTTGTCAGTATCGTCGTTTCCTGCGTCCGCTCGGGGATCCGCGTAGTGTTTCTGCGACTCCCACAAGCGACGCCGGCCTATTCAATGAACATTCGTGGGCATCGTGTGAGACGGTGCGCGGTCGTAGGCGGTCCTGTGAGAATTGTGCAAAACCGTTCGGTGCGTGTTCAAAACACGCCGCGATAGTAAAAAATTGGTATATTCCTAGCCAGCACTCGCGATCATTTGGAGAGATGAAATTCGGTTTCGGAGCACGCACTATTCACACAGTCGTAGGTATACAAGCTCTTAACTCGTTAAAGTAATATGAAGTTGTAGAGTAACATGACACGAGCAAGAACACCTGTTAGAGCACCGGAGCTACGCTGTTTGAACTAGCCCTTAGCGTCACTTGTGCGTGTACTCTCCGGACGTACACCTCACGTCGGATATGCATAGCTTTTGAGTTTTATACGTACCCGGGTTAGGGCGTGACGATTCAGCAGCGCGGTTCGTAGATTAGAACATGGTGATAGTATCGCTGTCGTGTATAAAGCATGTTGTATGCACGACTGAATGGCTATCATATAGTTGGATGAAAAATCATTTTAGAAACACAGAATAGCGGTGCACTGCTGTATTGGATTTGGATGGCCTATTTTGGGTCCCAAGGGCAAGATATTGATGAAAAAGACATACAGTAATATATGCATACGATGAACTTAAACACCTACTATATAGCAACTAAGCATTGAAATGGTAAAGCAGTAGCAGCAAACGTCGTATTTGGTTTTGAATTTGCAATTGTTATTTTGAGGCATGCGTTACAATGAATATTTAATCTTACTAATTCTATATTAAAAAAGGGTACTTATATGCTAAAATTTTATTTTATTTAAAATCGAGTAGCGTCGCATATGTTTTTAGTCAGGGGAGAAAATAAGTAGTGGTTCTATTATGTGAATAAAAGGAAATGTATTATATTCAAGTGGGTGTTTTCTGCACATAAATCTCTGCATAGCATTCCACTTCAAGGTGCGAAATTATCGTTAGACTGCGCTGAGCAGTAAAATTTCTGATATAAACTAGGAAAGGTATATTAACATAAAAAACAACTGGGGGTTTTACTGATAACAATCAGTTTTACAATTTTTATCATGCCACAGGAGTAAAACAAAGTAGGTTTCGAAAAAATTATGGACGCTGCAACCGCATGGGAGAAAATTGAACAAGTCTTGTCCAACACGCGGCCTAACCAAAGAACTGATATTCTGTTCGGCCTACGGAATTGGCTAGAGTCTTGTGGAGAAGAACGGCCCGGTGAGTTAAGAAATACGATGCTTAGCTACGTTCTTTGATAATTTGTATACCACTTTAAGGTTAGAGACCCCAGAATAATTTCCATGTTCCAACTCAAAATACTACTTGTCGACGATGTCATGAATACTAACGAAACTGTGTTAACCTCCGTTAAAGTATGAGAGGTTATGCAGAAAGAGGAATACCGTTCTTATGCGTATTTGGGTATTAACAGTTAGAAATAACGTCGAGTAAGTTAGCCTGCATTCTCGAATTGATTCCGGTTCTATAATGGTTAAGTAATTCGACTTAGGAATGAACCTTATGATAATTTTCAAAACGACGACAAATCAAGTTGAACATATTTGGAACTAGATATGTGCATATAAATGAGTAATATCCTTGTAATAATGTATAAAGATTACTTGTAGTAGACTAAACTACCTTAGAAGAGTACTCGTGGCCTTAACCTAAATCATGTCCTTCAACCTCTTTAGAAATTACTCTGTATGCACAATTCAAAAATCTGTCTGGGCCGGACATAGTAACACAGAAATTCATAATTATAAAATTCGAACAGATACGGCCGTGAACCAAAAAGTTGCTTCTCAATTGGATATCATTGCTGACTTCATTCGAAAAAAACTGCCTTTGGATGCAATACTACCCTCGGAGAGGATAGTCGCTCCAACTTCTGGAGAGGTAGGTATTATAATTAGAAAGGAATGCATTTTGCGTTATAAATTACTAATATTTTACTTAATAAAAATAAACTTACTTTATTTCACACAAGGCGTGTATGTATGCTAATGTTTAATCGCGTACTCTGAACCGATCCATAATCTTCTTTTTTTAGTCGTCCACCGCGCTACCATTTTATTTTAACGCCATTCAATGTTTTGACAATGGATGCCTATAGAAATCAAAGTCATTGCTTTGAAAAATGACAAGTTCGTTCCAGTGCTTTTTACAACCATATTTCGCGGCTCAGTAAGGCGAAAGTCAGTTCCAAATCAAAGGCCCTTGAAATTTTGGTTAGCATGTATTGAACAGCGTCTTGCTTCAACTTTTACGTCGATAAATTGTACTTATCTGAATTCCATGGCAACCATGACATTTTTCTCTTAAATTGCCTACTGCGTAGAAAGAAACCTAAGGTGCATAACAAAAAAATTGTATGTGTGAAACGTCACCTAGACACTTTCTATGATATAAGTATGATAAGTAAGCTAGGCTGTTGAAAAATTCCTCTAGAAATTGTCGATGGTTCGATTTGTTGCAGAACGCCGATTGTAACCCGCGTACTACAATGCATGTTGATGCTTTCCTTTACCCGGATGAAGAAATTAATAAACTTTGTGAAGATGGCATTCTTTCAATGTCCTATTGCTCCGATTGTGGGTCAAGGAATATCCGACCGCTCAGTAAGTAGCCATATGATTCTCTTCTTAAAACTCAGTCGACAATGACAACCAATAGATGTAGATATTTGTTTACTTTTGTGTGAAGTCTCGATACACCGCATTACTCGTAGTTTTAACAAAAACAGCTAACATCATATGATCGTGATAAATATTGCTTAACATTGTTTTATTTCTGTAATCAACTTGGCTTTGTTTATTGCAGCTATTATTTCTCACTCAGCGTCGAAAAGTCGAACTCAGTTCATCTTTCAGAAGGTATTGCCTCCTGATCTTGTGAACGGCGGTACAGTGGTTGATGTGGGATCTCGGTTGGGTGTGCTCTGTTATGGGGCTTATTTGATGTCCGGCGCAAGTCGGATAATAGGAGTCGAATTAAACTCAGATCTGTGTACTCTGCAAGAAAGTGTTATCCAAAGATTTTCTATGAATGATCGAATTCAGGTAAATCCTTTACATCTAGAATCAGTACTTCATGTTTTTTTTATTATAAGCCTGAAAAGATTTATCACTTAAATATCATATATACAGCAAGTGGATACACAACTGCTACTAGAGCAAGATTTTTAGATTTATATACCTATGCATTACTCAAACTGACTAACTGAAAAACCGAATCACGCATTACACACGTATGTAGAGGTATGATGTCGAATTAATATTTCTACCTATTGAACTTAGAGATAGCGGTCATGTAGCACATGATATTAGACCTTCCACAGCAGAACAAGTTTCGCTATAGCAAAATGCAAATTCACCAAAAAGTTTTGATATTACTAAATATTTGTATTATTATGTGCTGGTGAGATTATATTACAGATCGTGAATGCTGATATAGTGAGTTTGCCGGACGTTCTCGCTGGAGCCAACGCTGTCTTTATTAATAACTCGTTTGAGTTTTTTAGTGATCACTCCAAGCAACGTGAAATATGGGCGTTCATTGCCAGAAGTTGTAAGCCAGGATGTATTCTAGTCACCGTGCCTTCACTGGAAGATGCTTTCAAGTCCTTGCAAGTACGTGTCTATGGGGGTTTGCAAACGATGGGCCCTTTATCTAGCATATTATAAGTACACCGATTTTACAGGACCCACGGCTTTAATAACGTTAGGTACTTAATTAGCTACTTAAATACCTAGGTGTACACTTAATAGACGTAATAATACGTGTATATAAAAGCATATCTCTCCAGATTTCTATTTTCACGCTTTTTGGCTATCTTCGTCATGCAAGAACAAAACCTCGAAATTACCTCTTTAAGACAACAAAACTGATTGCCCTACTAGAAGAGATTAATCAAAGTAAATCTCGTGGACTTTGTAGATTTTCTCCAATAGACCTATGAAACGGCATGTGCAATGCCTTTTTTGTATTTGTAATTTGTAGTATTTATAATTTTTGATTCTAATTAATACTGTAATTTCTACTAGAGATGAGGGATTAAATTAATAACTTTGTGTCATCTCTAAATAGAAACAGTTATGCGCCGCGTTTCTCTAGCTCTCAATTTACTTCCCAAATGATTCAATAGATCTCCCAATTCTTAAAGTTTAAATTAATTTTGTACACAGATTTCTCCAACACTGGTTGATCTTACGAAATGGGTACGCAAGATGCCTATTGCGCTGAGTTTTATGGATGAGAGCGACGATGAATTCGCTGAGATGAAAGAAGTTCATCGATACGAAGTGTTAAACCCAATGAAGTGACGTTTGCTGTTGTTGTAAGGAGCAACCGTTCTCAGCAGCGTGTCGTTGAAGCCATACGCGATATTGCCACAGGAAACGGTAGTCTTTACATCAACCGTGCTAGCAGTTCTTGTTACTGTCTATGGAAGTTACTTTATTTGTATTTGCTTTCCTGTTCGTTCGTTGCTGGTGGATGATTAAACATAGTCAACGGGGCGGTAGTTAATCATGAAAAAGAGAATAAAGATATGTTGCAATGTTCTTCAAGGGGGGAACTGCTATGTTGTTCATGTGTACTTCCTTAAAGATACTACCATGTTTTTGGACATACTATTGTAGATCATATTGCTTACGACGTAATTAACAAACCGCTATATTCAAGGCGTTTTATTAAATTGTTCTTACACTGTAGCCAGAAACAAATACAAAAATATACTCTGTTTCTAATTGTCTTTTCCCGCTTGCCTTTGCACTAAACGCATTGTAAATTTATTGCGTCAATAAAGCTATAGGTTCTCCAATGTGCCGTCGAAGCTTACTCTTTTATACAAATACTCTGCATCTTGGTTCTGGCAACCACCTGCGTAATGTATTCTACAAATAATACATATTTATCCCCGTATATATTTATTTTTCATTTTTCTATTATCTACCTCCAGGTAGTGTGTGAAGACTCACATTCCCTTGCCGTCTTACAACCTGTCTTGGTCGACTTTTATGCGAAACTGGGATTATTTCTAGATTTATGTACGAATGCATCAATTTTTTCGTAGAACCCATTTTAGCTATTTAGTGACTGGTAGGGCAGCCAGGCGGTGTTAGTTAAACATCCAAGCTTTTGTACTATTTGTTAATCTGCCAATGACTTCTAGTTTAAAGCTGCGCCCTGAAGTCCCCTTAGCGAGCTTTACCGCGTCGCCTCTAGCAGTCTGGATCAATGCTCAGTCGTCTACCCTCCCTTGCTTTTAATTTCCATTTAATTCGCGTATATCTCGCCTTTGTTTTCCACAAGGGCTTGTAAGGGTCCGCCGGTCCGGGCGTGCTCCAAAGCCTTTGCGCGCGCTGGTTTTAATCTACTCTTCTATTTTTCGCAAACCTCTGTTTAACAGGCGTTCTTCTATTCGCCATCTGCGCAAGCTCCTGGTAGGAGAAAAGCACCTTTTGTTTACTGCACTTCTGAGGCTTCTATGCCTTCATCTACCACTCAAGAGCCTCTGAGTACTTCACAACCGGGGGCGCACGTATACCTTCTAGGTAACGAAATGCTTACTGTTACGTACACACATCTACGTACACATTAAGTACATGATTTGAATTAAAAGAAAAATCAAGGCTAAGTTGCAACTCATATGCTCGTAGGTGACATATGTCGTATTATTTCGAGGTCTTAGTTTTATCATGAAAAAAAGTAAAATATTAGATGTATCAAACAAACTGCAATTTCATAAATTTTGAACTACAAAATTAAAGAATACCCTTCTTAGTCTCCTTTTAATGGCCTTCTAGTGAACATCAGCTCTAGAAATTCCAGGAAAAAAGTTCCAAGTTCTAATCTCGAAAATCGATGCTTAGTATTCATTTTTTGTCCACAAAGGCCACAGCGTTGCGAAATAAAGATGTTAAACAAGAAGGGATTATGCGAAGTACAGTCAGTGAATCGCGAAAATGTTGTAAGAACCAAGATTGAAGTGTAGGACCAGGCAATAGATGACCAGATGTCGGACATATGAACGCATGGCCACAATTGAGAGGTATTTTCACGTAAGTTGAGTTTGGAGTCCGGGGGCTGAGTAGGCATAACACACGAAGTGTCACAGAAATATAACCCAATCCTAAAAATTATAATAAATACTGGATACAGATTTATAACAAGTACTAAAATCGCCCGCGCATTGACTCTATACCAATTGATTGCATATATGCATTCCATGTGCAATTTGCGAATTCCTAATAAACGAAAAACCTGCCTAAAGCCCATACACTAGGCATAGTTCAATTTGTACCGCCAACCGGAGAGGGTGCCAGGGGAAAGAACGACGCTGCCCTGGAGGCTATCGTTTCTTTATCACAATTGCAGACGTTCTGGCTATGCCTCAGTTATTTTCTAGATTGCGCAAAGGAATATCCAGCCTTGGCCTCAACCTGCTTATCTCCCGGTCTACGTTCGTATAATTACGGGGCCTTTTTATGTCTTCGAAAGGATAACTGGTGGGCAAGCAAATATTCTCCAGGTACGTATAAAGCTGTCAACAATGTTGAATGGTTCTTTAACAAGGCGGTTCACGTCATACATCAGTCCAACTATAATTGCTATCCAAAAGCACAGTCCGCTACTTCGTATTTGCCAACACGAATGTACCCAGACTTAATATATTAAACATGCCTTCCACGTCAAAATGAAAAGAAGTCCATTAGGTTAACGAAAAGAGGTCCATTAGGTTATATGATAATCAGTTTAATACGCGTAGCAATATTGAGAGATGAAGCTGCCTTGTTTTTTTTTTGTTTTGCCATTGCTTTCCATTAAAGATTTAACCTCAACCGATCCGAAGGTGCCTCACAGCTTGCGGCTCTAGAGGCTCCTAAAACACTGCTACGGGAGGTGCTTTCGATACAAGCGTTTTGCCTCATTACTACACATGCTCCACATGTGCCTTTTTTTTTTTTGACATAGCATTTTCCTTCACTAATAAACGTTTTTTGTTAGGCCTCTCACTAGATTTGACCCTAATAACGATATAAGCCTAATGTTCTCCTTCGAAATTGCATTTCTTGTCGCTTCTGGACGCTGCGTAAAGTTACAACCATCCATATAGTTCACCTATAGCAGAACTTCATAATGCCTTTTCAAAGAATAAGAATGTTTTCTTTAACTTTTCTACTGTAAAAATTTTCAAATTATAACCTGCGCACCCGACTGCTTGTTTATTAAAAACTTGATTTCTAAAACTGGCTTAAAATTGCGGGAGTACTTCGTCCTTAGATTCATTGACATTCTTTGCCTGAATCTTGAAGGTGTTCTTGTGCTCTTTACCATTATTTCTATGTTACTAGACGCACATTACACAAATAACAATGAAAACAGTAACAAAAACCAGTCTTCGCGTAGTATGCTCTCCGCAAAAACATCCAATACCATCTTGATTTCTGTTGAAGACTGGCATCTTCGGAAGTATATCCGCGATAGTCTTTTCTGGCTTGGCCTCTTGTTAAATAGTATTCACAGTAAGTTAGTAGTATCCACTTTATTTCGCATCATCTTTGGCTCATATAGGTATTGGCATTTAGTAAGACCCTTACGTAAACTTAGATATCCGGCGCAATAAGCTGAGATGCACACTATATCCATTGCGGGTTAGTACCGCAGCATACTCAGCAACGGTTGTAAAAAGACGGTCGACTGTTTTGATAGGCTACGCTAATTTACTTTAAAGTAGGTTACTTTAAAGTAGTTACTGTAGTTATAGTATTGTATTTTCGCTTGTATTATCTCAGTTAAAATCTTTAAAGTTTGTTTCACGATTATGATGGGTAGGTTGTGCTGTAGCTGACTAAAGAGTAGATAGTTACCGGAAGTCAGCTACATTGTTACCTGCCTAACACTTACCTGCTCGACAGTTCCGGCTCAAAATTAAACAAAGCTCGTAAATACATTTTCTCCACAAGAGGCACGGTTCGAGTCCCGAAAATCTGCTAGGTAATCATTTTTGACTACATTCAATAAACCTCAGTTCCAACAGCATAATTGTCACTAGCTTTCTACCAAGAACGTTGAAAACAGACATCAACTTACAAACTTACAGAGAGCTACCCTAAAACACTAGATCGACGTATACGACGCATCGAAACATCGCAAAGAAAAACGGAGCAAAAACCTACTTCCAAATTCGGAAGGATTGTCTTTGCTACCCATAAAAGCCTATAATACTTCGATATTAGACGAAAAGTGAAATTTAGAATCCACAAAGCTGTTTTCATATTTGACGAGAAGTGAAGTCCTAGAAGCCACAAAGGTGCACGTGAACGTGACCTTTTCCCTGGCACGCCTTAGGAGTACCTTTCTCCAGACCACGTCGTAAGTTCCTCTCTAAGAATACCTCTGAAATATTCCACCCGAAAGAATCACCGTTTTGCATCAACAAGCACACCAGACACACCGAGCCAAGCAGCCAGTGAAAACACACCAGTGAAAACTCAAAAAATGTCACCTTCGTATGCCTTTATTCACAACAAACACGTCCTGGAAGTCGTTCATCCGGGATAGTAATGCCTGGCATGCAATGTGCGAGCACGCACAAAAACTGGTGCACGAATAAAACATGCGGGAGCACAGAGGGTGAGAAACCATCTACTGGAAGAACCTACTTACCTTTTTTGGCCTATTTGAAACAATGAGTGGAGAAGTGAAAGACCTTCACATAGGGCCTGCCACCATAGCTTACCATAGCGCAGTGATAAGATTTTCCTTCCCTATCGGGAGACGAAATCCTGCCACGAAATCCTGTCCAACGCCACGGACAATCGAGGGCATTGACGGCCGCGGCCGAGAGGAAGGAGAGCACTCGCAGGTTGTGCGGCGTACAGCGCACACATCAGCCATACCCCGTACAAGTACTGGCTACACATCTGAGTATTCCGATGCTTCCTGCGCAACAGGTTCAGACATTTCCCTGATTTCACTAATAGGGAGTGGTAACCTCACTACCGGCGTTCCTTCCAGATGTCTTCGACCTGTTTTGTGACTCTCAATAAGGCTGGTTGTAATTAGCCATCCATATATCTTCTCCCAGTCAAAGTGAACTTCCATATCCTGGTCGGACTGGATAGGCGACAAGCAGTAAGGAATGTTGTAGCGGTAGTGGTAGTTGTAGTACCAGTAGCGCGAAATTTCGAACTATGCACACAAGAGATGTGTGCCGCACTACGTGAAATCATTCGTCCACGAATGGATCCAAAATACAGTTGCAAACGCCCAAAGAATTCCATTGCTAATGAAGTTTTGCACATACTTCCGACTATCGTAATTATCGAAAGTGTACTACCGCACACATTTCTTCAGAGAACGTGATAGAAGCAAGAAGCAAAAAGGGGTCCAAGCACAAATCCAGAGCAGGATGATATACATTAGAAGAATAGCTTTTATGGTGCTGACCTCTTTACGAATTTCCATTCAAGCCATTTCCTTTCTGCACCCAGTGACTGACCGAGCGACCGACCGGACTGCTTAATCCAAGAAATTTTCTCCATATCCGAAATTCTCTCCATATCCGTTATCCTGAAAGACTGCCTCAGGCTTAGTGAACTCCAATACACTGACCATATATCCACCTGAATTCCCGAAGACACAGATGTGCGAGCTTTCTCCACAATATCACACTCCATATACCATGATCTATAGAGATGCTAACGATTTCCCACACTAACACTGTTCACCGACAAAAACACCGCCAGCCTGTCCTAACTTCCGTTCCTTAAAGACCGTTCCATCATCAAAGACTTCCTCCTCCATCCAATAGTTTCCTAACTGTGTATGTGTGTGTGACCTTCACCTGTTCCTTCCCAAAGAGAAAGAAAGCGAGAGAGTTACCATCAAGTCCAGCTTTCTTACCCTGTATGCCTTCCTCTTCTGCCGTCTTTTCCTTTTAATCTCCACAACGAACTAGTTAGCTCCTTATCTGATTGTCATCATTTCTTGCGTACTCTCAAAACCACATCGAGCACATCACTAATCCAATTGCGATCTAATTGTTCATCACTAATCATCCAATTGTCCACTGATTTAGCTGAGGTGATTTTGGATAAAGATTGATTTTGTCTGATACGTGTGAGCTATAGAGATTACGAGATCGTGTCCTGTAGGTAAACACATACACGCCCTCAACCGGTGTACGTGCTGATGTACTCCAGAGTGACTGATGTGAAGCAGGAGCCGTAGGCTATCCTCCTTAGATGATTAGTCCTGAGATATCCTCATCAATGAAATCCTTTATTTGATCCATTTGGTGCTTCTTTTATGGTTTTCCGCCTCCTCTGGTCATGAAGTGCCGAGAGTCGGGGTCAGTTCTGTCCATTATCTTTCTTGTCCTTCACACAGAATCCTTCTTAACACACACACGGACAAGAATCTCCAGTGCAACGCTTCACTATCGAGAGATCACAAAGCTGTATTGTTAAGTCTTTTCGTTTCGTTTTGTTGTTGTTGTTGTTGTTGTTGTTTGTTGTTGTTGGTTGTTGTTGTTCTTCACCGTTATCCTATGAATCAACAGCGTTATTAGGACATCCATGAGGGGGCACTTGACGAGAGCATGTACTCAGAACTCATCAAAAAACTTGTTTTACAATATCTTCTTACAAATAATACATGTTGATGTAGTACATGTAGTATTAATGTCACTGTACGACAGTAAAAAAGAACGGGGGAAAGGAAAACGCTGAAGAACAACAACAGTCAACGACAACATACTCCGCGCGAGCACAAAATCGGACGAACGATTAAACGAACGAACGAACGGAAAACTGCGAGCATGGCTATTAATATGTATATATATGTATATGTTATAATATAAGTGGTATGAGATATGTGGTGACGCTAGGGAGGGTTCGAGCGGGAAGGTTTGCTGTCTGAGCTGAGCACGTTGTATGACGATGATTGATGACGACGACTGCAGACGAGGGGGAACGCGACCACCACCGCCGCCGCCGGCGGCGCTACCGGTACCGCTACCGCGACCGGCCGCTGCCGCGTGTTCTGGAGCTGAGCGCAGTCTACGAGTGCGATCGTGACCTGGAACGACTACGTGAGTACTTCCGCGCAGGTGAGTGCGAATAGTTGACGGGCGATCGGGATCGACGAGGTGAATGGCTGCGTGATCTGGATCGCGAATCACGACCGGTATCCTCACGGACACGGACGTATGATACCTCGCCTTCATGCGAACGGAATCTGCATTTACCGGAAGGAAAGAACAAACAAAATCAGAATTCGACCGAACGTTATTTCACATCGCAAAGTTTTCGTTGGTTAATGGGGTTCTCGTGGGATTGAGCTCGAAAATGTAAACAAGATGTCCCGTATACCACATCCTCACAACCTGTGATATTTAAGCCGTTTCAGGACCAAGGTCGCCCGAATTAACTTTAACTAATTTGCTCGCAGTATTACTGCAAATTGTAATCTAATGCGGAAAGAAAAAGCAAACCAAAAAAAAATTATTCTTTGCTTTTTAGAACAATAAGCTATCGACGATGTGCAAGTCCGTCCATCGATGCTTCTAAAATACTTCCTCATAACACGCCGCAATTGGTTCGATATCACATACAAATGCATGAAGGTATTAAGTCAGAAGAAGCACAGGAAACTGCACAACCACTGGTTGAGTGTTCCGTAGTTTCCTGTACTTCTTTTCGTAAATTGATCTACAGGCGATAAATGAACAGCATACTAAGCAGAAAAATGGCTGCAAACCTGCTATCATCAAGCTTCTTCACGGCGTACTTCATATCTTCGTAACGAAGGAACTCGACTACTCCAGTGCCGTCTTTGTAGACATCTGCGTAGCAAACATCTCCCGCTTCACGCATGTGATCTTTAAGATCCTGCCACGATCCGGTTGGGGGTAGCCCTTGAGAAAAAAAACGTGTAGAAGAGAAAACGTTAGTTACGCGCACATAAAAAGCTGTAAAGCGGGAATGTATGAAACAATGTCTTCATGAGGAACAAGCGAAAATAAACGTCTTCATTTCGTATGAGTCAATTGTAAGGCAATACACCCGTAGATCCTTACTCGATGATCATCAGATGGCCCCTGTGCGTATGTTCGACATGGCAGTCCCTTAGCACAGCTCCGAGCATCGAAGGCAGTCCCTCTTTGCAGGCACAAATCATCACTGAATGAGCCACGACAAACTAACAGCTCCGAACATTAAGAATACCCCTCTTTGCAAGCACAAATCATCATTGGATGAACCACGATATACAAATTGTGTACTGTTACTTTACTGAAAGTGGCGGTATGATTTCAATTGTAGTATTGCTTACCTGACACGATGACTCTGTACTGGCTGCGGCGGGCAGGTGGTCCTCGGCCGCGTGAAGGACCTCCTCGAGGTCGCGCTGAATTCCCACGTGGAAACTCCACGCGCAGCTTGTACCCGTCATAATCGTAGCCATCACGAGCAGAAACTGCGTCCTCGGCATCTCTGCACAAATAACAACGAATATCAGCTTCGCTGATTAGATTATTTCTTCTTTCTATATTAGCTCCTTAGATTATTTTTTCTTTCTATATTGCCTCCTTCTTAGTTTTCTATTTCTTTTTCTTGGTTGTGTTTACATAACAGATGCATCCAACACCATGCAGCTTATTATGTGTATTGTCGTTACTTTCTTCCTTTTACCAATCTACTTCCAGTGGTTTAACGCCAAAACTTTCTCGCTATCCGTTGAGCGCACGGAGTACGTGTCACAGGAGGTCGTTGAGGCGTATCACATGTGGAAACGATTATTAAGACATGACGTCACAAGTTGACCGACAAATACAACATGATCAGATTCGCACAACGCAGGAACGGAAGGAAAGTTGGCCCAAGGAGCTGGTAATGTTGTCTAGCGTAATACTGCGTCGAGATCGTTTACCACAGCGACCAATAGATAAACGACCGTAGAAAATGGAGCACTACGCCCAATTTACCAAGCCGAGCAGCCGCTTAGTTTGACCTTGTGGACAATACGTTGACTCGGTCCCGCCTGACACTATGAACCGTAACTCAAGAGAAGGCAAGCACGTGAACGGCTAGATTCGTTTGTGTTCAAAAACACAATGCTAACAATATATTAGCCTGCTTAGCTTGGTTATGCCCGAGTCTGTAGCGCTCGTTTTACCGTGAATTTTTACGTTCGAGTATAACTGAATGCTGTAAGACCCCGATACTTCTGCCGTTAGGCAGTACTCATTTGCGTCTCATATCCTTGTTTCTTGGAAAAATTTATGACACGGCAAGATAAAAATTTGCCATAGTAATTATTTGCTAACGCTAAAATTTGAACCACCAAAGAGCGCTCGTTCATAGTTACCATGGCAACGCAATCAAAGAAATGCGCATAAGCTACCCAGACTACGTTGCTCCCTTCTAGCCACACACTTACCGTGCATCTTCAAACTCGACAAAGGCAAACGGTGGACCACGCCGGTTCATCAGATCGATCAACGTGATCTTGCCGTACTTGTAGAAAATGTCTTCAATGTCCTTGGTACGGATGTCCGAGGGCAGATTGCCGACGTAAATACGGCGAACATTACTGTATGATGACATGATGATCGGCGGCGTGAGTCGGCCAAGCTTTTTCCACTCTGATTTCTATTTCCACGGCAGCTTTCAATACTTTTGCTGCGCGAATAATGGCAATAACAGTACCTCCAACAGTTGTATCAAATTGCGGTTAAGAACACGAAAAAACCACACGAATATAGTACGATCACACCATACACAACAGGTACGATAACGAAGATTTCCCCTTCGTGGCGGGGAATGCTCAATAACGACACAGAACGTAGAAATCTAACGACGCCTGTCGCAGCATCCCTAATTCACGCAGACATACAGTACACAAGCACCGCAGCCGAATGTTGTCGACTGGCCTAGAAATGGCTGACTCGTTAGGACACAGGACGACTAGTGCGAATGCAAAACCTGGACCGCTAATTTTCGATCGCCTTCGCTCGCTCACAAGCCGCGAAATCTCTCTGCTATGAGGCTTAGGTAATAACTCAGCTCCACCAAATGCTATTACATGAGCACAGGTCGAGCACTTGTTGCACACGTTCACTACAACACAGTCCGATTGAATCGATGAGCAACCTACCACTTATACCAGTAACGAACTACAGCACTGGTTACGCTAGCAAAACGAAATACTCATGCCTAAGCCTTTCCAGAGGGCGCTGCGTCATGTTTTTGCCTTCAAGAGGGAAAGGGCTAGCAGAAAAACATATGGCGGGAAATTTTAAAAACATAAATTTCTTTGTCACTCGTTGCAGCAGTGTTAACGAAAATTAAGAATTGAGAAAATGAACAGTAAGGCTAAAGGATCACTATTTAGGAAGAAGTCAGGGGGGGGGACTTCCCCCCTAAACAAAACAGAAAAGCAAACCAAAAAAGCCTTATCAGTGTCAACTAACGATCAGGCTAATAACTGCTTTTTTTTTGTTTGCCTTTTTTTTTTAATGTTAATTAACTTAAAAATTCATAAGAAAAAAAAAACAATTTTTTGCAGCTCATAAGTTGGTAACACCATTTAAAGGATTGGGTTCAACTATTTATCATATCATCACTGATATATATATCAAGAGCGCAAGGGTCCCTGAAATATAGCTTTCTCCCGTTTCTTGAGGTTATAGAAACTAGTATTCGACACAAATTTCGATGTTATTCCCTGTACGCTGACATTACCACGTACAGCATTTTGTGCAAACATAATGGAAGGCCACAGTGGAAATACACTTTTACAACGGGCACTGATTACTTTTCTGGAACGGTGTACCACAGGATCATATTCTGTTGCTCTCTTCCTAAGCGCGCTGTAGGTAATTAGGACCAAGCCAACAGCACCTTGCTTGATAAGATAAAAATTAACACTGGCGACGATGACTCGACTGAAATGGAAAATGGCGTACTCCTGGTCAACTATGACTGCAAAGTAATGACCGATGGCACTTCCTACAATCTCGCCCGTATACGCTCGTTTGTCTTAGTGTGCAACCATTGTCTTCTCCTTCTCCTTAAGTTTTCCACGAGCTGCCAGGTCACTGCTGGCTGGCGCCAGCCAGTGTACACCTGTTTGTACCTAGCAACACGAACGACTGTATCATAAGCTAAATCACCTCAAGGGTTAGCCTTAAAAATACTCTTACCGGTAAAGACAACCGTCATCGAAGCCCCGGGAAGTGTCTGTTGGCTTAAAAGACAAACCTACATAACAGGTACACGCACGTGCCATGGACGCGGGGTCAAACATGGCCGGGACGGCGGACGCAGGTTTACTGCCTCATGGTGGGCGAGCCTTTGACGGCGGATTACGGGCTTGACAGTACAGGACTCATCATAGAACAAACGATAGGAAAATGTCAAGTTACCAACTCAAGCGCGAGCCTAATTACGAGAACTATAGTCATGATGTCAAATTAACGAGCAACATGACTTTGAACGATTAGTGCCTCTCGCAAATGCTAAAGTCCCTTGTTGACTGAAGCATGTATGTGAGTTCAGAAGGAGACATCCATAAAACAATGTATAATGTTCAGCATTTTTAACGGGAGGCAGTATCTACAACCTTTCCTTACAATAAGCAAACGACAAGACTCAAAGATGTTTCTTATTCAGATATACAAAAATGTGTCATATAAAAGCAATTAAACTCACCGGGCATCCTCGAACTCAACAAACGCGAAAGGTGGTCCGCGCCGGTTTTTCAGATCAATGAACGTAATTTTACCATACTTGTAGAACAAATCTTCGATGTCCTTTGTACGAATATCAGGAGGTAAGTTGCCAACGTAAATTCGACTATCGTTCTTGTATGACATCTTCCGATCTCGAGTGGGGGCCCGTCTACTCAGTGCTACCTCTTATTGTTACACGACTACGAGAAGACAGCGTTACCGAATCGGCACTCTGTATAGTGGCGATTTGCTATTTCTAGCTACTCGATTGCAGCAGTGCGTCAGTTCCACGACAAATATATATAGGTATGTACGACAATCATTAATTAATTTCTAGATAAGCCGCGAAATGCCACTTCTGTCGACGACGCCGCCGTTGCTTAGCTGTTTTGCAAACTAAAACGCTTCCGACACTCCACACACACAAACAGTTACACGCGCAGTTGCTTAGCTACGGCAGTGCGGCGATAGCAGCACACACGGGTTCCTATAGTCAAGCCAAACAAACTTAAGCCTAAATAGAGGGCGCTATTGGCATCGTTTGCGTGTAAGAGGAGAGAGAATGCAAAAGAGCGATAATTCTATGCTCAAAAGGCGGGTATTTTTGAAACGTTCGAACTGGCAAGCACAATATCCATATTGTCCATGTCGGTGTCAGTGTTTCTGTGTCCATCTCAATACGGCTAAATGGAGCTCGTATTGCTACTGTTAATGTTAGATGGCAAGAGCTGATCTGCTGATGTTGATGGACAGTCCGTTAGACTTTCCAGCAGCAATCCCGTCAAATGGATCAGGTGACGATTGATCTGTCTTGCTAGCTACTGGTAACAGGCGGACGGAAATTTCTATTACAGTGGGATTTTATAGGATTGTGTTGATCACAGGCAAGTGCCCTAAAAACTCGGTAAATTTATGAGAGTAAATTGGATTAAAGCTGTTTCGGGTGAAATTTGGGGTGAAAGTATATAGCAAACGTAGATGTTGATGAAATTATAAAATAATCCTAATAATACATCCGATATGAAAAGTTCATATTTTGAAATGAACTTTGACAGTAATCGCTGTGGAAGAACAGGTAATAAATGTGATATACAGAAGACGTTTATGAAGTGTTTAATATGACTAGAGTATAATAATTACCGCAAGCATTATTAAAATTAATTCAAGTGCCCGTCTAATAGACACTCTTTGCATGGTTATTGACCGAATATGTTTTTAAATACGGAAAGAATACGCTTCGTAGATCAACTGTTTCAAAAGGATGGTTCCGCTTTTTTCAAAATGAGAAGAAGCGTCTAAAGGTACCCACGGAAGAGACAATTCGTAATTTGCCGGTTCCCGACTTTTTGCTACATTTGACATTTTCTGTAGTCGGCAAGGCATAATATAATGTCTGGGGATTTTTGATAGGTTAAAAAACGTACCGTGCATCTAAATACCTTCTTATTATACTTGATAAGTTGTGTATAAATTAGTTTAGCGGCTACGGAGCTACCCTTAGGCTTAGGAATCATATTTTTTATACTATAGGAAAATGGTAGATCCCGATTAATTAAATGATCATAAATAAATCAACAACTGTAAAATATACGAGGAATAATATTGATTTTTCTTCTGGCTTGTTGTTGGATTTGTTCGTGGGTTAGAGTGCAGCGTAACCATGCTACCCCGTAGTATACAATTGCCCGCCGTACTACAGGATGCTTTAGCCCTCGGGGCGTCCACCCTAAGTGGTTCATCTTCAGCTACAGCAGTGCAGACATGCGGTACGCCCCTTACACCTCAACAGCAGAACGCTGGTATGGAGCTCATGTTAAGAAATTCTGATCGTATCGACGATCTCTGGTACAGGTAGGCTTTCCAAGGCGATACAGAACTTTGCACCGCAGGGACAAAATATATGGGAGAGTAAATTTGTTTTTATAAAAGCCATCTCGTTCTGTAACGAAGGTGACTCATATTTCCTCTTAGACAATTAAGGCAAATTTCATTTTGAGAAGACAGAGTTGAGAAATTAATCAAAATTATACATTTGTCTTTCAGGACTGAATTAAATATAAACAAAATAAAAGGGTGCGATTTACACATCGCCGAGTTGTACGCGAATCTAGAAATCAAACTGGCCTTAGTAATGAAGCTGAATATGACGCTCACCGCTATCGCGGACATTAAGACACAGGCCGCCAAATCGAAAGAGCTCCTCGCAAAGGTCGGCGATATGTTTATTTAATATTGTTAATTTTTATTTCAGTGCGGGAAGATACTTTTCCCTGTTTTTTATAAGCAGCGCACCGTTTATGTCACCTTATACAGCGTACAGTTACCTTGCCCAAACGAGCTCGCCGTAGTTTACATTGCTCAACAATACCCTTTTCGTTCACCAATGACTATATAATTTCCTGCTATTGTTTATGACAAAATAGCTATAAAATGCGAACGTTTAAGTAACAACTCACAATGCGATGGCAACAACTTAGGTAATAATCGGCAATAATAGCCAATGATTACGTAATCTTTACATCTGCATTAAGATCAAACGATAGCTTCTTTATTCAACACTCGGGCTTTTAGGACTAGTATTGTCACTATTAAAATAGCAGTGTTTTGTCGCTATGCACATTGGCATATTATGTATAATATTCAGGTGGAACAGCAACTTGGGGATTGCGCCGCAGCCATGTTAATCATGGATGATACCAGAGAAATGGTCGAAATTAAGCGTCGAGAAGCGGCTGAAAGGGAAGCTCGTAACAAACAGCTTCAGGAAGAACGCCGGCGAACATTCGAGGAAGAGTTTAAAAAAGATCTTCTAAGGTTCAAGGTAAGTAGCGCAACAGCACAATTAACAAGTTCTTTCTTCTCAAAGCCCTGATTTTATCACACAGAAGCCGAACCAATGACCCTTGGCTTTTTGTTGGCGCAATGTCTAATTTGCTACAAATGCCTATAGTACACGAGATAACAAACAGCATAAAACATTCAGCTGAAGCTAAATGACACTGCTATAAGAAAATAAAAAAAAAAAAAACATTCTGCATTTATATTAATCCAAAGTTGACTTCGATGTCTTTTTAGATTAGCTCGAAAGACCCACTAGGTCAAAGCCAGCGGATGTAATTTATTTGCCGGTTCGGTGTCATCATTCCCTCTGCCTCAATCTTAATTCTAATTAATTTCCAATAATGTGGTCGAATCATCATTGGTTCTACTGTACTCATTGGCTTGACTTGCTGTTCCCTCTGTCGTGCAGGAAACAGGCGAAGTTGAAGCGCCCCTTTGCCAGATTGCATCTCCTTGTGATTTGTCGGAAATCAATCTCGAACAAGATGAAGACGATCAACAGGCTTTAAGTCGTTTTCTTGAGAGCAGTGGTGAGCATGATCCTGAAGACAAGGATAGCGATTTTAGAAGAAGCAAGTCGCTTAGCAAAATGAGTGTGTTGTTAGAACCGAGCCTAAATCCGTCTCAAGATCTTAGCAGAGTAGATAATGAAGACGACCTGTGAGAATCTGCTTCAGAGATATCTTAGCTTCTAGTAATTGGGTTTGTTATAGAATGAGAACTTCGGTACGATAAGTAATGTAAATGGATTTGGAACCGTGCAATAAGATGGCTGTGTCGGCTACTGCCATTAAGTAGGAGAAGCGTGCAAATTTATCTTGGGCTTTATGTTGATTTACAAAACTCCACAATAAAAGTACGATCGATAGAACAGCGGCTCAATATAGAGCATTGGCGCTAACAAGGAACATGCACAAGAAAGTCCTAATTTCTCTAGAAACATATATAATTCAACAATAAGGTTCATAAAGGAGTATGTGCTTTGCTAGTGTCTAAATAGGTAAGGATGGATAATTCATTAGAATTAGGTGTCGGTATTTTAACTGAGTATCCTAAGGTAAATCGTCTGAAGCAATGCTTGACGGAAATACCTGACGTAAACACCGAAATATTTAGACGATCGTAATAATCTATGCGATATGAAAGACGAAGTGTACAGATCGACATAGAACGAAATAAACGACTTTTCCATTAGGACGTTGCATTTTCATTGCTAGTTGTTGAAAATAGTTGTAGAAATTTCATTACGAAAAAAAATTCTAAGGAAGTTCTAATAACTAGTACGCAGTTACCAGCGATCGTCCTAAGCCCCCCATGGATGTCGAATTTAATATTGAGTTGATTCTTTTCATTATAATAGAGAATTAGGTTGGTTTTTCGAGGGAAAAAACGACGTTACGCGTGCGCATACCATCGGTTTTAATTAGCCAAGCCTATGTTGTTTCACCATAACTCATACGTTTATTACTAGGTGAAGGCTGCATGTTACACGTTCGAAGATATCATATAAAATAATAAAGGCTTGTATTATCTACATTACGTAGAACATTATGCATTATTATAACATGCATTATATTAGAACAATCACATGATGATTAAGTGTACCAACAGCTTAGGTGTATCATTTAATAAATACATTGTAATACACTTTCAAAAGGCAGTAAATAAACCAAGATTTTCTACGTAGCAGCATGCAGTTAAATCCGTGTTCTTGTCTATCAAAGCGAACCATAAATATTTAAGGGAACACAAGAATGCTAAGCTAGCTAGGTCACCCAAATAGTCGGCCGTTACCGACATTCGGCAATCGGTTTTATATTGTTTGCAAACAGTGGCAATATATTAAATTCTAGATTCGCTAGTTTCGTTGAAATGCAGTTCTAGGGCCCTATAAAAAATATCACGTATAGCGCAGAAGGTTGCATTTTTCAAATACTTGTAGACTTAGCAGTGGTAATTGCAATACACATAAATAAAAAATGAAATAAAATATAGCATTGTAATATACAAACTTTATTCACAGTACCATAGTTAGAGTTATATACAGAATGTAAAATTTGTTTTGTATATATAATGTACAGTGTTGTTTCCAAAAACCTACTACTAATGAACCGATGCGATCTGAAAGCATCGGCTTTAACAGTTATGCTTTAATGCCGATTTGTGTTCTAAAATCAGACATGAAATTCGTTCTCTCTCTCACATATGAGATATCCTGACAACTTATCCTACATCACATTCTCTCCCTAAAATCCCAATAAAATACTTAGTGGCCCTAACGCGGACCTGTGTAATTAGACTACAGTTTATGTATACGCGATCGTTGATTGAAATATATCATGCAGCAACTCATTCAAGCAATTCATGAATGAACCACACCACTAAATTATTCCAGAAATTTCTGACTGAAGTAGATGACGAGACAAAGCTCCTCGATCAAAAATTAGACGGAATGATGCATACAGACCAATATACTACAAAAGCTGTAATATTGAATTTGCTTCCTTTTAAAATGTCATCCTTAATAACTACCTTAGGTAACTAAGTAATTAGATGACGGTTAAGCTACACTTTTGGTTAAAGAATTATTTTTACCTCTCCAGAAAACATATTGACATTCGAAAGAGTGCACTCAAATTAAATTGAATATCGTCTTTTTTGCCGGCTTTTATACACGTTTATATCTTACAGCTAATAAACACTTTTATGTATAAATTATAATGATAATGATTTATTTTCATCATGCTAGAGGAACTTGTCTTCGTCTTTTACAAATGTTCGCTGGCAATGACTTAGTGTTACTCAAAATACAAGGTATGTCTATGCTTGTACACATCGTTTCTGATAGCAGATTACCTCATATGGTTATAATAATTATTAAGAAAATTAATTATAATGATGCAAGCTAGCTATTTTGAAATTTCCATTCATACGTTAAAAAAAATTAAATCTTAAATAAATCTGCTTGTATTGGTAGTTTGAACGGCTAACTTAGAAGTCCTCAGAATAGCAACAAGTGAAAAAAAGTGCTAAGCAAGCAAAAATATCGGGAGGAACGACTAATTTGTTTTAAATTCTTCGATTTTCTTACTGCCGTCCGCTGCCATAAATATATATGCATTAATGAACATACGCTTTACGGCCTTAAATTTTTCAGGTCAGATCATTGGTTGAGGCTTCGGTCGGGTTTGCCGACGTATATCTGTTACTATTGTGCAAAGATCAGCTAAACTCAGGTGATTTCTCACTCGGTTTTAAGCTTACGCGTAGCACAAAGCGTTCTTAGATATTTGGCAATGCCAAACAGTGAAAGTAGCACCGGCAGCATTGTGGGTACAAAAAGAGGAACGTAGATCGCATATTTCTGATCATCGGGGAAGTAAAGCAGACCTAACAGTGATGGGTCGTAGAATGCCCGTTCCGCTGTTGCAAACGCTGTCTCGGCAGATGCCAGTGCCGAACCCAAATGACCCTTCAGTAAAAACGACATCGACATGAAAGAAAGTTAACTATACTGTTCCTGTGATGATCAAGTGGCGATATGTTTACTTTCTACATTTAGGAACATCTGATGCGATAAAGGTTCGCGACCATTCTTACACATGCCGAACACTGCTTTATGGATAAACGATGGTTTACTATAAGAACTATGATTGGGGTGATGAATTTACGGGAACCTGATAATCATTAATGTAGCGATAGGACTTTTAGTAGCCATATTAGCGTGTCGCTTCTCTCTTACCTGTGCGAGGGAGCGAAGAGCCTGCTTTCCGGAAGTTACTGAGGTTTCCGTCTGCAAGGATTGTGTTCATATACAAGTTAAAGAATAGAAGTTGATTTAAAATTTATTTTCACGTCTTTATTCTATGACAGTTTTTGTATTCTTGAATCTTAAAGGGTCGACACTCTTGACACTAACCAATTGTCCGACGTTATCATTAATGACCATATTTTCGATCGTAGTGAGCAACTGCGCCAGACTGTGTAATGTTCGCGAAGTAGCGACCAAATAATCGTGAGCTCTGCGCCGCATCAAAAGATCCAGCTCCCAGTCAGCGACCACAGGTCCGTCCCGACGGAAATGCGAATCAAACTCCGAATTTCGAGCGGGAATTCCTAGTAGAGGACGCAGCTGGCTCAAGAATACCTTGCCGACGGGTGAATATCACTTATTAAATTTCTATATGTTACTTTTGCTTGAAAAATTGGAAAAATTTCCATTCCGATTTGATCTGTGTACCTTATAAAAACTCAATTTAATTAACATATATATATGCATATAGTATATATATATATATATATATACTACATTCTCATTGATAATTTATCATGAATATTTAAGATTAAAAAATACCTGGAAAATAATTCTATTATCGAGAACCACGTTGACTGCATCTGTATTTTGTTCAGGCTCTGTTAGATTATAGTCGATATTGTAGAACAAGACACCACCCCAGCGAGGCGAAATGAAGGCATTACTCTCCAAGGGCTTGCCTACGAGAAACCAAAAGAATAATTTGTAAGACGTGCCAAACGGAAGGAGTATGACCTATACTTATTTATATTTATATCGAACAATGTTCTGAAAAGAAACTTCGAGTATTTCAAAATGAAACGAAGAAGCTTAAATTTCGTCATGTAGAATGTGGGACCTAAAAAAAAGACCCAAGTACCTAAATGAATAAACCACATCTTACGTACTCTAAGTGTAATTGTAAAATTCACGTATTTAATAGATATTGAATAGGCGACAAAAATACTGTATTTAGCCTATAGACCCAATTAAATAGACACTCCAGTCTTGGTTTGTTCTGGATTCAGTTTATCTCTAAATTTTAGAACTAACCCCGTTCATCGTAAATATGCAGTGGCGAAATTGATGGAGGAACAATATACACGAAGAAGTTCAACGATGGGTTGAGAGATACCTGAAAAGTAAATGTAAATAGATCCTCATTTGGTGCACGTACTGTCTTCAGGCGCAAAAACATGTTCTATTCTTGTCACTTTTGTTTTAATACAAAGACAATTCTACTTAAAATCTTAGCTTCAACACGATTCGCTCGCTTAGCGAATAGGCAAGTGGGCTACATGGACTGCTCAATTGCTAGCACTGAGCAGACTTTTGAAAATATTACATTTACAAACCTACCTGCATGAACTGCTTGGAACATCCAAAGCTTCATGCGATCGTTAATTCCTCATTAACAGTGGAATATGAAAAAATTGTGGTATCAATGGGATTTGATTTGAATAATAAAGCGTCGTTGTCTTATTTGTTATAAGGTATGCAGTCAGTGAGGGCATGTTTTTGTATGGCAGCCCATTACTTCAGTTGCAGGAAGTACACCATTTACCTGTCCTGGTAGAACCTTCTCGAGCTGATTGATTAACAGCGACAGGGCATTATGCGATATTTGGAATCCACCTAAATCAGCATCCTTCTGCACGGCCAAACTGACCCCGTAGCCAAACTTGAACTGTGAGAAAAACCAAAATTTCACGGCATTTATTGAAGTATGTTCGTGACCCGCAGTGTCCTCAAGTGATCTGGAATCTGATTGACCGGCAGTTATTTCTTTACATGAAGAGATATTTAGAATTATGTCTTCCACATTACCTCAAAAACTGTCAGTAGGTGTATTAAATTGCCTTGCGAATTCTCAAAAATATTCAAGAGGAGGCAGGCTAGTCATATGAGTAGCACTTGTAGTCAACATTTTTGCTTTTTTCCACTTTGGTAAATCCTTTGTCATCATCTGCCAGCGGTGAGATTTGAACCAGCAATGACCGGCATGCTTGTTGCTTATGGCTACTATGGTAGAGCAGTCAAAAACTTGCGGATTAGCCTAGCAGACGACGCTGCGCCTGTCTACAGATGGTTTAACTTCGAGCAGCTAATCTAGAATTTGTTTCATTCTAATTTCTCGTTGTTGGTTCACTTCGGACACTATATGCAGCAAAATGGCGTGAACATGTTCTTCTCACCTGACTTTTTACTTGAAGCTGGACAACATGCTGTAGCTTTGACACGACAGGCTTCATATATGCTTCATATCCACCTGCACTATTCCACATCACCTGAATTGAAATTTTCATTTGAATTTGTCGTGTACCGGTCGTATATTGAAGCAGCAATCCTCCCATAAGAATGAAAATATATATGCGATTAGCGGCCTTCTAGCAAATCTTGACTTGTCAAACTAAAGAAAAAGACCATGGTATTAAACACGAACATTCAAATGCATAGCTGTGGATGAGATAACAAGTGCTACAAACGTAGACTTTATAAATAAAAAGTTGAAACAATGTTGTTAAGTTAGTGTATCTTTTAAAAGCAAGCTGCAAGGCAAGCTTTAATGAGAAAACAGCACAAACTTACGTTCGCGTGTTGAGGCTCTGGCACGATGCACGAGAGGACCACATCGACGATCGGCGAAGCGTGCAATGAACGCTGTTGCTCTTTTGTTGGCTGTTTGAGAGCAAAAAGACACAGACAAAGACAACATTTCTTACTTTGAGCGGCTTGAATTTGGAAGGCGCTAGAATGATGCATTTTAAAAATTAAACAAATATGTGATTTGACTTTGTCTAGATATTCCAATTAACTATTTGTGACGTTTCGAGCATAACTCATAAATAGTTTTATTCATACCACCATACCATATTCAATCACTAAGCAAAACCACAGCGCGAATTCCGTTTCAGTTACTATTCTGTACTAATAAACATATTATAGTTCAAAAAATCCACAAAAGCAACTTATAATTAATCTACTACGTACAGCAATTTACTTGAATCGAAATTTCCCAAGGCACTCACTCGTTTTCTTTCAACATCCGAGAGGGGCGCAAAGACAGTTCGTAGAACATCTTCTCTAACTACGTTATACACAAGCGCAGTCACTAGATGGCGGGCGACCAATTTCAGGTCAGTTTCGTCTGAAGCGATATACACGGTCCGATAAGCGCCAATAATCCGGCGTGGGTGACCAGGAAATTGACGTGAGAGCACAACGACGAGATCGGCTGTTAAATGTGCTGTAGCCGTTCGGAAGGTCTCATCAAGTGCCGACAGACTCTTTGAATTCGTAATCATGTCCTGCATGACCTTCGAGGCCCGCTGCGCCGACCACGCATAATCGAACGATAGAAATTCGCTTTCGATTTTCAGATTAGCCTGACGAATGTTGTTGGCCTCGACGAGCGCAGCCGAAAGCGCTTCTAGATCCAACTTGTCGTCGTCAACGTACAATGTTACATGAATCAGTTGAGATACCTGGTAAGCACAAAAACCCATTGTTTTATAGAGGCGGTTTCGGTATGGCTCTTGTCGAGAGTCGATGCGGTTTGCCTGCAGTATTGTCACAAGATTATTATCCACACAAACTACCTTCATTATAGTAGTATAAATCACAGTTTTTTTTGGCGTTTACGATAGACATACATATTAATTGTTTTATCAGTTACAGGAGAGTATAAAAATGTTCTGAGAGTTTGAAATATTCACTTGAGAGTTTGTTCTGAAGTTTTTCCTAGTATTTGTTTGTTCTCTATCTCTTTACGTAGAATGCAAATTCTCGAACGATCATTTGGTATATTTAATACTGAAAAAGAACTATTGATGGATTTCTTTCGTCTATTGCTAGCAAATGTCACGAAATATACGTTTGCTGTAAAGATGCTGGCGTTGACAATACTAACATTACTCGAGTGTAGAGCTTCAATTTGCTCGAAAGGTATTGGAGCGCGATACACTTCTGTGGTCTTCCACCAAAGCGGCAATCCGACAACGACAAAGAACAGAGCATACGATGCAGTGGCTACAGCTGTAAACGCATCTGTAATATATGAAAAAAAAAGGCATCCATATGTTCCTTTGTAACGTACCTTCAATATATTGCTTTTACAAAAAAGGTGCCGATATTTAGTTTGGGTGCACTATTATGAACCACCTGTGCTGCTTGTAACATACAAAAACGATCGTGCGAGTTGTTAGTTTCTATAAAATAATGCGCAAAAGAAAGTGAGGATTGTTTTCAATGTTTTTAGTGAAATAACGAACAATTTCTCAGCTCATGCTCTACTTACTTTATAAATACCATTTATATAACAAAAACCGATAGAGGCATTATGAAAGTAATTTTGAAATGAAAATTAATTGGTATATGAATGTTAGCTAAATTTAATCTAACAGAAAAATTTAATTTTATCAATTAATTTAAGAGACTAATACTTTAGAGTGAGTTAGTAGTTCGAATTAGTGACTGGAAGACTATAAAGGTCACCTGTTATATTAGATTATTCAACGAATAAACATAGCCCAGATATTAAATATTTTCCTTCGGTCTTAATTACTGGTTTATAATTACATATTCAATAATTGGAAACATTCATTCTTTCCTTCTTTTTCTTTGAAAAAGATTAACTTAAAAAAAGATTAAAGAAAAACTTAATATATCATTATTATCATTATTTTTATTATTTTAAACCTATCTATTATGGGCCTTTGTAATGACGACAATGAAGAAAGGTTAGCAAATCGAATTTTGAAAAGAAATCATTATCGTCTTCTCTAAAATCAAGAATACACACAATACAACAATCACGTTCTGCCTAGTTTACGGAGTTCGAAGGCCTACAACGTACTAAAAATGCTTAGGAATGAATATATTTCCATTCTGCAGAATCACTTCTTATAGAACTAGCATAAAACTGCGTTTTATTTAAACAATACAAACTTGATATTGTGGGAACCACTTTATTGTTACTGTAATCTGTTTCCTTCATAGGAGCACCAAAAGGCTAAGACAGCTGACGTAGAGCTCACCGGCAAGCCTACCTCATCCATGCCATCACATGCCAAAGCGTCCATTTCAAAATGGGGTACAGAAGTGTTTTGCGCTTACCATTTTGTCCATATTTCGATTTCGGACATGCACAATCGGTTTGTTCACTGGAGGTCGCCATGTTGCTAAACCTGAGCGATCAACTGGGCCAGGTCGGCCGTTAGTGGCAGCGTCGAGTACTGATATGGATTCATCATTTAGCGCCTCTCGAAAGGATTTCTGTGGGTTTGTGACTGTGTATCAATCTTTGCTATTATTGTAGTTTGAATTATATAAAAGCTATGCCGATAGATCTCACTATAACAGTCAAGTCTCATTGTTATAAATGTATGGTTAGCTGGATTAAACTTCGATACCTTTCTTATTTCTATCTTACCTTACTTTCCTGTAGTCTGCGCGATGAACATTTGAGAGGAACATTAAACAAATAATAGGTGACTGAAAAGTATTGACGGCCTTTCTTGTTCGACAAGTTCAAAATCAGCGCGGTGGGTGACGTGTTTCATAAATAGGAACATGCGGTAATGTAGGTTCGTAATATTACGTAAGATTGAGTTGTGTCAGCGTTGGTGTCATTTGAGAGCTGGGATTTAACAGTGTTAAGCTTGTTGAAATTGTTGAACTGTTCTTTTCTTGCAGATTCATGATAGGGCTTAAGTATACGTGAAGCTTCCGTAAAAACTCGCTTTATTTTATAAATTTATCGCAGCAAAAAGCATAAATACCGCCCAGGCTATGAAACATGTGTGCTGTTTATGATCAAAATGCGCTACTGAGAGAAAGAGACAATAATTCCGCCTAGAGAATTTGAACATAAAAGATGCTACTTGTAGTGGTCGACCGCTTACAAAAAAAAATTGATGCAAATATTGCAAAGATTAAGCAAAATCGACATGAAAATAGCCATAGCATCGCTAGAGAACTAGGCCATCACTAGTAAACAATTTTAAAATATCTGAAGGCTGTTTGCAAAAGAAAAGCTCACCGTTTGAGTGCACATGAATTGACAAAAAAAATACGTTGTCATATTTCCGTTTACAAAGCTTTATAGTAACGGAACGAAATCGAAGGGGTTGATCGCAGGTAATGAAAAGTTGCGACAATAATAGGCGAAAAATATCATGGTCAAAGCAACGAAGGCTTTAAAATCTGTGGCAAAGCTAAAAGGAGGCGATGTCATTTGTTTGGCGGGATGGGAAAGGAATCGTAACTTATGAGCTTCTATCGCTTGGCAAAACGAATAATTCGGCCTCTACTATCAACAATCAACAAACCATTAATTTTTTTTTCTTTTTTTTTTTACCATAATAATGCCAAATCATAAATCATTTACCTACCCAGCAAAAATTGGGAGAACATAGACAGAAAATTGTAATGCATCCGCCGTATAGCCCGGATCTTGTGCGATCAGACTATTATCTGTTTCAGCCTTTGTAGAACTCGTTTAGCGGTGTTAATTTCAACTGGGAGATACAGAAATCATTTGTTACAATTTTGCCAAAAATGGCAGAAGCTCATCAATGGTGCATGTTTAATAATGTTGTTTTAAAGTATAAAAGAATTTTTCAATGTCAGCTTATTTTTAAATATAAAATTTTTAAAACAAAAAAGCTTATTTATTTAAACCGTTCATACTTTTCAGCCGTTTAATTATTAACTTGTGCGATATCAATTGTTAGTATTACAACTTTTTTACGATAGTATTATTGTTGTTAATGATGAAAAAAGTAAGTTGACTTGTGTCATTATTTTTAGCGGTTCGATTTTAGAGTATACGGTCATATGAATTCACATGGTGCCTTGCTGAGTGGCTCGCATTGCTGTGGGTCGACCATTTCACTTGTCTTAAGGTACTGCACTTGCCAATGTAGCGTACATAATTACTCAAATAAATCGTAGATTTGTTTTTACAGTCGTGGAATTGTAAGGAATAATTACATGTTGTTCAAGACAATCTATGATACAGAGCTTCAATATCATTGTGCCAATAAACAGCCAATTTTGATAATAGAAAAAGAAGAATCTGCTGAATGAAGATAGGTATTTTGCTAAATTCTAAGAATTTGCTAGTACATTTATTTCATTATGCATCAACAAGGTTCAAAAATTAGCCATTTGGACAACTATTACTGCTTATATCTGCTACGTAAAGAAAACACTATATTCCTTTCATCTTTCGTCTTACTTTAAAATGAAGCAAGCGCTTTATTTTGTAAACGCTTTTGACTGCTCACCATAATCGTGCCTTTGAATTTTTCGGGTGCCCGATTTGGATAAACCTTTGACATGATGTCAAACTTATCATAAATACTCTGTCGCGCATATATATATATA